TTGTTAGTAAATAGTTACTTGAACATACGTATATATTGGTATACATACATACAACAAACATTAGGAACATTAATGAATGATTGTTAGTAAATAGATACTTGAACATACGTATATATTGGTATACATACATACAACAAACATTAGGAACATTAATGAATGATTGTTAGTAAATAGATACTTGAACATACATATAAGTATACATACATACAACGAGCAGTAGGAAAATGAGAACATTAATGATTTTTAGCAGATAGTTACTAAAACATTTTGGCTTCGAACTATGTATACGTAAATACCACAATACATTACATTATATAATTTTTCAAGTTAAAAACTCAGGCCATGTCGGCCACAGGCAGCTGTCAGCTTTCTTTTCCTAAGGCTTACTCCCAACGGGAAGACTAATCAAATCATCCGCCATGATCCATTTGAACAACTAACAATCATAGTCATTCATATAATTATTATGACATATTATACAGAATGAGGAACGAATGTATTGTTTATAAATTTTTTATTGTCATGTTGAGTGTCTTAAGTCTTAAATTGAGTCTTAAAACACCCAAAAAATTGTACATGGCATGACAACACCCACAAAGAAACCACCGAATCAAAACTTAACAGACTGAACATAATGCAATCGAAACAAGAGCATTCCCGACAACATGACGCTCAATCCATCCCTACATCAAAAACCGTTAACATGCAACAACAGAAACAAATACAAAATCTCACCAAGTCAACTAACGATGTTCCAGGTTTTGGTTGTTTTAAAACTTTTCCTTGCTTCCTCCTGAACATTTAATCACAAAGTCGGTTACTTGAATACACCACTTAAAGATATTATGGTACTTTACATTAGTCAGTTGACGAAAGAGTCGCTTTCTTTAAAATATCAAGTAAGTGCGGACATTGCGCAAGGATATGGTCGTGAATAGTAGTTAATACAAAAATTACGAGCATTGGCCGTCTGCGAGTGTTAGTAGCTACCTGCCAAAATGAAAGGGCTTTCAGGTTAGCTCAATCAAGAGATCAACACTAATTATTCTTTGTATATAATATTTTTAAAGTAATCTGTTTATTTTTATTCGTACTTTGAGAATCAACGACAAACTCTGACCGTACAGGTATTGTAAATACTAACGCACATGCAAAACAAACGGTGTTATACCTGTTTCGCTTTGGAAACAACCACGGTAAGTTCGGAGTACATTCTTCTAAATCCACGGTGACATTTTCCTCTTGCATCCATGTCGTAAGTACATCGTACACATCAATAAGACAACGTGCATCTAGAGCTGTGAACGTATAAACATGAAACTTTTTAATCCTTGTAGCGATTCATGTAAACAGGGCAATTACCTGAAACGGAGCCTGCATGAAAACAATTCGAAACTACTTGTTATAATATGTTAACATGTCTATTTCTGTTTAAGTTAGGAATATTGAATTTAGTATTTCATATATTTTCACGTTATTTTGCCGTGTCAAAATGAACTGAGTGCGTCACTTGTTAAATTAACAGACTCAGAGAAAACGTAGAAATTTGTGGGTCACAAAATGACGTAGCACATTTGCCTTTACATCTGTGATGAGAATGGTGAAAAACTAGAATGTTTTCAGATACGTAAAGTTACCCTATAATACACACTAAATATACTATACACACTTTGTAATGTCTTAATAATTTTTTATGCTTACAGCCAGGGTTATATATTAGAATTACGGTGTACGTAAACATCACACACGCGACGGAAGAGCCACCCAACAATATCCAAAACAGTGATGTAACCAGAGTGCCCAGCCCTCCCCCGACAAATTTCTAGATCCCCTTAAAATGTTATGTTATACATATATCATGTTGTTTAAATTACAGTTATGCCCCCTTTCCTTTTTGATAGTCCCTCCCCCCTGTACAGAAAATCCTGGCTTCGCCACTGATTTATAAAACCATTATTCAAAGTTCATGTATTCCATGTCATAATTCCTGAATAATTTATGAAATGTTTTTTATTTCTTGTCAGTAAACAAACTTACCAGCATATTCGACTTGTTTCGGTAACAAAGGTCGTTGTTCCCAGTCTGAGAGCTGATACGTTTTGTCCAAAGGCGACCCTAGGCACTGCTGCACCAACAGACTTAAACCCTTCTCACTCAAATGTCCAAAAAAAGTTAGGGACTTTGTTGTTTCGTCCACTCGTCTCCTTACCGCTGGGATCTGGAACAACTACGAACCAAAGTAAAAATTTCACAGCAAAATGAGCACGAAGGAATCGTGAACAAAAATAAACATTCAAAATAACCATTTTCAAAAACGTACCTTTCGACTAAAAGTACACAAATCTACGAAACTCTTCATCTTTTTAATCGACTTCTCGAGGATGGGTAAAGTCGCTATTAGTGCCTTAAAATCGGACTCAACTCCATATCCTATAAGAAATAAATGCTACATGACTTACGAACATTCATGACCAGACAAAGAAAGAAAGAAACTGGCACTTGTTGTAAATTAGACGCCTATAAACTAACAGTTTAAAAATTGCCGAATCGCTATTAAATTTGATGTTCATTTTGAAAGCAAAACAGACATGTTACTGATAACGCCCATTTCTTTACCTAACTTCAGAACATTGGCATTCGCAAATACAGCGTTGCCAAACGAGAGAATTGTATTCCTAGGCACTTCGTTCGCTATGGCAATGACATCCAAAATAAACACACGATCCCGAAGAGATAACTGAACAATAGACAATCTGAAAGTGATTGCGATAAAATGAAATCACATAATAACCATCAAAGCAGTGATGACATGAGTAAGAAAATCTGGACAACATTTACTGGTGACAGGAGAAGATAAAAAGATGTAACAGTTCAAATAAAAAGCAAGTTGTATTTTGGGATGATTACAGAAAGATGGCTTCACATTTAAGTACTGCAATGAAACTCAGCTGATAGAAAAAATTCGCGCAAAGAAGGGTTGAGTAAGTCTGATATAAAGACCAAGACTCATTTTTATCTTGGCCTTGTTAGCAGTATTTTTTCACAGTGATTTAGGCAAAAAGGGGGCCTCGGGGGTTAAGCCCCCACTAACAAAATTCTTGCCCCCCCTAAAATGCTGTGTTTTACATATATTATATATGTTCAAACGACAGTTATGACCTTTCTTCCCTTTTGACTGCCCCCATGACAAAAAATCCTGGCTACGTCACTGTGTAAATGTCCACGTGGAAGTCTCATGTTCAAACGACAGTTATGACCTTTCTTTCCTTTTGACTTCCCCTCCCCCCCCGTGACAAAAAATCCTGGCTACGCCACTGTGTAAATGTCCACGTGGAAGTCTCGTGTTCAAACGACAGTTATGACCTTTCTTTCCTCTTGACTGCCCCTCCCCCCCATGACAAAAAATCCTGGCTACGCCACTGTGTAAATGTCCACGTGAAAGTCTCATGTTCAAACGACAGTTATGACCTTTCTTTCCTTTTGACTTCCCCCCCCCATGACAAAAAATCCTGGCTACGCCACTGTGTAAATGTCCACGTGGAAGTCTCATGTTCAAACGACAGTTATGACCTTTCTTTCCTTTTGACTGCCCCTCTCCCCCATGAAAAAATCCTAGCTACGTCACTGTGTAAATGTCCACGTCGAAGTCTCATGTTCAAACGACAGTTATGACCTTTCTTCCCTTTTGACTGCCCCTCCACCCCCAAAAGACAAAAATCATAGCTACACCACTGTGTAAATGTCCACGTTGAAGTCACATGATGCATTACCTTTGCGCTAAACCGGCCTGACACATTTGAGGTTTCCATTCAGCATCAAACCCAATTGAACATGGACGCTATGAAAAAAATACATAAAACATATATGAACGTCATAAGCACAAAACGATAACTCCAAAACACATTATCTACAATGGTAATAAAAATATTGATACTTAATTCGTTAAGGATACAAACAAAAAGTTTCTTCATAGAAACGACAAATGGATGCAACTTTATGCTGCTCGAGGCTTTCTAGTCCCAATTCCCCTGCTGACTCCCGTCTGCTCTACTTACCTTGGACAAAATCTCTTGACACATGTGCAATGATTTTTCGTCATCTACAAAGAATATTCTATCCGTGGGGATATCTAGGGAAAGGTATTGCATTCTGGGATGATATTCTTCCTGCACGTCTCTTTCAGGCACAGTGTGAAAAGACGAACAATTTCGTAATTCATCGTCCCAGTCCTCCGCGTATGGTTCCCTACATATAAATGATAAAAACTTTGTACCGTAATAGAAAAGCCTAATAATTTTTTGAAGCCAAATTTGAGCTTCACACACGCAAGATTACACTCAGACACGCGTGTGTAGTTCAATCAATTTTCACTCCGCGAGAGAATCTCGAAACACTAAACACGCATGTCTGGGGTAAAATCTCGCGTGTTTGTGTGTAAGATTTGGCTTCAATTATTTGCTATAGGTAGCGTTCAATGTATTTTAGTTCAATGGGTAAAATTTTAAATTTTACCCAATTGCAGTTAAGAGTCGTTTTGAAAATATTGGCGTATGCACCAATTCAAGGCATCCAGCATGGAGACAGAAAAATTTTACAAACAAGTTGAAATTTTCACGCATATTTTTCAGGATTTTAGTCGTCTTTTTTAAAAGCTAAATAAGGATTCATGTAGAAAATGTATCCTATTTTTTAGCAATATAATTATTATTTTGAATTCATGTTTGTTTTCTACGCATCATCACTTTATATATAGGTATGTGTTCGTAACAGCGATGATAGTTGCCTACCTTAGAAATATATATAATCAATTAACACAAAGTTTGCGGCACACGGTCGGTTACGATGGAATGGGGCGAGTTATCGTTTGTTTATACAATTTAAGTGATTTATTGGGCCGTCTATGGTCGGATAAGCTTAAACACTCCCCCCCCTTGTTCTGAATTTTGCAACTATATTTCTAAGCTCATCAGACAAAATCCAGTAAAAAACTTCCCTGATCATACACGTAGATACCGACAAATCAGCGCAGATGTCTGCTGATAAGGAGAACCAACAATTTACATTAGAAAGTCCCATGGCAAAAACCTTTTAATTTCATGCACAAGCACTTACGAATTCTGTGATTCATTACATTCTCTGTCGGAGGAAAGTTGATAAAATCTTGCCCATCTTCTAGCATCTTCATCATCACCAGATTCGGTCAACAGTTCGACAAGACTTCGTTGCAACGACAAATTATTACCCACACAACGCTGAATACATTAATTTCCATAAGTCATTCAAGGTCAACGATGCAACAAGGTGACCAACGACATTACATAATGCAGGGATGGATTCAGAATGACTTGACAGGGGGTGCTCTATTTTTTACAAGATGTTAGTTCAGTTTGGATTTGAGTCTGTAGCTTATTTTATGGGGGAGGGGGGGGGGTTATGTGAATCTAGCCAAGGCTAGTGGGGGTGTGCACCCCCCTGCACCCTTTCTAACCAAGGTTAGAGGAGTAGAGTGCACAACTCCCCGCATCCCTCCGCTAAATCCATCCCTTATATAATGTCCACATATGATTAAACAAAAACTAACCTCGATTAAATCGTCCCATTTCTTGACGGAACTTCCTTTCTGCAGAAAAATCAACAGTATTATTAAATACAAATATGTTGAATATCATCATGGCGTATAAAGATCAGTGATTCTACTCACGTCTTTCTGTCGCTGATGAAGAAGATAACTTAATCCTTTTATGTTCTTTGCTTTAAACAATTCTGGGAAATCTTCTAGATAGAAATTAGTAAAATGCCTTCCAATAGACTGACGACTCTCGAGTTAAAACAAATACTGTGCGTACGTGGATTAAGACTGAACTTTTTTACAATCCTTTCTCCAAGTTTGATTAACGACGTCTGAGTCACTTTGTTTGTAGTTGGTTTCGATGGGATGATGTCGCTGGATAAAGAATAGAGAGTGTAAACACAACCATTCTTGTTTAACAACCAGGATAAGATGGACTTCCAAAGAGCATTTATTTAAATATAGACATTCTGGCACAAGAACCAGGGTAAGACATTCTGGGATAAACTACTAAAGAGCGCTAATGTAAATATAGACATTCTGGCCCAAGAACCTGGGTAAGACTTTCTGGGATAAACTACTAAAGAGCGCTAATGTAAATATAGACATTCTGGCCTAAGAACCTGGGTAAGACTTTCTGGGATAAACTACTAAAGAGCGCTAATGTAAATATAGACATTCTGGCCTAAGAACCTGGGTAAGACTTTCTGGGATCAACTACTAAAGAGCGCTAATGTAAATATAGACATTCTGGCCCAAGAACCTGGGTAAGACTTTCTGGGATAAACTACTAAAGAGCGCTAATGTAAATATAGACATTCTGGCCCAATAACCTGGGTAAGACATTCTGCGATAAACTACTAAAGAGCATTTACGTAAATATAGAGATTCTGGCCCAATAACCAGGGTAAGACATTCTGCGATAATCTACTAAAGAGCGCTAATGTAAATATAGAAATTCTGGCCCAATAACCTGGGTAAGACATTCTGCGATAAACTACTAAAGAGCGCTAATGTAAATATAGAAATTCTGGCACAAGAACCTGGGTAAGACATTCTGCGATAAACTACTAAAGAGCGCTAATGTAAATATAGAAATTCTGGCCCAATAACCTGGGTAAGACATTCTGCGATAAACTACTAAAGAGCGCTAATGTAAATATAGAAATTCTGGCACAAGAACCTGGGTAAGACATTTGCGATAATCTACTAAAGAGCGCTAATGTAAATATAGAAATTCTGGCACAAGAACCAGGGTAAGACATTTGCGATAATCTACTAAAGAGCGCTAATGTAAATATAGAAATTCTGGCACAAGAACCAGGGTAAGACATTCTGCGATAAACTACGAAAGAGCATTTACGTAAATATAGAAATTCTGGCCCAAGAACCTGGGTAAGACATTCTGCGATAAACTACGAAAGAGGATTTACGTAAATATAGAGATTCAAGCCCAATAACCAGGGTAAGACATTCTGCGATAATCTACTAAAGAGCGCTAATGTAAATATAGAAACTCTGGCATAAGAACCTGGGTAAGACATTCTGCGATAATCTACTAAAGAGGGCTAATGTAAATATAGAAATTCTGGCCCAATAACCAGGGTAAGACATTCTACGATAATCTACTAAAGAGCGCTAATGTAAATATAGAGATTCTGGCCCAATAACCAGGGTAAGACATTCTGCGATAATCTACTAAAGAGCGCTAATGTAAATATAGAGATTCTGGCCCAATAACCTGGGTAAGACATTCTGCGATAATCTACTAAAGAGCGCTAATGTAAATATAGAGATTCTGGCCCAATAACCAGGGTAAGACATTCTGCGATAATCTACTAAAGAGCGCTAATGTAAATATAGAGATTCTGGCCCAATAACCAGGGTAAGACATTCTGCGATAATCTACTAAAGAGCGCTAATGTAAATATAGAAATTCTGGCACAAAAACCAGGGTAAGGCATCCTGAAATGAGTGCCAAAGAACATTTATGTAAATATTGACATTCTGGCTCAAGAACCTGAGTAAGACATTCTGATATGAGCTGCCAAAGAGCGCTAATGTCAACATAGACATTCTGGTCTGACATCCCGGGTAAAGACAATCTGGGATGAACTATCATGGAGCAGTAACTGGCACTGCAAAAATCTCAGTTATACAACATCATGCAAGCACAAGCTTCAAAATGCTCAGATTTTCAAGACTCCTACATTGAAATCCAATATTCTTCAAACACACCCGATAAATTTGTGTTTAAACAGCGAAAGCACAATTGCAACACCTTGATAGTAAAAGCGCAAATATCCACTATCTTAATAATAATAAAAAAACGATGTCTCCACCAAGTAGGCAAGTGCTCAATGGTCAAGAAGCGTGTTTCGAAACGCATGTACTAAACAAACTCGGAAACTTTCGTCTGCTTAGCGTAAAGTGACGAAATCATACTTCCAAAGACGATATATCTTCTATAGAGGACTGACATGTAACCATCCCCACCCCACCCCCCTCAAGTCAAACGCTTACCTTGTCAATTCGTCCAGTTGTTCATCAGACATCTGGCAGAGTTTGTCGAGCATGCTCACAAATGCTCGTTGTTGCCAAGGACAGCCGGCAATATAACTGTAATTTCAAAAATACTTTCTCAAACATTTTAATCGGCTAGACTGCAGCGCTTGTATGGGGAGCGCGGGCTCGTTTTTGATTAGGGTTATACGGTTAGGGTTTGGGTCAGCGTTCAAGATGTCCGCTAAACTGAAATAGTCCCACGATCTTAAGTCAATGGTTAATGTTTTGAGGTCTGTCATTTTTCTTTGTTCATTTCAAAAACTATTTTCATTTATATATATTCAAACATCAAAAAGCTACCGTTAACAGGGAAGCAAAAATCAACAACTATCATACAAAAAAGACAAATACAGATTATTTAGAGCACTCCCGTACGAACCTTTCCACAAGTTGGACTTTGTTTAAAATCAGAAGTGGAAACAAAATCTGTAAGAAATAGGTATTTATCAAAATTATAAATAAATCACACGATCTATGATGAAAAACAACGATTGTCTCATAATTACAGTCCTTCAACATAAGTGTTTGATTTTGCCTCAGTTGAAATCCGAAATTACGTACTTTCCAAGACAAGGATGGAAATTTTGAGAACGTACAAAGTTTGTCACAAATTGTGCAAATCTAATCTAATCTGATCGCAAACAAATCTTCCTAATCATGTAATCATTTGAACACATTTAGTACTTACCTCCATTGGCTGAAAACAAGGCTGTAAATTGAGCTTATAAGCGATTGTGACAGCCTGAAAAAACATTAAAAAGTATGAATGCAAAATACAAATAAACGTATAAATATTCCATAAGGAGTATTAAGCTTTTTTTATAATGACATTCTTCCGTACCACTAAGTTAACCATTCGATAAAAAATTCACGTAATTTCACATATATGGGAAAGTTTCATTTATAGCAAAGCTCACTTGTGTAAAAATATGCAAGAACTAAGATGACTAAAGTATATAAATTCTCAAGTTTTAACGTATTGAAGAACATTAGAACGTTTCAACATCAGATCACTCCTGATGAAGACACTAGACTGGAGTATATAAAAACTCATGTTTCAACATCAGATCACTCCTGATGATGACACTAGACTGGAGTATATAAGAAGTCAAGTTTCAACATCAGATCACTCCTGATGAAGACACAAGACTGGAGTATGCAATGACTGAAGTATATAATGAAGACACTAAACTGGAGAATATACAAAAGAAGACACAAATTCATTGTCAGATCCCTGTTGATGACGAAGGTAGACTCAAGTTTCAAAATCACAGCAGTAAACTTAAGCATCAACAAAGAATTAGGTTTTAAGAATCCACCATTACAAATGAAACCACACAATTAGCAAATTTTATGTATCAACAATCAACACCACATCACTTCTGAATCCTGATCGAAACATCTAATTATTACTGACCAAAAATTTGAGACAAGAAATTCTATTGCAATTCTATTGATAAACAACCGTGGCCCTCATACCTCCTTATAACACTTTTTTGTCTGTAGGAGATAATACACATGTCTTTGAAGATACTTGTTTCCTTTGCCATCAAGGTGAAAGACCTTGTTACACAAATCAAACAAATAAAGCTTCCTGGTTGTCACAATCCAAAGTGCACGATCTTTTTCAATATCTGTTGGAGAAGTGTTGTTGAACAAACCAGACTCCCGCCAACTATCAAATTGTGTCAGGGCAATGTGTGCAAGTGATTTCTTCCCTTCCGAAACATTAGAATAGCTGTTTTCTACTACATAAAGCAGAAATGAATACGGAGCAGAGATGTTTAAAATCTCTTGTAAAACTGCTAAAAATGTTGATCTGTCTGCTTGATTAAATATTGCGTCGAGTTTAGTTAGTTTTTCCATAAAATCCCATTGAAACATTGTCTCATAACTGAAAGTTTGATCAGGATGATCAGCAGAATGCTCATTATGTACATCATGAGGTACTGTACCCTGATAATTTGTCATAATTTCACTGACAATTTGTCTTTTCATTGTCGCTTGACTTGGTGGAAACATCTGCTTGTCATTCTTTGCCGAAGGTATTTCAGGCAAAGATTCCGACATTGTATCTTGCATTGTATCTTCGAAATGTGTTGGAGGAATTTTGGTGTCCCAAGGATCATAAATATCCATGTTTTCATACAAAAGATCTTCAGCATAAGGATCAATGTCAGAATAATAATCGACATCAACATCTGAGTAAATTTGATGTTTATCAATTGCAAATTCATTTTTGTCTCTTTCGTATGATTTGTGAAATTCCGACTTGTTGTCATCATTAGAAAAATGTCCATTGATGTCAGAAAGCCATCTACGATTTTGATAAGTTTGAGAAGGCACGGTCACCTTTCCACACATTTGTGGAAATACTTCATTGTCAAAATAATTAGTTCTTCTAAACGAATGGTCAGTTTTCCAAGTGTTCCCATCGACAACATGTGTTACCATTTTGGTGGCTAATGTGGCTTGGTTTCTTTGAAATTGATTTGTTGTACTTGAGGCAGGCTTGAAAACAGGACCACCAGAAGCATCTGAGAATGCACCATCTCCAGTTGATGAGCTTGCTTCAATTTCAGCATCCCAATCTTCTGAATCCTGTATGTGCAAATGTTCGACTCGTAGGCAATGTGCAAACGAACTGTTGTTTCTGCTTGCACTTGCCTCTTCAAACGACTCCACCATGCTGTCATTAGTTGAAACAAGGTCGACGCGAAGGCTTTCTGTTACGTTGAGTTCGCTGGCATCTTTGTTTTTCACAAAAAAGTACATCAAAACAGAGAAAGAAATTAGGATTGAAAAAGTCAAAAATGGCGGCGAGCTCTTCTCCCAATTCGAGTGAAATGCTAAACTTCACATGTAAAGACCTTAGCTTATTACAACACCGTTTCAGTGCTCGGTAAAATTAAGACAACGCTTTTATACAACAGCAAAAAAATCACTCCTCGACTCAAAATAATCAGAGAAAGTCTAAATGAAGAAAAACTTTCAATAAATTTAAATCACAGGTACAAACCTGTCAAAACTGTTTCTTCAGTTTCTTCATCAAGCGAATCGTTATTTGCTTCGCTTTGAGAGTCCGTGGTTAAAGCATGCACTAACGAAGATACGACATTTATTAGTCCGAACATAATTGTTTTCAATTTTGAATTTCATTGAGAGCTTTAAAAATCACACGTGGGAGATGCGGAGACGGGAGTCATGGGGATAATGAGGGACGGTGAAAGGTGTTGGTTTCGTCTAAGGAATATGGATACGAACAGCGTATTTTGTATTTAATCCGTGTCCTCGATATTTGGTGCTAGTAAATGATACGACTTCGATGTAGACATATTTTATAAAATTCAGTCTACAACAATTTTGTTAAAATCTGGTGGAGTTGCTCAAACACATCAATCTCTACAATCATTTTATCCTTACTCCAACCCTAATAGTCATGCAACGAACACAGTTGCACCAACACATTATACTCAATGTATCCTTACAGCAATTGCTCTTGATGTTACCCCACAGTTATTATTTCGTTCCGCTATTTTGATGTAACCTGACTCGCCCCAGGCCCTTGACCACGAGTTCTTGATGAGCCAATAAGGAATACCCTTTTCTACGCCATAACCAACGGCTAAAGCTGCATGGTCCAGAGTACTACCTGAATATAAAAACATTGACATTGTTCAGTGACATAGCCAATTTGGTCCTGCGATGTAAAAGTATTTCAGTGTTCAATAGGAAGACAAAACGTGAAGGCTGGCTACACCGTTGACTTTGTTGAACAACCAATTTAAATAATAAACCTGCAGTTACTTTCCAAACTCACCAGAACACTCAGGATCGTAGTATATGCCAGAACTGTAAAACTTAAACGACTTTGGACGTGTGTTTATCAAAACAGTAACAGGTCCATATTGCGCGATAGCCTGTTTCAATTCCGTCGCATTTCTTTGAGCAATTTTCATGTACGAATGAAGTTTAACGCCTATACTGACGTTCTTGAAATGACAATAGCCTTCCTGAAACATACAAATTAATTACAGACGTAAACCATTAATTACCAAGGTAAATCGTTAATTACCAAGGTAAATCTTTAATTACCAAGGTAAATCGGTGATTACCAAGGTAAATCGTTAATTACCAAGGTAAACCGGTAATTACCAAGGCAAATCGGTAATTACCAAGGTAAATCATTAATTACCAAGCTAAATCGTTAACTACCAACTTAAATCGTTAATTACCAAGGTAAATCGGTTAATTACCAACGTAAATCGTTAATTTCCAAGATAAATCGGTAATTACCAACTTAAATCGGTAACTACCAAAGTAAATCATTGATTTCTTGTTTAACTATTCACTGACTCACAAAAGCTTTGTCAGAAAATAACGAAAACTTGGATAATTAATTGAGTAAAATATACAAGTTTTGTCTGAACCAACCTGGGCCAAATAACGTCCATACGTATGCTCTTCGGCAAGACCGCCATGTTTCATGATCCATTTCATAGCTCTATGGGGGTAGCCCCCTTTACAGCCACGATTTCCAAAACCCCAGGAACAATCAATGATTTCCTGCTCGGAGAAATTTGGAAGATAGCCGTACTAAATGAAACAAAAAGACGGGAAAGTTAAGTATGTAATTATTGAGTGTTCTTCGTTGAGCTGAAGTCTAATGTCTTAAGCAGAAAGATACAATGTAAAACATGGGTCTTCACTAACTCTAGTCTATAGTCATGAGGAATGAGGAATGATCTGATGTTGAAACTTGAGTCCTTAAAAAGTAAAGTTGAGTAAAGTAAAGTTGAGTAAAGTAAAGTTGCGGAGTTGCCTGAAGTTGGTAACGGTCGAACAACGAGGGAGTCTATTCCCTTTTCGTTTTAGAGCTAGACAAGGAAGATCTATGCAGAAGTGGAGCGACAAACCTACTCTCAACTCCCTGCTACTTTACCGTGCAGAACAGATAACCTGATTTGCGCTACTCATACGCTGAGTTGGTGAGGGCTGTTATCGAACCTGGGACCTTGCGATCACCAGGCGAACGCTCTACCGACTGAGCTATCCTGCTCGATACCTTATATACCCCAGTCTAGTGTCTTCATCAGGAGTGACCTGACGTTGAAACTTTAGTTCTTATATACTCCAGTCTAGTGTCTTCATCAGGAGTGATCCTATGTAGAAACTTGAGTTCTTATATACCCCAGTCTAGTGTCTTCATCAGGAGTGATCTTATGTATAAACTTGAGTACTTATATACTCCAGTCTAGTGTCTTCTTCAGGAGTGATCTAATGTAGAAACTTGAGGTCTTATATACTCCAGTCTAGTATCTTCATCTGGAGTTATCTGATGTTGAAACTTGAGGTCTTATATACTCTAATCTAGTGTCTTCATCAGGAGTGATCTGATGTTGAAACTTGAGTTTTCGTATACTCCAGTCTAGTGTCTTTATCAGGAGTGATCTGATGGTGAAACTTGAGGTCTTATATACTCCAGTCTAGTGTCTTCATCAGGAATGATGTGGTGTTTAAACTTGAGTTCTCGTATACTCCAGTCTAGTGTCTTCAGCAGGAGTGATCTGATGTTGAAACTTGAGTTCTTACAAATACTCCAGTCTAGAGTCTTTATTAGACGTAATAACGCCGAAATGCCGAAAACCGAATGCCGAAACTTCAGTCCAATAACAACAACATCGACCTATTTTTTTCATCACTACCAATGAATGTTAAAACTTAATAAATTTCAACCTGCGTAAAATAAGCTCCTTCCAATGCTCCAGTAGCTGCATAAGCGTAACAAGAACCGCAAATGCCTTGGCTTGTTACGGAATTGACAGCACCAAGTTTACGCCAATCGACTTCACGAGGAAAATCATCGGTGATTGGTCGAAAAGACGAACCGCCATCAGATGCCATCTCGTCTTCATCATGTAATAAACCTTTGTGTTTATGCAGCTCGTCATCTGTCATATCCATGAAATGATTCGAACGTAATTTATAACCTAAATGCATCCGATTTCGCGATCGTATAAATCTACACCAAAAAAAACATCACGGAGAGTATTTCACGAAGCATACACGGGAATAAGGCGATGGCTGCGTGATAATTTTATGTGAGGGACTGGGTCAGAAAAACTGGAATGGCACTCGAGGAGGTTTGTTAGAACTCTCGAGCAGGTCAAACCTCGACATTCAGTCTCGCGCTTGCACAGTGATCTGCTCTCGAGTTCTACCAAAGTTTTCCAGTCTCCTAGATTTGCATAAGTCTGTGGAAGCACAATACACATCTTTTAATTCTTTCATAAAATAAAAATAATGCGAAACAGATAAATTTAACAAAAACGTATCAAATTTTTCGTCTAACATGTATTCATTGTTGAATTGCAAATTCTTTTTGATTGATTTTATTGATTTAACTGCACTGGCGAATGCAAACTCGCTATGTGCCAATCAGCTCTCGCGTTTTATCATTTGTATTTTATAAGATGCAATTTCAGTTGATTAACAAGACATTGTGTAAAATATAAATTAGCCTTTATTACAGACAATACCTTAGATTATGGCGATAAATATCCTTCCTAGATTCGTTTTCTTTTATTGAATTATAACTTTTCTTGTGAGTATTTTTGAACGAGCGGAACAGATTGTCAACGATTCCCTCGTAGTTGTGATGCGACGCACCGTTTCCATAAGCGAAACTTTTCCAGCTCAATCGATTTTGAATCCGATTTTGTAAATTGGAACCGTTTAAAAATGCCTCAATGAGTCTTTGACGTCGATGTATTTCACCATCCAAAATCCTCTTTCCAACTTGCGCGGACAACCTGCTATGTAAGGCATTCCGACTTCGTAAAAGTTTCGTAAAAATATCTCGTGGCCGCAGATAATAATTTCGTGAAGTATCGTCGCGAAATTTGTCTTTTGAACGTGACGAGCTCAAATCCGTAAAGCGCTTTCTGTGCTTTTGACGTCTTGATAAGAGAGCATTTTTGAAACGGTTTCGACGTTTTGATGGAAAATTTCTGAGTTTTTTTCTCGTCCCACCATACCAGGGTCGAATAGTGCTTTTGTACAAAGGTACTCCGTCTGTCTCTTCATATTCAACTGGAGTATTTTTAAGTTTATCATGAACCGTGCGGTCGGTGTTGACATCAGCAAATCCAGACGTTGATTCTTCAAGGTTTCTACTTATCTTAGTTCCATAGACACTTTTCCTCCATCGTGAGAATACAGATGGTCGGAGTGGTACTCTTTGCTACGTTATCGCTCGGCAAACTGTCTCGTTCATCAGCGTCAGCCATGCCTTTTGAAAGATGAAAAGAGTGAATGGTGTCCGATCATCCGAATGCGACAGAAATTCCAACATCGGGTTAAGTTCACCGACGGTGCTCGCGAAATTCTTCGAAGAATAATCAAAGCAGTTCAAATCTAAAAATGACATTCATAATTATTGATCGGTTTATACTTTGATAAATGACGGAAAAAGGGAGCTTACTTTACTTCGTAAAAATATAGAAATTATTATGATACAATAGATTGGCTATTATAGATCGGATAAAATGTATCAAATATAGTACGTTACAAATTTGTCCATTAGTTATTCGAGAATTATCTAAAACAATAGAAGAATTCGTATTTTTATGCACCCCAGTCCCCCACACAAATACACACAAAAATGTTATTGCATTAAGCCATCAAGTACAAAGCTTTTTCCACATATCATCTTCTCGATTGAAAAAAGTAAAGTCAATCAGGATTGATGAAAATTCAACAACGTTCAAACGATTAAGGAGAGTCTTTCAATGCATGTTTAAGGAGAGATGTCTGGAAACTAAAGCCTGACGTGAGATTTATGTTTGCGTACTATAACTGGATTCAGTAACGTAGCCATGCCACAAAAATTTGGTCGGGCTATGTAAACTTCAGGGGGTTGCACGAACACTGGATAGCGTTGTCCATTGGATAGAAAAAATTTTCAAACTTATGAAAAAGGTGTTTATATTTTCTTTTCGAATCTTATATTTTTTGCTTTTTCAAAGGTTTTGTAAAAGTTTAAAAAAATTGCCATCCAATGGATAACGCTTTCCAGGCTTCGAGCAACAGGCCCCAGCGTATTAGCAATATTCATTTCTATAAATATCTATTGATTTTACAGTTTGTAAACACATAAATATTTCAGAGTACGACCAAACTGTCAGTCTTGCTACGCCACAGACTGTATTTGATCGGTTTTTCATTTTTACTATCATCAATGAATTTAATCGTTATCTTCGGGGTTGTTCGTATGAACCCGGCAAACCGTGGCTCAGTGAGGCGTTAAATGATCCCGACGCATTGAAAAGAGCAAAACTTCAAGCTTAAAATTACAACTGTTTGTTAAGCACCACAAGTCATTCCTGTTGAAATTCTCAAATTAAGCCAGACTGGTTGTTTCAGTTCTAAATGTTTTGCGTGGTCATTAAATCAGAATATCGTTAAATTGCTCGAGAAGATTTATCTGATGATGAGTATAGAATCGTTTACATTTACCAAAATCATTTGACGCCTCTCACTGCATCTCGGTTAGCCGGGCTCATATGAACAGCTCCTTCTTACCCATTGGAATTTCCAATGTCCTCCGATCAAAGTTCCACGATTCAAAAATGTCATAGTCGAGAACGTAATGATCATAATAAGAAGAAAGTAAAGTATCATAACCCATCATTTCGTATCTCAATGGCTTCAAAGGTTTTGTCTTCGTAGTATAAAGTACATAGGTATTAACTTTGTTGAAAACTTTGAACTCGTGTTGCCAAACTGCAGAGTGATGTCCGCGAAGAGCGACGTCTTTGATGTACTGAGAAACGGGAAAAAGTAATTGAACACGGCTAAGATTTGAGGACGGTCGCCAATTTCTTAGTTTCAATCACCATGACTAGTAATAATAACTTTGTGATGTACCATTACAGAAATCAATCGCTAACCTTGAAATAATACGGTGTCGGAACAATGCTCTGTGCTTTCACCGGGAATTCCTTCGTTCCATGTCGATGCAAACAGCCGCGATAATTTCTTTGAGTCCTTTCAGAGTATTCTGGGACTATTTTACAGGCAAAACCATGCTCTCCGATCAATTCCTTCTGGTAGGTCCGATCCATACCTGTAACCATAGCGACATAAGTTTGTGTATAGATGTAGAAAATGCACAGAATATCGTGTAATTCATCTTGATATGAAGATCCTTTGGTGATATCAGGGTAACACGTATATATGAATGTACACGTATGAACATTTATAGCCTATTTTCTACTAGGCGGAATTTTCCAAACTAAGGTCAAATTTGCAACACGATTGGCTGTCAAAAAATAATGACGACATCATCTACCAATTACGCACGTTATCAGCTATTACGCGCTGAAAATTCCGCCTAGAGGAAAATAGCCTTTAGGCTACACACGCTCTACATTACCATCTAAACCATGCGTTACTGCTATGGTAGTAACGTACCTCCATAGTAATCAATACGACTTAATTTGTGCTGTCCTGAATACCATGCTTCAAAAGGCTCAACAATATTTCCATACGGTAAAGAGAGGACACCCTTCGCGTGATAGTTTGAAGGAAAATTGAGAATCTCCTTGGCAGGAATGTGGACACGCTTCTTTTTCACAGCTCGCAAAGATCTCTTTGTAAATCTGGATTGAGTTTTGTCGCCATCTTCGATCGTCTGAACATTCAGTAAATTGGTTTCAAAGAGCAAAACTAAAGCAAAAAAAAACAAAACAAGCGCGGATCGTGTTTTAAAATAGTTTGTGGTTTTTTGAAATGAGTTATGCACATAAATCGAGCCATGGAAATTTTAAAACAATATCATTGTTCGTGCCTTTAGAAACCCACTGTTTTTATAGTGAGAGAATGCAGTAAAATTCAGAGAGCGGGACTTAATTTGAATGCTGACAATGATACTAAATAAAGCGTATTGATGTATAAAACAAATCTACAGAATAAAGTAACGGTGTACCGCATGCAGTACCGCATAGTGTGGTCGTACATGTTTTTTACTTTTACAAGATCTATATTCTGATAAGCTTCGACTTTCCCACCTGCTTTATATAGTTGGAAAAAAAACAAGGGGGGAGTGTTTAAGCTCATTCAGCCATGTCTGGTAAAATGAATTGCACCCTGGCAGTACACTTTGCTTCATACTATTAAAGAGCTTGTGAAACCAAATTTTACCATAGTTTTATAATTGTATCGCAAAGACCGGTCATAATGACTTAAAAACTTCTTCAGTTTAATTCCTTTATTTTACCTCTTCTAGAGATGCTCAACTCGTTTATTATGCAAATAACTTCACTGTGACATCACAAGACATAATTAAGACTTGGAAAATGGCAATTTTGTCGACAATGTGCCGTGAAATATCAAACTTTAGCATATATATATATATGGCATAGATGCACATACTCATTTACGCGTTTATTCATTTAACTGTCGTACACGCAAATTAAGTGTTTTCATGATGAGAGAAATTGATGGTCTTTGAAACAATACAATGCTGTTTGCACAATGAATGATGTTAGATATTCAGTAGAAAAAAGTACTACAGCACAAATCTATTCATGAAGTTATATTAAGCCATTTCAGGTGTTCAGTGCAACACAATAAAAAAAATTGTATGGTAAATTTCCTTTTATAAGCAATTTTAGAAAAAGTGGATTACTCTGCTACTGTAGATATCTTTATGTCGGTTCAATCACTAAATGAATTTGGACTACGGTTTTCATACGCGTGTGGCTCAAACTACGTGCTGCAAACAAACAAGTCCGTTGAATTATACTTTACGTAGAGGCTGTAGAGCAAAACAAGAGTTCTACCAAGTTTTAACAAACAAGTTTTTACTATACGCAAACAATTAAATTTGTGCAGTATGCTATGACACAAGTAAAATGATAAACAAACGGCAAATGCGTACGGCAACGATTTCAATGTTAAAATCTTACCTACAGATATCAGTAGCAAGGTTATTCTCCTCTTTCGCCCAAGAGCAACGTATCTATGAATTCCCAGCAGCCGTACTAAAAGATATCTGATAAGTGAAAACATATGCCTGTAGAAAGTGAGAGAAGCATTTGTACTTCATCAATCAGGGAACAACGTTCATAACTCTATGAAAGTGCGCTCAACATCTCAAAAACTCATTGAAGAAAATTGACTTCAAACGTCATAAAAGGAGTTGACTAAAATTGCATGTTTTTGTTGTGTTTTTTTTTTCAAACAAGATATTCGGCATGCCTATTTTTGTATGTGATCTGACAGGGTTCGTTCAAGCTCGCGGACAGGATGGTCTCCTAGGAGCAAAAATACGCATTTCGACGAGCGAACACGTCGCCAACAATGGTGTAGGCACAAATATCTTGCCTTTGAAAACGAATCAATTTATTTTGGATTGTTAGTGTTGAAAACATCTTTAAATAAGACTGGATTGTATATTCGCATTCCATAATATAACAACCTGTAGACCACCCGCTCTTTCTAATACATCCTTAGAAAGAAACAATAAAGACGAAATTAAGTAAAATAATTGAATAGAAGTATGGAAAAATGAAGCAAATTATATTCACAAGATATCTACAATCTACTTTTAAATAGTACTGAAATGTTCACAGAAGGAGGGTTGTATTCAAAGATGGGTTAGCAATTCATCAAGGTTTAGAAAGGAATCCTGTCCGGTATGGCGAATGTTTTAAAAATGCCACAAAAGCTACCTACCGTATTTTAGGCTGAAACTTCAAATTTCAAAAAGATTTTTTTCCAATCCTGGATTAAGATAACCCATCTTTGAAAAACCGTCTCAAGCATTATCCCAGTTGATTAAATAATAAAGCGTTCAAACCCAATTTGTTGCGAATGAAAAACAGAAATTCACACAAAGATTACCGTATAGCGTAGCCAGCCGTCAGATTTACTATCGCAACGTAAATACTGAAGGATTAGCATTATTCATTTCTTTAGAAATCTATTGTTCTCACTGTCAGTGAACACGAAAATATTTACAAAGCGGGAGTAAAAGGTCCGGCTGGCTTCGCTAGCGATAAGATTCCTTAAAAATGCCAGTCTACTTCAGTGAATATGGAATGTAAATTTCAACAGCACCGTTCCAACCCAATAAGTAAACACCGTTTTAACTAAGCTATCTTATTCAATACGTATACATAATATTTAAATAATTCGACAAGACTATGATTTCCACTGTTGCAGTTTTCATGCATGCATGCATACAGGCGGCGGCGGGGGGGGTGTGTCTTTGAAAAACAAAAAAAGTTATTATTAAAACAAGTTCACAGCAATCGTTAACACAACATTTTACTGCAATACAATAATGCACAAACTCGGTCTATTGACCTATTATTGGTCGGACATGGCCACGTGTCCTCGTGTCCACCTATGATTCGTCGGACATGGTCACGTGTACACGTAAAAGGATGCGTTATGAAGCATGCGTTTTTTGGGGGTTACTTACATGGCGGATACATGCATATGAAAAAACGCAACAGCAGAAAACAAGACTCACATAAATACATTGCGTGGCTTAATAATACATTTAATAATACATTTCATTTGCAAATTAATTGCGACAAACTAATTAATGAATCGATTAATTATCAATTAATGATCAACTGACCTTTTTCATTGCATCTACCGTCATTCAAACAGAACGATAAGTTGCACCCTATTCCCGATAGGATCCACAGTTTCCCAGTGGCCATCTGTAACGCGCTTTGCAGTTGCCTTTATGTCTTCGGCTAACTTTGAAAAACTCTCGATGCAAATACAAAGAACAATCGAGCTACACACCTCTGTAGTAATGTCGTTGTTTTGAATGAGAACCAACTCCAAGTCACTAGCAAGAGAATAAATGGCACAGGTGGTACCGGTAACCGAATTGGGACGATTTAAACATTTCCTATTGGTGATACCGCCATAAAAGCGTTTCATTTCCTCCATGTTTCTCGAAAATCGAATCGCGACTTGTACCCCGTGCGCGCCTTTACTTTTGAGCAAAGACAACAAAGGCGCAGGTCGATTTCTCAACGCGTAAAAATGCTCGTATTCGGGATCAAAGGAATGTGTGATATTCTTCTCAATCCATTCGTCGCTATTTTCAGATAAGCACTTCTGGAGACTTGCCATATTTCGGTTGGCACGAGCGCCAAACAGCAAAGAAATGTTTATCGAAGGGTTGAGTGTGGTTATTGCCGGTAACTTATCGCTCTCGACTACCCGAAGGTAACGGAAATTTGAGCAAAACTTAACTAATGCATTCGAAAAGGCATCGCTGATTAATTCTCCCGTTGATTTTGATGTCTGTATTTCGACGTAAACCTTTGGCAAAGGATCAAGGCTTACAGCTGAAACAAATATAAAATAACAAAAAGTTTACATTAAATCACTTCTGATAAAGACACTAGACTGGAGTATATAAGGACTCAAGTTTCAACATCAGATCACTTCTGATGAAGATATTAGACTGGAGAATATAAAAATCAAATTTCAACATCACATCACTCCTGATGAAGATATTAGACTGGAGAATGTAAAAAATCAAATTTTAAAATCACATCAGTCCTGATGAAGACACTAGACTGGAGTATATAAGGACTCAAGTTTCAACATCAGATCACTCCTGATGAAGATATTAGACTGGAGAATATAAAAAATCAAGTTTCAACATCACATTACTTCTGATGAAAACACTAGACTGTAGTATATAAGAACTCAAGTTTCAACATCAGATCACTACTGATGAAGGCACTAGACAGGATTATATAAAAACTCATGTTGAAACATCAGATCATTCTTGATGAAGACACTAGACTGGAGTATATAAAAACTCAAGTTTCAACATCAGATCACAATTGATGATGACACTAGACTGCAGTATGTAAGGACCAAAGTTTCAACATTACATTAAACCAACATTACAATAACAAAAACATCAAACTGGGGTTTTAACATCTCACACTGATAAAAATAGTGAAACAACCACATATTTATCTTAATGATGATCTTACCTTCCAAGCACTTGATACCAATATTTCCACATCTGATTCCATTTTCATGAACATATTTATCTCTCAGTATGGCATAACTAAATGGCTTCATCAGTACAATTGCATAACTGGCATTATGATAGAGCTCAAGCAATGTATTGTTGCAGATTTTCTCCAAATGCAGCATAATACTTTTCATTTGTTCTTCATGTACAGATTGATCAAATAAGAGCAAACTTGCTATATGATCGCGAAGATGCCTGTAACCGCAATTAAACTTTTTGATGATAGGTTCCTTGACCTAAAGGACAAAAGAAAGTATACTGCATAAAATAATGTCCCGAAATTTGAGACAAGGACCATATGGCTGAGTTAGGAAGTACTTGATCTATTCAGATTAGGTCATTTTTTCAGACAAATGGCAACTAAGACTTGAACCAAATTTCAAAATATTGTGGACATCAATATAATGTGTTCTTATAATCTACAGTATTCTACACATTTCTACAAAATGTTTTTAATTAATGAAATTGTCTTTGGAAATTCATGGGATACGCGAAACCAAGCCCTTTTTCCTAAAACAACATAATTATTCGTTTTAATTAATTATGTATTTTCCATTTTGTATTTTCAATTTTGTATGGAACTGTGATTTGTGAGATAACATGTCAACTACAATAGAGTTTTGCCTCAAAGTATGACTTGAAAGTTGAAATGAAAACACTGAATTTAGTATTAATTTACAATCAACATTGCCAAAACTTCCTCAAATTATAAAGATTCTCCCACGCCTTTTATTTAAACTTTAAAGTTCATAAAATTATTTGGATATCATCATAATTTTAAACGCCAACAGCGAAAACGCTCTCTTTCATTCCCCATAGAATACTTAGTACACATACTTTCTTACTTTATAAAACCTACCGTCCTTATTTTGCTCCTTTCTTCTTGTACAGCTTTATTTTCAGAATTAATAAAACACTTCGGCAGTAATGAATCAGCGCTTACAAATTTCACAACGAGTTTCGAAGATGCACCATCAACTTCGTTATTCTCAATATCTTCTGGAAGCTCCTCAAACAAAAAATTTAGCCCAACATCAAGCTCATCAAGACTTGAGTCGGTCATCATTTCAACAATAAAGCAGATAAAAGGCGAACAAAAATAACAGCACAAGTAATTGTGACAAGAATCTAAACTAGTCAATGGACTGTTTTTAAAAAAATTTGTACACAAACCTATTCGCAGGCTTTTATGAACACAATGAACACAATGAGCAATGGACCAATAGCACCCAAAGTGTTCTTAACGAAATTCAAAGATGGAAATAGATTTCAAGTCTTGCGCTTTGGCATTGAAATTTGGTTTTCTATTTTGTCTTGTAATTTAATTATTTAATAGAAAATAAAATAAAACAAACGAAGCTACATAAACAATTGTTTACGTTCCTCGTTTGAACGATCCTGCCAGGACTCGAACCTGGAATCTCCTGATCCGTAGTCAGGCGCCTTATCCATTGGGCCACAGGACCACTTGTCAACATAGTTTTCCAAAAATATTGTTATTGTTTAAGGCATGCTTAACTGATCACACGTGCCTAAACTATCACTCTACCTCTTTATTCATCACAAGTATATTATTTATAGTATAACCACATACTTTTACCAAAGAATATAATCTGTAAATTATTATCTACGTTTATTGAAGTACACACTCTTTTAAAATTTACGATGAACAATTCTGCTCCAGAAGTAGCAGTGAATTCCGTCCTAAAACCAAGTGATAAAATGGCAGATGATTCTCCTATTGTAAAAGGTTACGATTTCAACAACGGTTTAGACTACGATGCTCTAATAGCCTCATATAAGTTATGTGGATTTCAAGCCACAAACTTCGGGAAGGCTGTGGACGAAATCAACAACATGGTAAGCTATGGAACTAGGGGGGTAGGGGGAGTTACAATAGCCATAATAATCCCGTGGGAGGGTAGGTTGTGACTTGTGCATAGGGGCGAAACTAGAATATTAAGTGGGGGGGGGTGAATATTCATATATTCATCTCTGCTGGACTGATTTGGTTTGTTAGCGATTACAATTTCTAAAGAAATCAGCATGGCAGAACTGAATATATGAATATTCACCCCCCTCCACTTAACATTCTAGTTTCACCCCAGGTTGTAGGTAGCAGTTATTGTTTAGTATGTGGGGAGCCTCAGAGATTCTATGGGAAACAATACATAGTACTAAAATGTTGTCATCAATGTTCAGATTACTAGAAGATTTGAAAATCCACCAAAAGAAGGACAGAAAACAAACTGTATGATCTTCCTTGGTTTCACATCCAACATGATCTCGTCTGGAATAAGGGAAACAATACGTTATCTTGCCGAGCATAGCATGGTTAGTAACGATAACATGTGAGTCACATGCATTGAAGAGACGACATGATATTCTTAACTACTCATAGGCTTATGGGTGTGGGAGGGTGGTCAGCTGCCCTCCCAAGAAATTTTTGAGATTGAAAAGTTGGTAAATTTTTAGAGATAGTCAAGCAAAAATATGGCAGAACTTAGCTCCTATGTGCCTGTGTAAGTACTTATTATTCAACATATCTTATCAAGGTTGATTGCATTGTAACATCAGCTGGTGGTATAGAGGAAGATTACATAAAATGTTTTGCTCCAACTTTCATCGGTGACTTCACTTTAAAAGGCGCTGAACTTCGTCACAGAGGCATGAACAGAATCGGCAATCTTATTGTTCCTAATGATAACTACTGCACTTTTGAAAATTGGTTAACTCCAATCCTTGATCAAATGCTACATGAGCAGAAAACTGAGGTTTGCTGACGATATAAGTTGTTTTTCAACATGGATGCGCCGGACTAGAAAGTATGAACAAGGAAATTTTGAGAAAAGCAGGCATTTTTTCTGTGCAAATTTTGCATCTTTGGTGCACAGTTTACATACTTTCCAGTCTGGTGGATGCTGAACTAACGTGTCCATGTTACAGAATTCACAATGTATATTTGAATCTAGAAAATAAATTGGACTCCTTCAAAGCTAATTGACAGACTTGGTAAAGAAATAAATGATCCTAAATCTGTTTACCATTGGTGTCATAAGGTAGGCAAGTTAAGATGTGAATGTTATTTCATGAGAAGATTGTTCCAAGCTTAAACTTAACTGATGTTTGTTTACATTTTAGAATAAAATCCCTGTTTTTTGTCCGGCCATAACCGATGGATCGATCGGAGATATTTTGTATTTTCACTCCTATAAAAATCCTGGTCTTGTCTTGGACATAGTTGAAGGTTTGCCTGTGATTCGTCTGCGCATGCTTGTCTATGACGTAATAGTTCTCTGACGCAGTTTTCAACTCACGTTATTAGATATTCGTCGAATGAACAATCAAGTAGTTTTTGCCAGCAATTCTGGAATAATCATCTTGGGAGGGGGACTATGTAAACATCATATATGTAATGCAAACATGATGGTGAGTAGCAAGGACGAATTGAAAAAAAACCTAGCACAAAACATGGTCATGAAAACTTTCAGAGACAAAAAAACCTCATAAAATCAGTTTTAAACAGCTACAAATCAAAACAAACAAACGCAAGTCCGCTCTTTGGATGTTTACCTTAAGTCAAATGATTTAAACCCCTTCTTAATTGTTGCAAGAAAGGCAATAGAACTGTTATACTTAGGGATGGACATTTCTAAGTAAATATAACTGGGATTAGTTTTATTTTTAATACATTTGTTATTCCTTTAGCGAAACGGAGCCGACTTTTCAGTTTTTCTCAACACTGCTCAAGAATTTGACGGAAGCGATTCGGGTGCTCGGCCGGACGAGGCTGTGTCCTGGGGCAAAATAAAGGCAACAGCCACTCCAGTGAAGGTAATGTATGAGTTTTTCCTTATTTGTAAGCGCCCCACCATATTTTAAAACAACAATTTTGTGTCTATACAACTATCTTTTAACGATAACAACAGGTAGATGGTTTTTCAGAACTAAACACCGACTTTAGTCACCGCTCACTTTGTAAGTAATAAAACAGTCATTTTATTTTTCAGGTTTACGCCGAAGCAACGCTGGTGTTTCCGTTACTGGTTGCGGAAACTTTCGTTAAGAACTATGAGCGCAAGAAGAGGGAACTGGAAGCGAGGACAAAAATATGATTTCGAACTCCCCACTATTTCAAATTAAGACCGAACTCTTTGGGTCTAACACTAAATGTCTTATAGCGCGTTCAGACTCAGTGCCCCGGTACGGTACTCAGGCACGGGCACCAATGTGAACTCAATAATTTGATGGTGCCCAAGTCAAAGTGCCCGGGGTCTGGGTACCACGAAAAGTGGTGGTACCCGAGTACGGTGCTCGGGCACGGGCACCAATGTGAACGACGACACCTAAGTAACGTGTACAGAGAGGCACTTATTCAGCATATGGTTTTAAAACTTGTTTGCAATGAAAAACATGAAATTTATTAAAAGACGAATCTAGTGGGGACTACGTTGTGTGAACGGTCTACAGATTTATGCCCGAACCAGGGTATTGTACTCCGACGCTCAGTCTGAACGCGCTATTAAATTGAGTCTAAGCAAATTCTGTCTTAGTTCGAAAAGGCGCAGACTTAGAATTCGCTATCATTTATTTCAAAGCCGAACAATGGCGGAATTTGACTCTTCCCTTATACTTATATAATTATAGTATTACGTATAAATGGAGGAAATAAAAAGTAATGAAACAATGATTCACAAGACGATTAATATTTGTTTTGATAACAATGGTTTAATTTAGTTTGAAAACATACGTTTTTGTATTAATTACTTCGAGGTCAGTTGTTCAAAGATGGGCTAAAAGCTGACACTCGATTCTTGTTTAATCCAAAACGACGAATTTTTATAAAGTTGAACCAAATCCTTGATAGCTTATCGTGATTAAAATTTGATTCAACTAGAGGTGACTGTTTAACACTAGGGAATATTCTAAGCAATAAAACAAAAATTGAATTTAGTTTATACTTGCACAAAGTTTATTTTGCAATCCAACGATCTACGTTTTAACAAGAGACTACAAAAATACCTAATGCGTTAAACGTTTTTATGTTTTTCATAATGTCCGTTCTGAAGTTGCATTTGCTCTCAAATGTCAAAAGTGTTTCATGTGCCAGCCTGTTTACCGATTATTTAAAGGCACATAAGTAAAGCAAACTCGGTAAACAAGCCTGCGTCACATGTCGCACTAAGGAAAACAATAATTATCACCCTGTAGGTTCCATGCAGGTATCATGTAGGCATCATGTAGGTATCATGCAGGTACCATGTAGGTATAATGTAGGTACCATGTAGGTACCATATAGGTACCATGTGTGTACCATGCAGGTACCATGCAGTTGCCATGCAGATACCATGTAGGTACCATATAGGTACCATGTATGTACCATGTAGTTACCATGTAAGTAACACGTCGTGTTTTACATGTAACGCGATCAAAAACTTACCACGATCGTATCAGATCACGACATGGTGGTGTTCACAACCATTTCATGAAGCGAGGGAAGGCGTTGGAATAAAGTGGTTTGAAAGTTGATGTTCTTTTAAGTATTCGCCTCCTTTCTCCTCGTAATCTTGCCTGGTTATTGATACGCTTGATAGATCCGAAACAGTCCTTGCCCATTGCCTCATGCCAAGCCACGAGTCAAGACTAAAATTGCCTGACAAAAAAGCAAACACAAAAAACAACTAACACTCTGTATATATACGATCACGTGCGCGTTTTATTTCCCCGAAGTGAAAGAATATTATAATATCGCAAATTTTCACAGATTGAAAGGTTTTTCGAAGTTAGAAACACTTTTTGGACTTGAGATCGGGCAAGATTTGAATCCTTCATAAAAGGTACGAACAAAGATTTTGTTTGCAATGTATGAAAGATGATAAATGCCTCAAGGAATCATTACTCACTTGCTCTGTTCACTTTAAACGTGGACTGAAAAGGACGGAAAGCAAGTAACTCTTTTTCTAATCTTGTACAGAAATTCGTATACTGCGCGTTTCCTCCAGTAACAAATATGTTCTGAAATAAAATTATCACGTTTAGTTGAAATGAGTTGTTGTATACTCCAGTCTAATGTCTTCATCAGGAGTGACCTGATGTTGAAACTTGAGTTCTTATATACGCCAGTCAAATGTCTTATTAGGAGTGATCTGATGTTGAAACTCGAGTTCTTATATACTTCAGTCAAGTGTCTTCACTAGGAGTGATCTCATGTTGAAACTTGACTTGTTATATACTCTAGTCTGGTATCTTCATCAGAAGTGATCTAATGCTGAAACTTGTGTTCTTATATATACTCCAGTCCACTGTCTTCGTCAGTATCTTAGTGTACATGCTGCAAATATTACATCCTTACCTGAACCAAATTATTTTGAATCGCTGGGGGATACTTCTTCAAGATGAACTCGACAACTTCAGCAATACCCGCTTGTTCGACACCAAGCATTGAAGGTTGAAACAAAACCTCGGGCACTCTAATAAAAAAATTTACAAATACAACACTTCATGATGATAATTTGCAAAAAAAATGCAAGAATGTCATGCCGTTATTTAAAGGCACCACCAATGATTTAGAACCCAGTCTTCTAAATGTCTAACTACCGTGTCAAGGTGAGGCAAAGAAGCCATCTTGAAAGGTGGCCAAAAGCAAAACTCAAAATGAAAAGTAAGTTAAAACCTATCCTATCAAACATTTAAAGAATTAAACCTGGACTATACACTTTGCACCTCTATATCAACTCAGCAAAAGCATATATTACTCGTAAATATCGTCAGTTTTGCCAACTTTCAAGATGGCGGCTTGCCTCACTCATTACTATACAATATTGGCTTAGTCAGTTAACTAGTACATTGGGTTCTAGATCATTTGGCACCACCATAAAGTTCACAACATTATAAATTTTTTTTGACATTTTCGACCGCAGAAGCTACGAGTTCAAACGTCAATAAATACTGATACACGAACGGAGGCGAATCGCGGCAAACACGAAGGAGCGAGTTGCGGTCAAACTTACTTCCGGTGGAGGGGTGAAAAACGTCACTCAAAAACAAGTAACGACTCACATACCGGCAACGTTCAATGCCCACAGTTAACTGATAGTAACTTTCAACGTCCATAACTTGAGAATTATCTTCCTCGCTAAAGAAAATCATTAAAAGCTTTTTAACGGTGAACGTACGCCGGCTGATGAATGGAGTGTTTTCAGAGTCCGCTATGTTCGTAGACAGCCCCACAGGGTGAAAAAAAATTTGTTCATTTTATCCTCTGTGGGCCATCGGTCTTATGACGTAACCTACCAAAAGGCCCAAATGGCGTCATATGAAAACATGCCATAATCACAGATCTCGAGATTATTGACCAATCAATGAAAATCTAATCAATGATTCAAAAAAACATTACAGTCCTTTTTTTGAGATCAGCGACAGTAATGTTACATGTTTGTAAATGTAGATCGTCCAGGTTGGTATAGTACTGAGAAGGACTATTTTTGTTGTTGTTGACTGATGTTTCGACAACCTTAGCGGTAGTCATCTTCAGAGTCAAATGAGGAGTAAAAGTCAGGTTAGCCGTATTTGTTATCTGGTTCTTACGTCATTGTATTGTGTGTACAGGAAATGGGTATTGTCATTGTGAATTAGTGTGAAGTGAAATATTTTATTTTTAGTTGTGATGCGTGATTTAGGTGTGATGTTTTTAATTTGACTCTGAAGATGACTACCGCTAAGGTTGCCGAAACGTCAGTCAACAACAAAAAAAACAGTCCTTCTCAGGACTATACCAACCAGGACGATCTACATTTACAAACATGTAACGATACTCCCGGGTTCAAACCATTTACTTCATAATGCTATGTTTGCAATTGTGCAGAAAAACAACTAACGCGAGGAAATCTGGATCGTGTTTCTTCAAGACATTTTCAATTTCTCCAAGTTCTTCCTGTTCTCTCTCGCTGTCTGAGTCGCCGGCATCTTTACTCTAAAGATAAGTTAAGAGGTCGTAAAATCAACTGAACTTTTGAAAAGACTTTGGTTCTAAAGGAATAACACTTTTAACAAATATTGTGTCGAGACTAAAGGGAAGAAGTTATCCGAACACCACTGAGATGTTCTCCAACCAACAAAAGCAAGTTTCGTACAACTTCAACTCACAATATTGGCAGGCGTTAAAAGTTGACATACAGCTGTAGACCAATGTAACAATACATGTATATAACATGAAGTAATGCGGAGGATTTCGCAGTTCGCCGTCAAGTCGATTCCTTGGAAAATTTTAATAAGTTTTTAAAAAAATATATTCTTACAATATGTCTATAGACCATCCAATCATCGTCATTCATTCCGAAAGTATCATCTTTCGGTTTCTTATGACCGCCTCGTAAGGAACCGTCTTCACGAACTGTAAAATGCAAAACAAAAAAAAATCAATCTCGTAGCTGCAATCAGCATCAGACATTATCGACAGTAATTATTTCATTCAAAGGACACTTGAAATTAAGCGATGTCAATGCGTACGTTTACAAAAGAAGTTACCTCTCACCTTTAGAGAAAAATGATTGGAATGGTTGAGCACCCCCCTGACACCACTAAAGTACAAGCAGGGGGGGGGGAAAAAAGGTTTAACCAGCATTTTTACGATGAAACAAAACTATCTTTCATGTAACTTATAGCAGATGAATGCTATGTACATGCGTATTCAAGCACTATCATGTGACATATTGCCAACGAGCATGCGTACTAACTGTTTGGATCGTGAGCCAGCTTCGATATTATTCTCATTCTCTCAATGGACGCTGCACTTCGACGTTTGCTTAAGTCATCCTTTCGTTGTTGACGTCGCTGACGTTTGTCGAGAATTTTCTGGTAAAAAAACATTCAATTATGTATTAGATCATGGGCAAAGAGCCTCGAACTTTAATCTATTATATAATGAACTTAATAGAACTCTATAAAAAACAACATTAAAGCGCATGCGCTGATTAGTCAATAGGTAAGTTTGCAATAGCCTGTGCAAGCGCAAACCGATCTCAGCTCAATAAGTTAAATCAATCAAAGAGAATTTGCAATTCAATCAGAAATACATGTTAACGAAAAAATAAACATTTACTTTAAATTTATCAATTTTGCATCAGTGTTATTATATATAGAGAGCTTCGGTCTCGGGCTTGCACTTATCTGCTCTCGAGTTCTTCAAAGGTCTCCTCGGTTTGCATAAGTCTTGCAAACACAGTAAACGTCTTTTATTTTCCAAACATAGACTTTTAACACAATGTGCCAGTAATGAATGAAGCCAGTTCACCTGTCTACGAGAATGCAGACTTGCCAACCACTCTTTTACTTCAGGTGAAATAACCTTCTGTTTCTTCTCTTTCGCCTCCATTGCTTTGTCTTTTACGTTTGAACTAGATTCCAGTTTTCGCTGATGAAATATACATAAGCATTATAAGTACGTCGCACTCATAAAATGATTTCTCCGAATGTGTGCTAAGAAATGCACAGTCAGAAACCGCATAATATGAATTTTTTCTGCTGAGCAGTCCTTACTATCGAAGCTTGTATTTTTTTTACTTTCTCTCCGCGTTTCTTCGTTACATTTGATAAGTTCTCAATCGCAAGTTGAAATTCCTGAAAAAAAACACACACAAAACTTCACTAATTGAACAAAGTAATGTATTTTTCCAAGATTTTTACCCTGGATGATCTGAGTGGACATATACGTACACAGTGGACATATACGTACACAGTGGACATATACGTACTCAGTGGACATATACGTACTCAGTGGACATATACGTACTCAGTGGACATATACGTACTCAGTGGACATATACGTACTTAGTGGACATATACGTACTCAGTGGACATAAACGTACTCAGTGGACATATACGTACTCAGTGGACATGTACGTACTCAGTGGACATGTACGTACTCAGTGGACATGTACGTACTCAGTGGACATGTACGTACTCAGTGACGACAAAGCCAGCCCGATCTTTTACTAGTACGTACGTATGATGCAAAGTTTTCAAAAAAATGACCATTTATTTCTTTAGAAACTTCGTTCTATTCATTCTGTTTCTAACGATTAAAGGCAAAAATATTTGCATTTCATGAGTTAAAAAACGGGCTCGCTTCGCTACAGCACACGCGAGGGAATTTTGGCAGTTTGATATGAAATATATTTTTGACTAATATTTAACCTCAACAGTTGAAAAGCCTTCTTTCGTCAGAGCATTCTGGAAAAAAAACAAATTGGGGAAATTGCTAGAAAACATAATAGAAGAGAATGCTTTTGCTCGTGAATGCATGTTTGCTAACCTTAAATTTGGTCTCACTGTTTTCAAGTTTTCGAATCTTAAACAACTTCTTGAGTAACGTCTCCTCTTCGGCTAGCTTTAAAAATACTCGGAGAAAAAGATTTTAAATCAACACGAACAATGACATAAGCACAAGAGCAATATGTAGTTTTTTGTAACCGTAATACTAAATAGTGTGTCCTGCACCAAGAGTCCTTTTTAATAAAAATATACACTTATTGAAAAAATAAACCCAAATACAGAAAAATACAACATTTGGAAACTATCTCGTTCCCAGTGCCTTCTCATCTCGATATACAACCAAAACAGAGGCAGTGATGGCGGCGAGGCTGCGCACTAAAAATCCATAGACAGCTTATGACAAATGGTTTTGCAAGACGGTAAAGATTGTACACTACCTTATCTTGTAGTTTCTTGCAGTTCACTTCCTGAAGTCTCCGACCTTGCTTCTCCTTTCTCAATCTCTCCTTCTCTTCGTCTTTAGGGTTTGCATTCTGTGCGTTCGATGGTTGTGTGAATGGAAGTTGCATTACGCGTTCATTCGCATCCGAGAAATCGTCATTTAACCATCGAGAAAGTTCTTCCTGGTAGTCTGGGGCGATGTATGAATGATCGTGCACGATTTCCTAAATCAAATACCGCCTGCTCAGGGCTCTTGTTTTGCAGGGTCAAGCGATACAAGATAAATTTAAAAGACTAACTTGGGCTCGCGATAACGTGATTTGAGCGGCATGGCCCGGATATTTCAACTGCAACAACTTCTGCATGTATGCTACAACCTGACTTCCTCCGACATTGATTCTAAAAATCACGAAATTTGATCAAAACAGAATCCTTGATATGAAGACCAGAATGCACTGCGAGAAAAATTTCGATCGACTCGCGTCAATTAGCCACAGAAGTAAACACAAACCTTTTGCAACTTTTCGAGTCCAGTTTTCCATTCACAACTGGCAAGATGTGAGATACTTGATAACCAGATGAGATGACTAAAGCATTCTTCCTCTCTGAAAAATTCACTCATAATGTAACGAAAAATGCGAAACGCAAAAAGCCACACGAAAGAACTTAATCTATAATTGCATACGACCAAAAAACTTCACCTTCGTTAGATTGGTTGTAGTATAAGCTGAACAAACTGTCAATTCCAAATGCAACTTGTGGAATTTGATAGCACTCGAATAAAAGCTCGTTCATTACTGATAAAAAGATGAAGAAATTAAATAAATTTCGCAAAAGTTTGGCTCTGAAAAGAAAACAATATGTAATGATAAGCCTCGGGGGAAGAAAAAGAATCCAAATACACTTGTTCATGGGATTGTTGACAAAAACAAAAAAATCAAGTAAGACTGAACAATTGGTTGTACTTAAACATACAACCATTACAAATATTCAATAGAAACCATTACCAGAAGTTCTATTTTAACAAAGAGCAATATATTTATAGAGGTCGTGAAAAAAACATTAGAAAGGCGAGTTTTCATCAATATAATTGAATGGTAAATATTCGAAAATACTTTTGATCAAAATTTCTTGTCAAAGTTGGCTTCGAGAGTTTGATTTTGTCTAAATGATTATGAGCATTTAGGGAAGAATCGGAGTTAGGCTATGGGAAATGGAAAAACTACTATATTAAATATAAAAGACCTACATTGTCGTGAATAGTTGGGATTGCAAACACACTCGCTGAGGACAACAGGATGGTTAACACTTCCATGTGTATTAATACCAAGACGACTGAATATGTGATCAAATATTTGTTCCTGTTGAAATAGACGTAAAATAATGAAATGAGATCAAGATGTCAACAACTCTGTAACTTGGTATCAAAGTGGGATATATAGGTACTTAAGGTGATAATGTGGACCATTGAGGTTATTGCACGTGGCATTGAAAAAACTAATGATAAAGCCTTTTTATACATAAAAAATAGTACTTACTTAATATTTGCCAAACAATGAAAAAAGTTGGAATCATCAGCATTTTATTAGAAGGGCGATTTTATCAAAAGTATCATTAAAACTAGTTGTTTACTTGAGCGTCATAATGCGTAACAACATCACGATCGAATTGCGTCTTCAACGACCATCTCACAAGCTCAATATTTGAAATCTCATTTCCAATCAATATCTCCATGTCGCCATCCTTGCGTCCACGAGATTTTGCAATCACGTTTCGAAACATAAACGAAGGTTTCTCGTCGCTCAACCATCCAGCACGGCATTGATAACTACCTGCGGAGAGTTGAAAAGTAAATAGTCCTTAAATCGTGACAATCTTATATTATCTATAGATTTAATAGATCATATAATCGATCAATGATTGTACCGTTATCTATTAGTATTGGTGTATGTTCGTTTATCAACGACGATGAATATTCTCGAATTTCATCAGGCACCGAACGCAAATCCTGAAACGCATATACGTTTTTCTTCCATTCCTTTGACGCTAAACAATAACAAACAGTTAAACACACATATAAACCATCAATACGTCCATGCATGGTGGTCGAACAACTCAAATTTTTTGCTGCAATTCAGAGTTTTTACTATTAATCAATGAATTTAAGGACTAACTGAAGTTGAAGCTTGCATGAAACAGTTATCTTATAAAAACATGAACAAAAAAATGCTTTGCAAATACTTACGAGCTGACGATTCGTCAACTGACAATGATCGTAATGAGGCAGCCATGTTGGATTAATGAGCATCGTGGGATAAAGTGGGATAAATTTAAAACACAACGCATCCCCCGTTCAAAGGTTGATGGTCCGTGATGGTTGTGATCATAATTTGATGAGGTAAGGTGACTAATACCCTCAAAGAGCTCAAATGCTGTTTTTTCAGTGATTGCTTTACAACTACTGGCCACCGAAAACAGCGTCTATGTAACGGTTTCTAAGTCAAGAACGAATGTTGTATTCTAAAGTTGATAACATGGAGAATTGGAGATTGCCGATGACAATAAAGACTCATCGTGGACGTAGGAGCGTTTCAACACAGGAGAGAGGGGGGCGGGTGGGCTAGAAATCACGAGGAAATTTTTGAAAATTCAAATCCTCCAGACAACTGGTCTGAAGACACGTTTTTCTTTAGTGATTAAAAAATCTTTAATTCAATTATGACACGTCGCAAATTGCTACTCACTCAAGATTAAGCAACTCTTTGTTAATGACACTGTTTCCTTGACGTAAAAGAAAGTCTCCGCAGTCAATTAGGTTTTGTTGGCGCTTTGTCAATATCACGTTGAAGTTTTTCGTATTATATTCATTGTCAGGCTCTTCTAAAATTATGTTAATTCACGTTCGGCTGTCATCCAATCAAATAAGAAACTCGCATCACAAGTCATTATGATTGGCTATACATAAGAAAAGTATATTCGAGTTTTCGGGTATTAAAAACATGTAACAACAAAGTCACTGTAAAATCAATAAAAAATTCATAATCAGTTAAGCAAGTCACCAGGAATAAGGGCTTGGGTTCATTCATCTATGCTTCATGAATTAAGTTTTTAAAACAACAGCACACAAACATACAGGATTATCATTACGATTTTAACTGGAAATGTTCATCACATTCATTGTTTCTTTCTCCTTAAACACAGACAGATAGACAAAAAAATACAACCATTGGACTTCAAACTTCTTTAAATAATAAATGTATTATACAAACATTACTGCCTTCTTTGGCATAAATTACAAGCCAAATAATGGTTGAAAGTTTAAGGAAATATTCTCACAAATCTTTGAATGCACATCACACAATTATTTAACCTAAAGTTCATCTTTTGGAAGAGCTTGTCCATAATCTGTTGCTTCGCTACCTGTGAAGGCATCATGATGGGACATAACTTCTTCGGCAGTAAGTTTACCATCTTTATTATCATCTGACTGAGATATAAGATGTTTCACTTCCTCTTCAATAATTGTGGCATCAGTGTCGGGATTGATCCAAGCCACAAGCTCATCTTTATCAAGCGAGCCATCTTTGTCCTTGTCGAGTTCATTTTTGAATCGGTCACTCTCTTCTTTCACCCAGTCAGGTTCGCTTTCATCAGGATTTTCAGGATCCTTGTAATCACCAAGAAACTCCTCTAGATCAAGTTTCCCATCCTTGTTTTTATCCATGTCTGAGCAATAAAAACAATTGGATCAATAGATTAGCGATGCTAATTATCATTTCACACATTCTGTTACAGGTAATTTAAACAATGAAGTCAACAATACACCTGCCTCCTCAAATTGCACATGTACAAATCCTTTAAAATTCCCACAAAAATTAGATGCAAATAAGGGTGAAACATGATACGGGTAGATTACGCATGGTGGCCCAGTATTGCCAAACATATTACTTTTGATAGCAGTAAACTAAGCTAATTCAAACAATTTCTTTGCACTACTACACATCTAACCCAAATGATCGTAATAAAGTAAATGATTTTGACTTTGAAGATGAATACCGCTAAGGTTGTCGAAACGTCAGTCAACAACAACAAAAACAGTCCTTCTCAGGACTATACCAACCTGGACGATCTACATTTACAAACATGTAACACATCTAACCGTTCATGATCATCGAGTATTGACATGCTTACCTTCGAGAGTTTCTTTCGCATTCAAGGCTTTCATTTCCTCGCTGTTTTCTGGGTGCAAAAAGGTGCCAAATTCTGCAGCAGTCAATTTGCCATCTTTATTTGCATCGGCAACATTAAAATGGGTCCTGTCCCTTTCGACCATTTTTTTCATTTCTTCGTCATCGGGACTATATTCATCGCCATAGCTGTCCTTCAAAAACTCATCCCAGTCAATAAAGCTATCACCATTCTTGTCCTTTTCCTTAATATCGTTTTCAGCACCATCGTTCATCTTCTTCTTGAACACCTCTTTCACCCATGCTTTGAGTTCGTCCGAAGTAACGAACTTGTCCTCGTCACCATCAATTTTCTTGAACAGAATTTTGAGCCGTTTTTTAGCTTCCTCCGGCGACAAGCTGTCGAATTCCTCCTTTTGATCGCCCAGGAAGGCTTCCTTGTCGAATTCGGGGTTGTGTTCGCCGTTCTCCAGATAGGCTTCGTTCTCAAGACGCGACTCGTGAGGTTTAGGTCGTTCGGCCTTGCGTGCATCGGCAGGTCGTGCCAGCACATAACAAGCACAAACCGTGAACAGAAACACAGATTTTAGACTCATCTTCTTTTCCAATTTCAAAAATTGAGAACGGACAGTGAAAAGATAGCTGACTGCACGAGAACTACTCTCTGACAAGACATTAAAGAAAAACGTTTGAATTTAAAGTTGAGGGTTGGTAAACGTGGCGACAGCTGGTAGCGCCACCACAACTTCCGTCAGCTGAATGATGACGAGGCGGAAGTCAAATTAAATTGTCAAAGTAATTGCCAAAACAAGTATTGTCCAACAAAGTGCGAAGATCATATCTACATTTAATTTAAAAACAATTATTTTTAGTACAATCATACTAGTCTTCATAAGAAAGGTTTCTATAGTCCTCCGTAATTTTTTACTTAATGCATTTGTCGTTTCTTACATCGTTTGCATGTTTCGTTATTTTGATTGAATTTTTGTTTGTTCTACCTTTAAATACTATTGACGTTGTATACATGTAATGGCAACTTTGGTCTTCTCTTGAACTACATTCTGAAGTAAACTTACATTACTAAACAATCAAGTTTATCTTCAGAAACCTAAGTAGAACACGAGACTGCAGGGTAGGCAGTTTTTGCTATTTATGGCAAATTAGATAGCAAGTAGAGTAGCAAATCTGATTAAAGCATTTGCAATCATGAGATGAATGCCTTCGTTGATATCGTTATTTAAAGGAACGACTCTTGCTCAATGCAAAAATTAGATCGTTGTACTCCTAAGTTTGGAGAATTAAAAACACGTAAACAGTAATAAAATGTCTTATCAGAGAAACTCTTCAACTTTTACATAACATTTGTTCGTTTCTCCCAATCATAAATATCAACCAAAATATTCGTACGTGAAGATTGCATGTATTCTCATCGATGTATTTCATAAACTATATTTAAGGGAACTTTTATATCTTTCATGTACAAAATAGTAAAGAATAATTTTTCCAACCTTGACTATGCTTGATTACAACCATGATAACAAATTTTTTTGCAACATTTTAATTTATCTATGTATAATATATATATATATATATTCTTTCTTTTTAAATAACTTGACTAAGTACCCTCTCATTATTTGCTCGTATCGAAAATAGTCAGAAATGAAACTCGTTAGATTTTTTCCAAGTTAATAAAAAGGAGAATTCCTACCTCAATACAAAATTTTGACAACAAAAAACTCATCAATATAGCATAAAGTACATCGTAAAGCCATCACACTGCATTGAAGAATTTTCTCGTTTCAAAATCTTCAGCGGTTTTAATGTTATTATATTCACATATATTTCTGACTGTATCATTGAATACAACAATCAGCCGGCTGTTTCTTGGGAATCTTTGTATTTCTCACAACATGTTCAACGTGCCGTGCGACTTTCTCAGCCCTTGAAAAGAAAAAAAATTCATGGAACGTCATTATAATGTTGCAGCAATTATTGAATTCTAATTGAACAATGATGATGTAATTAATCTTGCAGTTTCATTATCAAGATGGCGTCGTTAATTAGACCTTTTCCTGGGTCATTTGGGAAAATATTCAATATTTTACATCTGCATGCAATCAATAGCGCAAAAATACCTTCAATGCACCAATTCATATGCACTTGAACAAAACACATATTTATTTAAGAATATTTATCAGCATTTAACAGCGTAAACATTCATTCATTAGAAATGTAGGTATAGTGATTGATGCCAATCGAGAATGATTAGAACAAATATAACATAATTTGCATAATAATTTGTATGTTAATTATAAATAAATACACAAATATTTGTTATATTTGTTCTAATAATTCTCGATTGGCGTAAATGACCATTCCAACAGCTCTAATAAATGTATGTTCATACTGTTGAATGTATATTTTCGAATTTCAATGCCTATCTGTTCAATTGAATGCTTATAATTTCTATATGTGCGTGTGATTCGGGGTATGTTTTGCTTTATTGAATACGCTTACTCCTGTATTTGAGAATCCTCGATTCGAACTAATTCATCGCGTTTGTTGACCAGACGAACCAATTCTGCAAGGAGAAGTTCCTCGCGTTTTTTCTCATGGGCGGTTTTTTCTCGAACTAAGAAAAAAAAGGCACATCACGTGACTACCGAACTATGAAAAATAAGCATGTCAAACGTACACGTGACTACCCAACTAAGAAAAATAGGCACATCACGTGACTACCAAACTATAAAAAATAAGCATGTCAAACGCACACGTGACTACCAAACTAAGAAAAATAGGCACATCAAACGTACAGATCACCAAACAATAAAATGTGCGTCAACCCCCAAACTATAAACATTAACAAGTAAAACGAACACGTGACTAACAAACTACAAACATAGGCAAGTCTAACGTACACGTGACTAACAAACTATAAAAATAGGCACCTCAAACGTGCACGTGACTACCAAATTTAAATAGGGAACTTAAAATTCTTACGCTTGTCAGTCATTAAAAATCGCAGTTCTCTGTTTAACAACTCAAATCGCTTCTCCAAATCTTCTTCTTTTTCTCTAAAATATAGATAACGTCCATGTTGAAAACTTCAAAAACAAAAGACATCATGAGTACTTCGTGTAAGCTAAGCCTAAACTACCTTCCCTAAACACAAAACACGATTTGAAAGAGCCACATGAAGGAGTCGGCGCTATGCAACACCAGACTATCAAGCAACAAGCACACTTAGGACAACACTTACAGAATGCTCAGCTCGGTCTGCCTTCGAACAATTTCGTTTCGCTTGTTAACAAGCAAAAACCATTCTTGAAACAGTCTCTGTTCTTCATCTTTACAATCTGGAAAGGATAACGTTGTCAAAAGAAACGATGACGTAATAGCAGGTCGTAGTAGACGATGACGCAAGGAACTTACATGATAAATATACAAGAATATATTTTTTGTTTTAATGCAATTTATAGGTTACCACACAATGTTATAAAATCAGTAAAATCTAAGTCTAGTTCCCACGGTCTTAAAATTTTTCGCGTTGAAATTCACAAATGGATCCACCACAGTACTTAAATATCCTAAGAGATCATCACTTTTGCATGCAGTAAACCACGTGATTACTGGCATTTTCCCATCAACAGTAGACTTTAAATATCTGTAACAAAATTCACCTTCCGTATTCATGACTTCTCTCAATTCTTTCTCGAGTTTTACGGCCACGCGATCTAAGGCAGCGCGATCCTCTTCCAACACGGCAATCTCGTGCTCAACGTACTGAGATGTATCTTGAAATCCCTACAGATACAAGAAGATAATCGTGAGAACAAGTCTAGGCCGTGTATCAGGAGCAGAACATCACGTTTTTCTCGGTTTATTCATTATGTTTGTTGCACAAATCAATCAATTGTTGGTTTGTGGCCGCTGATCATAGCATTAACACTATGTTAAGGGACAGGTTTAAATTACTAATACTGCTATCTACTACATGGCAAAATTTGTCCGACTATATATGAAAAGAAGTAAATACAGGACAAGACGAAGCGTCCTTTTCCATTAAACGAACCTCTTCGTCATCGCCGTTGTCATATAATTCTTCGTCACTTTTTTCTTCATTTTCTGACGTTGTCTCCACCTTAAAAACCCAATGTATGATATTGAAACCCATTCAGCATCCCTAAATCTCCAGTATGCGCAGTTTGTATTCATACAATATTCGTAGGGTGATAATCTCGGGATTCAAATGCATATAAAATACGCATTTTCATTACGATAGCCTTCATAACTTAATAAAAAAAAGGCATTTCACAGCCAAGATGCTCACTTACATTATCCAAAATATTATTGACATCTTCTTCAGAAGAACGGCCACGCTCCGAAAGCGATTCTGAAAACCAAATAATAAGCGTCGTCTGTTCAGAGGAAGTACAAAGATGCTAAACTAAACCTTAGGGTCATCTTATATATCCTTCCCACTTATCCCCACTTGTATGTACAAAGGTATACAAATATGTCAACGAAAATAAGAAAAACCTTGACTGCTCGGAAGCGTAGCGGAGGACAGCTTCACACTAGTCTCTGTATTTTCAATATCCTTCCCACATATCCCACTTGTACCATGGTATACAAATATGTCAACAAAAATAAGAAAAACCTTGACTGCTTGGAAGCGTAGCGGAGGACAGCGTCACGCTATTTTCTGTATTTTCAATATCAGCGACGCCACGAGTCTTCACACTGTATTTCTTCAAATCGATCTTCGTCTCACGAACATTACCTGATTACAAGACAAAAAAATTTTCTACATTTGCTCAAAAAACAACACAACTAACCGGATCAAACTAACATTTGTAGCTCGTTATAACAACTCATGATTCATTGGACAACAGCAATAAAATACTGCTTGAGGAGAATGCAAGCCACCAATCATCGTAAACACAAAGCATTTAGTACACAGTTTTGCACATCAACAGCACTTTTACCATAAAATACATAATATGGAAGATCATATCTTGTGATTTTTCTGCAAGCGCTATACGTCAATGTGGCAACTCCGGGAATATTTTAATTTGAATCATAATTTCGTAAAAGCACTATCGCTAATGCGCATTTGATGTAGACGACGAGTTTTATGAAAATAGACATGTTTCGACATCTCATGATGCCATCTTCAGTATGAGTGAATAAATACATATTACTTTTTTATAAACTTTGTATTATTTATGTGATTCATTCATACTGAAGATGGCATCATGAGATGTCAAAACATGTCTATTTTCAAAAAACTCGTCTACATTAATTTGAGTCATTGGTTCGCCATATTTAATGTATCCAGGGGGGGGGAAGAGACTGGTTCGATGACCAATCAAAGGAGTTAAGCATAAAAATCACAGTATCTTCTAATTTGTATTAATAATGGTTCGTCAGAACATGTTTTCGCATTAATGGTGGATGTTCGTATCAATAATAATTCGTCAGAACATGTTTTCGCATTAATGGTGGATGTTTGTATCAATAATGGTTCGTCAGAAGATGTTTTCGCATTAATGGTGGATGTTTGTATTAATAATAGTTCGTCAGAAGATGTTTTCGCATTAATGGTGGATGTTTGTATCAATAATGGTTCGTCAGAAGATGTTTTCGCATTAATGGTGGATGTTTGTATTAATAATAGTTCGTCAGAACATGTTTTCGCATTAATGGTGGATGTTTGTATCAATAATAATTCGTCAGAACATGTTTTCGCATTAATGGTGGATGTTCGTATCAATAATAATTCGTCAGAAAATGTTTTCGCATTAATGGTGGATGTTTGTATCAATAATGGTTCGTCAGAACATGTTTTCGTATTAATGGTGGATGTTTGTATCAATAATGGTTCGTCAGAACATGTTTTCGTATTAATGGTGGATGTTTGTATCAATAACGGTTCGTCAGAACATGTTTTCGTATTAATGGTGGATGTTTGTATCAATAATGGTTCGTCAGAAGATGTTTTCGCATTAATGGTGGATGTTTGTATCAATAATGGTTCGTCAGAACATGTTTTCGCATTAATGGTGGATGTTTGTATTAATAATGGTTCGTCAGAACATGTTTTCGTATTAATGGTGGATGTTTGTATCAATAATGGTTCGTCAGAACATGTTTTCGCATTAATGGTGGATGTTTGTATCAATAATGGTTCGTCAGAACATGTTTTCGCATTAATGGTGGATGTTTGTATCAATAATGGTTCGTCAGAACATGTTTTCGCATTAATGGTGGATGTTTGTATCAATAATGGTTCGTCAGAACATGTTTTCGCATTAATGGTGGATGTTTGTATCAATAATAATTCGTCAGAACATGTTTTCGCATTAATGGTGGATGTTTGTATTAATAATGGTTCGTCAGAACATGTTTTCGCATTAATGGTGGATGTTTGTATCAATAATGGTTCGTCAGAACATGTTTTCGCATTAATGGTGGATGTTTGTATCAATAATGGTTCGTCAGAACATGTTTTCGCATTAATGGTGGATGTTTGTATCAATAATGGTTCGTCAGAACATGTTTTCGCATTAATGGTGGATGTTTGTATCAATAATGGTTCGTCAGAACATGTTTTCGTATTAATGGTGGATGTTTGTATCAATAATGGTTCGTCAGAACATGTTTTCGCATTAATGGTGGATGTTTGTATCAATAATGGTTCGTCAGAAGATGTTTTCGCATTAATGGTGGAAGTTTGTATCAATAATGGTTCGTCAGAACATGTTTTCGCATTAATGGTGGATGTTTGTATTAATAATGGTTCGTCAGAACATGTTTTCGCATTAATGGTGGATGTTTGTATCAATAATGGTTTGTCAGAACATGTTTTCGCATTAATGGTGGATGTTTGTATCAATAATGGTTCGTCAGAAGATGTTTTGCATTAATGGTGGATGTTTGTATCAATAATGGTTCGTCAGAAGATGTTTTCGCATTAATGGTGGATGTTTGTATCAATAATGGTTTGTCAGAACATTTTTTCGCATTAATGGTGGATGTTTGTATCAATAATGGTTCGTCAGAACATGTTTTCGCATTAATGGTGGATGTTTGTATCAATAATGGTTCGTCAGAAGATGTTTTCGCATTAATGGTGGATGTTTGTATCAATAATGGTTCGTCAGAACATGTTTTCGCATTAATGGTGGATGTTTGTATCAATAATGGTTCGTCAGAACATGTTTTCGCATTAATGGTGGATGTTTGTATCAATAATGGTTTGTCAGAACATGTTTTCGCATTAATGGTGGATGTTTGTATCAATAATGGTTTGTCAGAACATGTTTTCGCATTAATGGTGGATGTTTGTATCAATAATGGTTTGTCAGAACATGTTTTCGCATTAATGGTGGATGTTTGTATCAATAATGGTTCGTCAGAACATGTTTTCGCATTAATGGTGGATGTTTGTATACATAATGGTTCGTTCTTTTAAAAGCATCTCAACACACCTGCAGCTAAAGGTTTCACGACAGCTTGTGGAACGGGTTCTTTCTTTTTGAAAGTTAACTTGAACGGATTTTGATGTAAAGAATTCTCTTCACTTTCTTGTAGGTCTTTGTTGTTCTGTTCCGCACTCTTTTCTTTCGTTTCACTTTCACTTCCTGGCGCCTCGCTATCCAGCGTACCAGGCTCTCGAGGCTCTTCGCATCCATCAAGCTTATTCCTGTACGCATACAAACGAGGTGGTTTTGGCGGGCTAATCACGACGCTTCCATCTTCACCGACGGGGGGAGATGTCGCCGGGGAGTGCGAGTTTTTATCCCTGGCTTCACGAATCACTTGTTCAATCTTCTCACGTCTCTCGCTTTTCGCTTCAACTTCGGACTAAAAAGATGTCATTGTGTTAAACAAGATGTTCGTGTTTACGATTACATGTTTTTAGAGCACTCTACCTTATTTGGAAAGTTTTGCTATTCTAAATTACACCGGGGCAATATTGAAGCCTGGATAGCGTTATTAATTGGATAGCAATTTTTCAAAGTTGTGAAAAAAGTGGTTGTGTTTTCTTTACGATAACGAAACTTCGTAATATAAAAAAAATGCAGTTTTAATCGATTGTCCAGTTGAAATCTTAGATTTCCCCCCTTAACAGATTGTTAAAGTGTTAAAAAATATTGATATCCAGTGGATAGCGCTAGTCGGCCTTCTTGCAACCGGCTTCATATCGCCAATTGCGACATAAGCATAAACACAATGTTATCAAAACTTTGAGGGCACAAATGAGGACACTCTTGCTTATATTTATGTGGCAAGAAACGATCAGGCTTAATTATCATGCATCACCTCTACAATCAGAATTCGCAACCGGAATACGTAAGCCTTGCGTTTTTACTAAAATACATCACATTCGACTTATGTCTGGTCATAAAACCAGAGATCGAAACCCACCACGTTCTCTTGTCTTGGATTGACTCTTTTTATACGGGATGTCTCCAGCGTCTTTCGTGTTTTCTCGCTCATTTTCCTCTGTGCATCTATCTCCTCCTGATAAAATACGAAAGCAAAGTTAATATTTCAATAGTTAGTTGGTCTTTCAATCAAAAACGATTTCGGTTTTGACTGGGTAGCCACCTGCAAATCATTTTTGAGATTTGTAATTTTGACGTCTTTTTACGAATACTTCATGGTATTCTGTAAGTATGACGTAAATATGACGTAAATATGACGTCTATATCTAGAAATACTTTCTATACAATTGTAAGAAATTGATTGAACAATCTGACAGGGACATGTTTTCTAAAGTTTCGAAAATGTTTTAAATCGAAATGTTTTTGTTTGCATTACAGGTAGTTGACGCAAATATTAAAAAAACAATTACTGAATTCAATTTTCGCATGGTATATAACATTATATAATCGTGCGTAAACAGTCAATTTACACCAATTGTAAACCAGGGACCGGTTGCACGAGGCCGGGATAGCGTTATCCATTGGATTGCAAAAATCTTCAAACTTGTAAAAAAGGTGTTTACATTTTTCTCACGACAAAGAAATTTTCGTGATCATCGAAACAATGTTTTATTTCAGTGATTGTTCAGTTCGAATCTTATACTTTTTGCTTTTTAAAAGGTTTTATAAAGGTGAAAAAAACTTGCTGTCCAATGGATAACGCTATCCAGGCGTCGTGCAACCGGCCCTGAACTTTACAATTCATTTCTTCCTCTTTGGAAGGCGTTGATACTACATACTACTTATGCCCCTTCTTCCTGAAGAGTTGAGTACTGAGTGCTGAGTACATTCGTACAATTTAGCCACCTCTTTCACGGAGGAGTCGCGAAGATGCGTATATAACTCACTCCATCATCACAATTACGGCTGCTCGTCGTCGAAACAATAAAAAAGTACCTTTAATTTAGGCGTCAAATTTCTTTGGGCTCCAGCCTTAGGAGGCTCCGGAGCCTTGTATTTCTTGGAAGAATATAACCTTGGAAGACTGGGACTAGACGTAGTGACGCCACTCGCGGATGTTTTGTCCATGCCTTCTGAAATTGCAAAATGCAGGAATCGTTTCTATTCAATGCAAAATTTCGCTCGAATGGCGTTTTATGTTTCATTTCTTTTTGAATACACATGAATGTGCATATTTCAAAGGACACTACCTTGGTTTGGGTTCGAATTGTTCTGCGCACGAACGGACTTTGCCCTTGCCTCTTTTATCATTTGACGAACTTGAGCTTGTCTGGCATCTTGTTTGGCCGCCTCGTCCTGTCAAAAGTAACGGACTGAGCTATGACAAATTAAAACCCCACTCAAGAAGAGGTCCAAGACCAGTGCATGACACGGAACGCATTGGCAGTTTGAATACAACTTATCACAGAATCTTTGATTTCACCGAGATGTGCTACAATAATGTTACGGAAATATACCAAACTTACAGATTTCTTTGCTTTCCATTCTTCAAATGACGGTATCCTCATACGTGGAGACGTGGGTTCACTGTTCAGCCCGCGAGAGGGTGTAGATTTCTCATGACAATCCTAAATTCAAAACATGATTGGGTTATCACAAAGACGATTGTATAGCCGTGATTCCTTCGTTTCCATTTGAGAACTATATTGATGCCAGCGTTAAAAATAAATCATTTAGCAAATGTCGGGTTTGGTTTATGTTAAACTCCATTGGTTCATTTCTCGTTAATCTACATGGACAAACTCCATTGGTTCATTTCTCGTTAATCTACATGGACAAACTCCATTGGTTCATTTCTCGTTAATCTACATGGACAACACGACGTTTCTTTTAAATTAGCTCACGTTTTTATGTCAACTTGCAAAAATGGATTCACAAGCTACAATTCCTGCCACCTTCTTCATGCAAACACAATAATCAAAGTAAAACTTCCACGGTCTATCTTCGACCTCTACAAGAGTCCCAATAAGTGACTTCAACGCCAGTAAACAGGAACTATAGTACCAACTACAAATTTGCACCTTCTGGACTTTGACTTACTTGAAATGGCAAGCGCTGCCCCCTTCTTTGAGGGAGAAGAGACACACAAACAAACTATATACTGACATGCATCTTCTGGACTTTGACTTACTTTAAATGGCAAGCGCTCCCCCTTCTTTGAGGAAGAAGAGACACACAAACAAACTATATACTGACATGCATCTTCTGGACTTTGACTTACTTTAAATGGCAAGCGCTGCCCCTTCTTTGAGGAAGAAGAGACACACAAACAAACTATATACTGACATGCATCTTCTGGACTTTGACTTACTTTAAATGGCAAGCGCTGCTGCTCCCCCTTCTTTGAGGAAGAAGAGACACACAAACACACTATATACTGACATGCATCTTCTGGACTTTGACTTACTTTAAATGGCAAGCGCTCCCCTTCTTTGAGGAAGAAGAGACACACAAACACACTATATACTGACATGCATCTTCTGGACTTTGACTTACTTTAAATGGCAAGCGCTGCCCCCTTCTTTGAGGAAGAAGAGACACACAAACAAACTATATACTGACATGCATCTTCTGGACTTTGACTTACTTTAAATGGCAAGCGCTGCCCCTTCTTTGAGGAAGAAGAGACACACAAACAAACTATATACTGACATGCATCTTCTGGACTTTGACTTACTTTAAATGGCAAGCGCTGCTGCTCCCCCTTCTTTGAGGAAGAAGAGACACACAAACACACTATATACTGACATGCATCTTCTGGACTTTGACTTACTTTAAATGGCAAGCGCTGCTGCTCCTCCTTTGAGGAAGAAGAGACACACAAACAAACTATATACTGACATGCATCTTCTGGACTTTGACATACTTTAAATGGCAAGCGCTGCTGCTCCCCCTGCCACCCTTCTTTGAAGAGGAAGAGACACACAGACTATATACTGACATATAACAACACACCTACCATGTTTTCTGACTCCAGCCCTTCTTCCGTCACACGAACCTCTGTCAAATTTGCCGTTAAAGGGGACTACACAACAAAGAATGTCTAAAGTTGAAAGAATTGACAGCGGACAAAAACTTCTCTTGCGAGCAATTTAAACAGATATTAAAAGCCAAAATGAGCAGACATTTTAGCGAAATTTTGTATAAAAAAAATGACAATGGGCTACACCAAGTATTTGAGATATCTTGCATACTTTTTCAAACAATCTCAAACAACAAAAACAAGGTCTACAGAAAAGGTAAAAGAAAGTGCCATTACATGGTCATCCTCAACTGCACATACGCCATAAAAAGATCCGCTAATACCATGTGATATCCTTAATTGTACCTAATACCATGTGATATCCTTCACTGTACCTAATAGTATATGATATCCTTCAATGTACCTAATACCATATGATATCCTTTACTGTACCTATTACCATGCGATATCCTTCACTGTACCTAATACTATGTAACATCCTTCACGGTACCTTAGCTGTATTGGTTAGTTGTTCGCCATGATCAGGAGACTTTACATTGTTCATACTTTCCCTATTGCTAGAGGTTTCATTCGTTCCCAGTTCCCTGTTAGTATCTGAAACTTTTACAGTCCCTTCTTCTTTCGCGTCATCGTCTATATTTGTCTCGAATGGCTCCTCGTAGTCATCGTCAAAAGGGTTTAAACTTCGCTTTTTTGTAGTCCTAGTTAAAACACTATCAATATCGCTGACAACAGTCTCTTCATCATCAACATAATCCTCGTCAAAAGGATTCAAAGAACCTTGCTTTCCAGCCTCGGACGTATTTCCTTTGCTCCCAGCGACCGCATCATGTCTATCATTTATATTTGTTTCCAGGACTTTTTGATCCCCATCATCGTCCAGGAAAGGGTTGTACCCAGGCTTAGCAAAATACACTTGTTGAACAGGATTACTGTTCTTCACACCAAGCTTTCCTTTTGGACTAGAGACTTGTTTCCCAGTCTCTGCACTCTCCTCACGACGCCACGGATCTTCGTGGTGGATCTTATTCTCCCTAGTTGTATTTTCGTCAAGATTTTTAGAGGATATTTCTTTTCTTTGTGGCTTTGGATTCTGTAAAGAAACGTTGTCGTTTTCTTGAGAATCTTCCAATTTATTTTCACTGAAAATACTTTTCTCCTTATTCCAATCCTTTTCACGCGTTTCTGCTGGTATTTTATCATTTAATTTATTGTCCACACGTCTGTCTTCCACGGCCTTAACGTCACTCTGAGTGATGTGATCATCTTCGTCGAATGGATTAAAACCAGGATTGGCCTCGTACTCTAGTTTTTGCTGGCTATTATTTTGAGCACGAACTTGATCATCTCCCGAGTCAACCGTTCTATCATTTGAGGTATCCGTTTTACTCACAACTAACTTCTTCGTTTTATCAACGTTATTTGATCTATTATCAAAGGTATATTTTTCGTCAAGCTTTAACGTATCTGTTTTGTTAGAGTCTAAGATATCCATTTTTTCAACTTCTACTGAATCCGTTTCAACAACTTCTAAGGCTTCCGTTTTATCAACCGGCTCATCCACCTTTTTGCTATACTCATCCTTAATGGCAAAATCATCTTTCTCCATATCTTTTAACAATGACGCAGTATTCAGTCTTAGTTTTCGCTCAGCCTCGGCTATCGCAGCCATGGAAACTTTGTCGTCATCCGTCTTTTCGGCACGCTCACGTGACGTCGTCCTTTTCGTAAAGAATTCTTTAATTTGATGTAAATATGTCATAATGAGAAGTTTATCAGGAATGGTTGATAAAACCATTTGATTTGGATCTAACATCCTTGATATACCAAGATACTCAAACGCCTCAAAAGCCTATACATGAGTGTAGACATAGATTAGAAAAACACATGCTCATCGTCCCCCCCCCCTTGTTTTTTCCTTTCTACGACATATCAAACACTAAATAGAATGATAACAGAACTTACGAGTCTATTGTTTTCCCTGATGTCATCAGCCTTCAAATTCGCAAAATCTCTGAAAGATTAAAGAAATTGCTGACATGTGTAGGACATTTGTAAGACATGTGTAAGACATGTGTAGGACATTTGTAAGACATGTGTAAGACATGTGTAGGACATGTTTACGACATGTGTAGGACATGTGTAGGTTTTAACTGCACCAGACAACGTGTAAGAAAATTCTGTGTGTTGTTTTGCATGCGCTTGTTTCAAACTGCGTTTGTCTAAATATTGTCACTCAACTCAATATCGATATCTCGTGTTTAGTTTGGTTCGTGTTTAGGTTGGTTCGTGTTTAGTCTGGTTCGTGTTTAGTTTGGTCCGTGTTTAGTTTGGTTCGTGTTTAGTTTAGTTCGTGTTTAGTTTGGTTCATGTTTAGGTTCGTGTTTAGGTTGCCTCGTGTTTCGATGTCATTTGGTTCGTGTTTAGGACTTCATTGTTAACGTTGCAATCATCACATGTTTACAACAAATTTCTCATTTGTATGACTCTGTTGAATATGGTACTGCATCTGATTAGTTAGCTTCAAAATTTAGTATTCCAATATAAGAAATGCGCTATCCGTGTAATATGAACATCAGTGATATACGTCATGTAAACAACATAAAAATCAAACAACTGCGGATACGTCATAACTCACATCATATTAGGATGAAAATAATGCACAATGGCACAGAATGCCAAACCATTTTTCCATGATGACGTCATGTCTATGACTTCAACATTCTCGTATGACGCAACACAATCCTGACACCATTCTAGGAAAGAAGCAAACGAGAACTCGTCGATTGTTTGTAGATAGCTACCTCAATTTTCAAATAGGTTCCGATACAATAGACATGCTTCTTGTACTATGAGTATATTGTATCACATCAATATTTGGTAAGATTAAATATTCAAAATTAACATTTTAATCATAGTTTTACTCACTCAATAAACTTTCCTCGGCACGAGACATTTTTTCCTCGCTCTTTCTCTTTTTCTAAAGAAATTCATAGAATGGGTTGTATTGTATTATCCATGTAAATCAAATGGTAAATTGTGGACAAAACGGTTATTTTCGTGAGCTTTAAGTCACACCGCTGTACGAAGTAGACAGTGATCACGGGCTGAGCTCTCGTGAGAAACACGAAGTAAAGGGATCCATATAAATATCTAAGGGCATACACAAAAACGGAGAACTTACCACGGTGGGTCTAGTTTGCGTGTCAGCGGTCTGTTCACATGTATCACTCGTGCTCGTAGCAATATTCAGACCATTTGGGACAACGTGATTGGTTAAAGGAAATGATTTATTGAGGAGTTCATTCTTTCCTCGCTTGCTCTTGTCTCTGAAACTTTTCCTTGCTTGTTTATTGTGGTCTGAGCTCGTAGACATGTTGAACGTTGGTTTGTTGTGTGTCTTAACTAGAATTACATGAAAAAGTTACACGTCTGGAATTTCGAATCGTTATTGGACCGTTTGTTGAAAATTAACACTAGTACAACAATGGTACTGCCTAATATGGTGTAAAAATAACATTCGCTACAACAATGGTACTGCCTAATATGGTGTAAAAATAACATTCGCTACAACAATGGTACTGCCTAATATGTTGTAAAAATAACATTCGCTACAACAATGGTACTGCCTAATATGGTGTAAAAATAACATTCGCTACAACAATGGTACTGCATGATCTGGTGTAAAAATAACACTGGCTACAACAATGGTACTGCATGATCTGGTGTAAAAATAACATTCGCTATAACAATGGTACTGCATGATCTGGTGTAAAAATAACACTCGCTACAACAATGGTACTGCAAGATCTGGTTTAAAAATAACACTCAGGAATATGATTTCACCTGATCGCAGGGAAAGACGTTTTCCCGCATTTCGTTTGAAGTTCCTTCCCGTGTCTAAGTCGCTGGAGCCATAAGGATCGTTCAAACTGAGTAGACTGCTCATGCTTATCATATCTTCATCTCTGTCAAAGATGGAAAGAAAATCGGTCGACATCTCGGACAAGACTAAAACCCGTATCCTAAAACGCCACTCACACTCACACTCAATGAGTGAGACTTTAAAAGCACTTCATAACTGTTCGAAGACCGCAATTTCACTCAACTTGTTAGTTGATTTGAAATATCTAGGAGCAGATCTCGCCATAGATGGAGAAATGACTTTGCCAATTATTAGACTGAGTGCGATTTTTATGTCGCACTTAATGAGTGCGAGTGTAAATGAGCGTTAAGTATACTGGCATAAGACTAATATAAAAATTCAAGTAATTGCGCGCTTGCACGAGTGGATCGCCAGGGATAGTAGAGTACTGAGAAGGACTATTGGTGTTGATGTTGACGGACGTTTCGAAAACCTTAGCGGTAGTCCTCTTCTGAGTCACGGGACTGTAGGATGACAAAAAATGTAGAAACGTCAATCAACCTCAACAGTCTTTCTCAGTATCCCACCTACGGTCCTGACACTAACCCTAACCCTAATCCTAATCCTAATCCTAACCTAACCCTAACCCAAACCCGGACAATCTATATCTACTATATGTAATGATACTCCTGGGTTTAAGGCATTCACTTTAACAGTCAACACTGCAACTTAAAAAGGTCATAAAGAAGGCATCCCTTTTCTTTGCTTGCTTACACATAAATCTACGTTCGTAATCCTTTGATAAGAATGAAAAACGAGTAGATCGACAAACATACGTTGCATTTCCTTCCTTGAGAAGAACGCAGGCAAGATTAAGTTCCAATGAAGCCGAGACAACTTTTTTTGAAGCAGGTCGAAGGGGAAGGTTCAGACAAAACGTCTGAAGATCTATGCTATGATAGTCCGCCATGTTCACCGAAACACTGGCAACAGGTCGCCGCTTTCCGTTAATGGATTCCTAAAGAAATAATGAAATAAGATTATTTATACACACCAGGGTGGTTGACGGTGCTGGCAAAGTCCTGGGTCTGAGGTCATGTGACATGGAAGCTTGATTTGACAAAAACTTATTGGCAAAGACAAACATGTCCTTAATTCAAGTTAAATCTCAATGACATGATTTGTATGATCAATGAACACCGGGGTGTTTCAAAAAAACCGCTCATTTTTCAAATCAGCTGACTCTGAGAATTTGCATGATTGAGTAGTGATTAACACAAAATTTATTTGTTCTGGAGCAGAACTGAATATAACAGAAAGGCTAACAAAATTACAAGCCAGCAATTCAACTAGTCCCAGTCTTTTCACACACCGAATACTATTTGCAATACCATATCCTGGAACAAAAAGTTATTGACCAGATTGGAAAGTTTGTACTGCATACCCGAGATCTTGGGTGTGCAGTTTGCAAAGTTTCCTGTCCGGATTATCTATGCAATGCTGAATGAAGATTTTACACTTGGTTTATGAGTCTGGTACCACATAGCCTTGTACATATAAGGAAAGTTCTTCATACAGTAATAATTCCTTACCTTCATTGGATGATCATGTTTTATGAACTAATACACACAATTCTAATTTAATTTTGTGCAATACATACATGAGTGAGAGCCACGTAATGATGATTTACAGAAATATTACACAACACGTACGTCTTCAATAACAAACGTCCATAGTTTATCTTCGTAAGGACTTCCTTCTCTGGCATCTTTGTATAATGTCACACTGATCTCTACTTCTTCTGGGTCAGTCCAGACAATCATACCTCGAAATGGATTTGCAATACTCGGTTGCCATGTTTCTGGCTAACAAGCACAACAGTATTAATGTTGATCATGTGAAAACAATAAAAGGTCTTAAGAAGGATATGTGGAGAAACTGTCAAATCACATATATGTACAATACCTTAACAGCTTTTCGTCTGTTTCTTCTTGTCCATAATACACTAAGCTTGTTTGGTTGCCTATTCATGAGCAAAAATATGGTTATCATTGGAATAGTGCTTCATATAATCATAAATTGCACATATATAAGATTTGTAGAACCAGGACGTGTATTTCATTCATGTTTCAACTGACCACTCATCAAGATGGCAAAAAATTCAATTCCATAGTAAAAATAGAGTGAGTTTGCAAAGTTCGATAGTACAAATTCACTATTTCTACCTTCAAACAAAGACCACACAAAAATTGCAATCACTTTTTCAACCACACATGCAATTTACATTTCCGCAAATATGAAGTTTTGAGTAAAATGAAAAATTGATAAATGAGTCCACTTGACCTCAAAAGAAAAACCAATATTTACATAAATTTTAAACGAGAGGATTAAATTTCCACGCAACGAGTGACAGAAATACATTCAATTAATAACGCAATTGAGAGAGAGGCAGTGAACTATAAAATCTGCAACTATCATTTTGCCAAGCTAGTTCCTGAGCATTTCGAAAGTAAAATAAAAAATCACACTGTATTTTTCATTTCCGCGAAAGTAGTTCAAACGTTATGTAGGGCATTGCGTTCGGTCAAATATCAAAGAGATTGAACGTGATTCTAGGTTTAAAATTTGCTTGTCATCAATTAGCCATTAGCGATAAAATACAAATAAACATACGTCAAAATATATCTGAGATTAAAAATTCTTCAAGTTATCCTACTCCTAATAAACACGAAACGTGGACTTTTGAAAACGTGTGTCTTAACATCGAATTCAACAATAACCTGAAACCAAATCCACACTTTTCGGTTGAGAAATGCTAATAGTTCCGACGAATAGCTCTGACTTCATCGTCACTCATTTTGTCTAACCGTAAATTTATTTATAAGAAGACATGATGACCGTCTATTCGTGATTTATCACACAACTTTTCACACCAGATGCTAACAGCCGTAGTTTTTTTCATCGTCTTCGTTGACGTAGGTCTTAATATAGATAAGTCGTCCTTGCATGAGAGTTATTGCTAACAAATTCTCATAAAACAACACGAATATGAATAAAAGCTAACGCATGTCAGCTGTGTAGAGAAACTCACCATTTCCCATCACGACAACACTCTAACGTGAGTGTCTGATAGGAAGCGATGAACTGAAATTTCGAGGCTCGTTTGCCGACTCGTTGTATTCGCTTCCAAACGGATGTCATATTGCTCCTTCAACAGGGTTCTGAACTCTGAATTAGTCAAATTCGAAGTACATTTTAAACCACATATCGAAGACTTTCCACGGTGACAAAGATATCATAAATGAATCATGAAGATGTTATTACACGGACTGACATGTGGGGGAAGGGGGGAATGGCACTAGTAGTTTAGTGTAGTGACGTATGAAATGCCGATAACGTCAAGTGGTTTAATGGATCGCCCATATTGTGAGCAAAGCAAGTCGTGTGGGTGGCGTTTCGTTTAAATATTTCAGTTATTTACGAGCAGTCATATACTGGTGGGATGTTAAACACTTAAAAACATCACAGTGTATTTTATTTAAATAATTGAGTGCATTTAATAAGAGGATGAAATTTATATTTTCAAAATTCTATGTTATACAAACGAAGAGAAAAACGATGTCTAGGTATGGTGGTGACAGATCCTCATTAATCCATGATGATGAATTTGGGCGAGAATTCAAACTAATCTTAGCCAGTCACAAAAATCAAGTGATGTTACACTCTAGAAAACACGAAGGGCACAAGATTTCATCTGACTTTATAAACGCAAGGTGACACTGGAAAAAAATTAAAACTATTGGCAAAGAATACAAACAAACACTCCATTACGTCCAGTGATTTTTATGTTAACGCAATACGCCACACATTCACCAGCCGGCCGGTGCAGCAAAGAGGGCAACAACCCCTGGATGGTTTTTCGTGAGAATACTCCGTCCTACAATTTGATTGTATTCGGGGGGGAGGGGTGCCCTGTTTCCTGATCCGGCTGAATGGCAAGTCGATGGCATGTAGCGATTAAATTAAACAAAAATCACTGACGATGACTTTCTATAAGTTAGCATTCTTTGTTCATGATTTTCTTTAAAGAATTTTGACGTACATGCACGTGCCCTCGACGTGTCTTTTAAAGCGCTATGGACATCCTGATTTAATTTTTACCAGGTGTCAAACACCTACTTGACACACAACATTCATTAAAGTCGGTGAATCCGTGATTTATCATTGTTCCACATCACTAGCTATTACTTCTATAGAATTAGCAATATTTATATACTGGATAAGAAAGACCAGCCAGACACGACTTAGCAGTTGCATTTGTCCTGGGATTCCTTCTGATCAGTAGCGATTGCATTGGGTGTTCGACCTGTCAATGGTTTGTGTTGAACGCCAGATTCAGCAGCGTTTAAGTCCAAACTGAAAATTTCAAAAAGATTACTTCGTCAGAAAATACCCTAACAAGTCCATGAATTTACCGGTGCGTTGGCTAAATTAATCAATTAATGTTTGTCCGAGCCTACTGGTCACCTACAACTGGCTAAAACAGTTTCCAAAGAGCTGGGCCAACCTGAGTTAGGGGCTGTTTACAGTGCTGTAGAAGTGGGGAGGGCGCTTGGGGAGGAGCCCCCTTCTACCTTTGAAATGGGTAATTTTAAAAGGGCACTATTGACAAAAACGTCAAGAGAGCCCTCATCTGATAAATTTAGTTCTACAGCACTGGCTGTTCACATGATCCCGGCCAACCTGAGTTAAGGGCTGTTTACATGATCCCGGCCAACCTGAGTTAAGAGCTGTTTACATGATCCCGCCAACCTGAGTTAAGGGCTGTTTACATGATCCAACCTGAGTTAAGGGCTGTTTACATGATCCCGGCCAACCTGAGTTAAGGGCTGTTTACATGATCCCGGCCAACCAGAATTCAGTGTGGCGTGAACTGAAATGAAGGCATTGAAAGGGGGCAAAACTTTAAGCGTAAAAATTAGAACTGTTCCTTAAACGGCATAAGTCATTCCTGTTGAAATTCTCAAATTAGGTCGAATTGGTTGTTTTAATTTTAAATGTTACGGTATAGTTATCAAACCAGAATATTGTCAAATTGCTTGAGAAGTTTTATCTGATGACGAGTAATGAATCGTTTCCATTAAACGCTTAGCTGAATCTCAGCTATCCGGGTTCATTTACTCAGCCCCTTAATGTTATATCTTGAATGTGTGCGCACGCATTTTTACTGAGTCTCAAATTGAAACCAGGGCCCGCAATGAATCTCCTTCTAAATCACTCGTCACATTACGTACCTTCCGTCCTGAATATTCTGATAAATCTTTTTCGCCGTTTCCAAGAACGCTTCCTCGACATTTTCTCCACTAAATACAAGACAATGCTTAGAAACAGTGTCCGAAATACAGATCCCATTTGATTGACATAGTCCATTCAACACTGTCTGGAAGTCACTATTCATCCCAACGCTTATCATTACATTGAAAACATGAAATAAAAAAATTGTGAAAAATGATGCTGTACTTACGTTTTCGCACTAGCTTCACAGTATAATAATCCTAAAAAACATGACGTTCAACAATACAATCCGCCCAAAAATCTAACACATTCCACAATTATCTTAAGTAAATCCTAAAGTAATCATTAAAAAATTAAACCATTATCCCATCCTTGCAAGTAACCATTTAATAAATAAAATTTGCTATGTTTGTACTTGTATATGCAGACTGAAGTGGCATTTAGAAGAACTTGAGAAGAGACGTTTAGAAGAACTTGAGAGGAGACGTTTAGCAGAACTAGAGAGGGGACGTTTGGGAGAATTTGAGAGCAGATCAGTGCAAGTCATTTTCACAACAGAATATGAACTACTGAACCTGTTGAACCTACAAGGACCTACCTGTTGAACCTACAAGGACCTACCTGTTGAACTTAATAGTTCTTTTGAATAAAATTTCCACGTGAAAACAAAGGGAGGAAAAATTAAAACTAAGTGTTAGCAAATGATACTTAAAACATTGCTTACTAGTCTTCTGTTATTAAACTGAAAGAACTAAAATTGTGCCAAGAGCCATTTTCAGACGAATATCATCCCATTTCCCACAATATGCAATTTGAGTAATTACAGAAACAACAACACAAACACAATGATACTAGGTGGGGTTCAGTTTTCAACCTACCATTTTCTTCTGCAAATTGTTTTGCCTCGTCGTATGTGACATCTCTCTGTGCATCTAAGTCTGACTTATTACCAATCAGAAATATGACCTAAAATGATCAAGAATTGATATTCAAAGCATGTTCTAAGTCTGACTTATTACCAATCAGAAATATGACCTAAAATGATCAAGAATTGATATTCAAAGCATGTTCTAAGTCTGACTTATTACCAATCAGAAATATGACCTAAAATGATCAAGAATTGATATTTAAAGCATGCTCTAAGTCTGACTTATTACCAATCAGAAATATGACTAAAATGATCAAGAATTGATATTCAAAGCATGTTCTAAATCTGACTTATTACCAATCAGAAATATGACCTAAAAATGATCAAGAATTGATATTTAAAGCATGCCTCACACCAAACCCAAACTTATAATGGTAAATACATACCGTATTAGGATTTGTAAGATTTCTTGCATCAGTTAACCAACTACTGAGATGATTGTACGTACTTCTCCTATGCAAAATAAATTTTCATATTAACTGTATGTGTCATGGCATATATATTTGAAGTGCTTCCTTCAAGCCGACCTTGTAATATCATATACCATCAATGCTCCTGCGGCACCCCTGTAGTAGCTTCGTGTTACAGCCCTGATTTAAAAATAGAAATACCAACTGAAAGAAGTTTGTAGAAAAAGTGTTGAAGTATGATACATGCAAATCTCAATTTACCTAAATCTCTCTAAATTACCTAATCTAAATCCAAAATTAAATCTAAATCTAAAACTAAATCTAAATCTAAGTCTAAATATCAATCTCTCTAATTTACCTAAATCTCTCAAACTTACCTAATCTAAATCAAAATCTCCCTAACTTACCTAAATCTCTCTTGACCAGCTGTGTCCCAAATCTGCAACTTTATCTTCTGACCGGCTACTTCGATGATTCTAGTTCCAAATTCTACACCAATAGTATGAGGGCAGTCGGCCATAACTAAAGCAAATAGTTACCAGGCCATAGTGAAAGTGAAATACATGACAAAAACAACAAAACACCAAAAGCACAATTTAGTTACATTTCTTCTCTGTAAATTGATGAAGAAGACACGACTTTCCCACACCCATGTCACCTAAAAATGATTTCTTTGCTTGTGAAAGGTTGTGATAAAGCGAACTTGCAAAATGCTTTGACAAAACCCCCATCAAATACAGCAATTGTCTAGTTTTGATATCGATTCTTGAATATTTTTAAATAAAATTCTATTCACTTTGTAAAAAATGGAAAACCATATCGTATTTCATTAGTTTTAAAAGCTGCAAAGCATAATTTATCAACTCTTCACTGCAATAGCAAACTTCAGTCTACATAATGGTAGTTGCCAAATCAACATTTAATTAATGTGACAAAATATTTTTGCTACATGTATAAAATATTTAGCATTGGGCTGAAAATAACACCACATTGAACGAGTTAAATGAGCAGGTTTTCATGATAAAGCCAAACCCTTCATTTAGCAACAAGCTTTCAATTAACATTACATGTGCATGAAAAACTTTTAAAAATATCAATATTTACTGACAGAGGTAAAACACTTCTTGTAATTCACAAATTTCTTAGAAGTTACATGTACTAATGCCGTCAATTACAAGTACTTGATGAACAATTTACTCACACAAACTACAAAATACACTGGTATAAGTTTACACAGTTTTTAGTTTTTACTAACCAATTATGATGTACTTGAATATGTAAGAATAATTGTACGGCCCAGTAGCAGCCATGATCCTCTCTGAAAGAATTTGTATTAAATGAAATTTAGCTAACAATACAAAGGCAAGCAATTGAATTCGAAATAACGTCAATTGTAATTTGAACTCGTTTCACCAAAGATTAATAGAAATATCACTTTATCTAACACTAAAGACACGCTCTTGGACCTCTGTGCGATGATTAAATAAATGAAACTTGATCAAAATGAGTTTTAGAACATTCCACAAAAAAGGTTTGTTTTGTCAATGAATTTCTGAATTAGACATTAGCCAGTCAGCAAAATGCGAAAGTCGACACCATAAAAACTGCCTGTATGAGGTAAATTTGAGATTTGGGAAAGCAAGACTGGATGGAAAAAGTATTAAGATACATACCTTATGATGAGGAAGTCAGATTTTGACCCTTCGAAAATACAAAAACAATAAATTTTCTTGAAAAATGTTCAATTTCAACATATACAGGATATGTACAGGGTGCGCCAAGACTTCTGGGGAGCCTGAGCCTCAGTACTCAGATCAGCGGAGATATGGTAAGTTAATTTATCTACTTCATTTTAGCAAACTATGAACAATTCACATATTACACAGTCCCATATCATTCTCTACAATACAATCAAATTCCTCTGGTCACAATAGCAGAGACATAATGCATCATTTAAAGACATAAGTAGAAAAAATTCATTCTTTTGTTTGATCAAAATCCTGCATACATAAACTCTCTGTGGCACCATAACTTTTTGCTATCCTTGGCTTCATATGTCCGTTCATAAGACGAGGTTTGAGAAGACGTCTTTTTACCTAAGGCCCAGTTTAAGCTTGTGACTGGTAACTTCATAACATTTTCCGTAGAATTGAGAAGGACAGAACAAACATCTCCGGCAGGACACAATTTACTAACTGAAAAAGTAAAATGAAAAGCATTGAAAAAGTTAAGTTGTATTGAACTCCCCTTTTTTTACTGACCAAAAAAGTCGATATATGTTTAAAAAATACCAGATGAAAGTCAAATAATCATGGGCCCCACAAAAACTTAATTTTAAGATCAAAACCATTAAGAAAGTTTGTCGTGTTCACACTTTACAGTGATTGATCACGAAATATTTTTACAGCCCGACCAACTTTGCAAGCTGGCTACGTCACTGTAGACTTTTGATCGTAGAAATTTTCACGCGTACCAACAACGCAACAAAGTGGTAGTTTGACCACCGGCATTCAATGCACGCAGTATATCACCATTGCAGCGCAAATGCGCAATCATCTCCGAAATAAGTAAGATTGAAAAGTTTAACAAGTATTTTGCTCTCCAGTGTGAGATCACTACTGACAGTGGAGGAGGGACAGTCACATTATCACAAGATTAACTGTCGTTCTCTACACTAATACAAACGAGAACGGTTAAACAACCCACCTGGCCACAACAACAACCATCCCATGCAACCAATTAGGGACAACAATAAAATAACTGGCATGAATATTGTGATGAACAGCCACCGCTGACACGCACAACCCGAGCGCGTTTCGTCGTCATCCTCCACTTTTGATTGGTTGTCGGGTCTCTTTCCCTCTTCTTCATCTGCAACGAAATGCATGATGTACACGCAATGAACTTATATCAATAATTAATCTTCTGGACGATTGCACAAGCTGGCTCGTCAGTCATTTCCAGCACATTATTCTCATGAAATCCATCGTACCAAATATGGAAATGTGCATTGCATTGTGGTAAGAAAACGGTAACACGGAAAAACTGAATTTGTAATTAGCTTCCAAAAAAAAACATAGAACTTGATCTAAACAGTGGAATGTCATTGGACATCGGTTAATCGGTTTATTACGTATGAAAAACTAAATTAAGGATCCTGTTTCTATGGAGGACAGGTTTTTTAAATGTTTTAGTTTGTTGGAGTAAATGATGTTAAAGATAGTGAAAAACTAAGTGTTTTCGATAAAAAGTCGAGATTAACAATCGTTTTCGGGAACTTCAATGAAAAAACCCCCGACTCAATTCGCATGTTGTCATTTGTCAGTAGAAACATTTTAACATAAGCATTCTACGGCAAATGCTTGAGTATGATTGGTCACGCTGCACTCGGTCAAATTAAACAGAGTAGGCAAAACGTTTTCTGGTGTGGAATCCAAATATTAAACTGGGAAAAGCATTCCTAGTTTAAAAATTGTCTTAAAAAGAGCAAATATCATGTGAATGGTCAAATACTAGAACTTTTTCGTTAGTATTTGACCATTCACCATGGTATTTGCTCTGTTTAAGACAATTCTTAAATTTGTCACCAAGACAAAATCTCTGTTTCACCATTCATAGTTTATGAAGTCGAAAACTTAAAGTACTTTTGAATGCTCTTTCCATACCGAATAATTAACTTGGTTAGCTTGGTAATATATAGTTGTGTAATGTTGCATGTTATATCACTCGGCCTCGATTTTTTTTCAACGATAGCAAACTATCACCTAACAAAAATCCAACATCGTAATCTAATTGCCGAACTTTATACTTTATAAGTCTTCGCGATTATGTCAAAGAAAGGAAAGACCAAGTACTTCGTAAAATTCCCAAACTGCGAACTTTTATACAACTATACTGTGTCGTAGAAAAGGCGGAATAATTTTCTCAGAGACACAAATTTCAAGAACAATTACAAATATGCCCTAATAAAAACTCCCGAGGCTTGAACCTCACCATAAACAATTTTGTTGCGATAAACAGCCACTTCAGATTTCTCAGCGTTGTGAAATTGAAAGTAATTTCCATTTGCGCCTTCTTCAACTGGCGACAAAGGATCTTCACCCACTAACATGCTTTTGTAACTTGGCATTTCCACATTGACCCGGGTTGTAGGAGAAAACGAATCATGATACGTGTACTCGGCGTGCAATTTGAGTACAGCTTCTTGGAATAGTCTCGTTTGACCAATAGGCATGCCCAGATTCGCTATGTCTTTTTCACGCAAGGCAAGAACCGCGGGTAGCGAGTCGATCTGATGAATTTCAATGAGAGTCTGGACGGTTTTTGGTTTCAAAAGCGAATCGTTAGCCCAGGCACAAAAAACGTCCTTGGAGCTGAAGGAGCCAAGTCGTCTTAAACTTTTTGTTTTCGTCGAACCGCGTTCATCGCTTTCACCAGGCGATTCCATGGCGCTCAAACTTTAAGGAAAGCTTCGACAAAAATCATGTACTCGCTCTCTCTCTTGTTTTGTTTTTCGAAGCAGCCTTTGTTCGCTTTTGAATAGTAATGTTGTTGTCGGGGATATTCATTTTCTGCATTATGTACACACAAAAGCGTCTGATTGCATAAGCACCTGTTAACCTTAATGGCTGTATGAAACTTATGTCGTGAGCATTAGGAATTTATCAAATACGCAAACCTTACTACGTTAAGTGTTTGTAAGATAAAAATTTTACATGAGAAAAGAAATGAAACGGGTTTTAGCTGAATGCGATTTACTTTGTGTTTCATTTTCTTGTCTCCAACACGGATAAAGATTTTACAGCAGAAATGACTATCACGATCCGACGAAAGGAGGAGAGCGGTTGTTCGCAAGGCAGTCTGGCCCGAGAAATTTCCCTTGTTACGCATGCCAGTCAAACACAGAACTTGAGGACGAAAAACTATTCAAAAACTAAAATCTAAAGATTGATGTTTTCCTCTTCCATTAAATATGGCATGATCTTTTGATTTACATCTTTCCATAGAACATTTTGAGTTTCAGAAGCAGGAAATTGAAGAATTATCTCCAGCCTAGCGTTCGATTTTTCTTAATACGTACGAAGTCGGATGAATGTGCAAAAACAATCTTTTCATCTATCTCTCTTGAATAAATATAATGGAAATTCATTGAAATTCACACCCCAATAATCCTTATTATTACGGCTTTAGATTGCGAGCACATGGAATATAAGATAGCTGTATTTATCCACAAACCTATTTTGTCCACACAGCTTGACGCGTCTGTTTTATCTTCTTTCAAACTGTCCATACAAAAAAAAAGACAATTAAATACACACAGATATACATCTACAAATATAAACTACATTGACAAGCAAAAACAAACAATACAACGAAGAATGGAACGATAAAATTTAATACATAGTAGTAGTATTAGAGTAGTATTGGTGGTAGTAGTAAAATTACATAGTAGTACACACAAGCTAAGATACTACATGACTATGGCTTGATAATAATATTCTATTGGCGTGAAAATATCTTGTTACTCCGAGTCGCCATGACTTGCGCTACATTAATCTACAGAAATACTGCAAATAACAGGTCTTTTTGAAAAACCACTGAGCAAATATATTGGCATATGATGAATGTCCATCATTTGATTGATTGTCGGAATATATGTCACAAATATGTGCCTGATCGACCGGGAGACGTTCTTGGTGGAGTGAGCTTCGTGTCAGCTGATTGGCTGGATTCTACCGCGTCACTAACAACAAAAAAACAATATTACACTTTATATTAAAAACAAAACGACCAAAGTATAAGTAAAATGATGTGATATTGCGACAGCTGAAAATCGCAGCATATAATCAGTTGACACAAAGCTCAACGCTATTCATTCATATCCATTGAACAGTGACGTATCCAGCCCGCAAGTTAGATCGTGCTTTGTATAGTAAAGTTCATATCATTAGCATTATTTATTTCTTAAGAAATCTATTGTTTTACACTAAGTGCATGATCACAGGACAACCAAAATTGCAGGTTGTACACGCCATCGCTGACGTAGCCACAACATTTTCAACTCGCCCCCCGCAAACAAAATACAGCGTTCAAAGCAAGGATGATCAAGGGTATTTTAAAGGGGAAGGGGGACTAGTTTGGATTACATTTTGAATGCTACTTTAGAGCTAAGGGCGGCGGAACATTGATAATTGGGGGGGGAGGTATTATTCATATATGCATGTTTTACTTTATTAGTTTCTATTGAAACCAATTGTGTTTACGGATTATTTTACATGAATATATGAATATAGCCTCCCCCCCCAATTATCAATGTTCCGCCGCCCTTGTTTGGAGGTGTCGCATTGCCTTGTTTTGTTAATTCTGTTAGTCTTATGTCATGGCTTAGAAATATTCTTCGAAGTGTGCTCCATCAAACACAAACCACAATTGTTTTAGTTTGATTGATTTTTTTTTCTTTCAAAAGTCAGGTAGCGTGTATACAATCCAAATACAAACGAGATTAATAACTTACAATAACGAGTCTTCATCAGGGAAGTGAAAAGAAGTAGGCGATACTAAACACTTCGGGTCGTCCAATGGAGGCGCCTCCTAAAATGTAAGTCGAAAGTCGTAGATATACACACAAGTATTCGCTATAGCTTTTATGATTCTGTGAAATTTTATTCCCTACAGCAAATGCTAAGTTTTGTTGGATTTGATGTAACGGAACTTGAGCCCACACAATTTGACACAGCGATCAATCAAATGTTGGCATTGCACTTCATGTATCGAACTTTACATTATAGAGAATAAATTACTTGATGATTTTCGTTCGTGAACGGTCCCCGTTTAAAACACCAGAACACTCGCAAAAGTTAAGAAAAGCACGCAAAATACGAGCCAAAAGACAATAATTTGGACACTTTTCTTGACTCAAAGAAATCACAAACATGCAAACCTATAACCCCCTTGGGCCTACAGTTGTCTCTGATCTTCTCTTGAGTGTATCCAAACTGTTCACATTGGTTTGCATAAAGGCGGATTAACACGATCCGATGTGTCGGATACGATTGTTTCGGTTCCGACTTTTGGTTGATTGTTCAGACGGTCCGATAATTTTGTCGATATTTATAGTCGTGTGAACAGCCATTTGTGTTATCTAGTACATTTATCGATATATTTTTTGTCTTTTTGTTATGGTTTCCAAGTCTTTTTTAAATCTATACAATTTGACTAGTCGGCTTCCTTTGATCTTGTCGGATGAAAATAGAGTAGAGCAAGTTCTATTTCCATCCGATTTTCTTAGATTGACGGATTCGAGTGTCGGAGGCTCGCTTTATATGTGTTCACACGAACCGTTTTTTAGGATTCAACAAAATCACTTTATATGGGTTCACACGATCCGTTTTTTAGGATTCAACAAAATCGCTTTATATGGGTTCACACGATCCGTTTTTAAGATTCAACAAAATCGCTTTATATGGGTTCACAAGATCCGCTTTTTAGGATTCAACAAAATCGCTTTATATGGGTTCACACGATCCGTTTTTTTAGGATCCGACAAAATCGCTTTATATGAGTTCACACGATCCGTTTTTTCGATTCAACAAATCGCTTTATATGGGTTCACACGATCCGATTTTTAGGATTCAACAAATCGCTTTATATGGGTTCACACGATCCGTTGTTTAGGATTCAACAAAATCGCTTTATATGGGTTCACACGATCCGTTTTTAGGATCCGACAAAATCAGATCCTAAAAAACGGATAGTGTGAACGGGCCTCGATCATGAAAATAGCACTTTTCAAAACGAACTTACGTCTGGAATTCTTTGATGATAAACCATTGAATTCTCCCGTTTGCTTTTCTCCAGTTTGAGCGTTATAAAATTCTGCGCCCTGAAATAAGAATTCGTGTGCAAATGTAGAATTGGCGTCGTTCCAATGTTAAAAAAATGAACGCCGTACGAACACTTACCAAATAAAATCTCTACAGGCCGGAAGCGGATGTCTTTCTTTCGGTTTCAACTTCGTATACTCCTAGGATGAAATAAAATAACAAAATAGTTTGAATTTTAACTAACTATGTGTCTTCATAAAACAAAGTGAAACAAATATTATATGACAGATCAGTAAACATGCGAAAGTTTTGAAGACGCGCACGCACATGATGACGCGCAACGCACAGCCACCCTCATCATGAAAAAGTTAACTTCAGTAATCGTTCGCAATGATTTATAAGACTATTCGGATATCGAGGATCATCGACGTATGTTCGGTTCGTAACATAACTGTCAGTTACTTTTGTATGAGGATTTGCAATAGGAAAAGGTCACAGCTAAGTATATGCAAATACCTCAGCGTGCTGTCATGTTAATGGTTGAAAAATGAATAGGATACAGACTCTAAATCACATAAATCTATCTGGAAGTCGACGGCAAGCGAGAAAACACGATAGGAAGTGAAAAACTAAATCGATCGAGCAGCAAAATTTTTTTTCGTCTTTTTAAGAAAACTTGGAAGCAACACTTCAACGAAAAATTACCTAAAATCGATGACAGTAGCGACATACCTTAGAAAGTTGATAGCATGCTGAGATGTGTCTTGAAGCAGTGGTCAACACAGCTACAGACATACCGGACCTGAAAAACGCGCGTTAATGTGAGTGAAAACAATGATCGACGACGACGATCGATTAAAAATTGTGTTTGAAAATGATACAGGAGTTTAAGGATTTTCATCCAGTTATTATTCAAAAACTCACTTCTCTTGCACTTCCAGGAAATCGATACCTTGAAAACATCTAGCAATGGCAAAGTAAAGTTCGCCTAAGTGAAATAAAAAAGAAGAGTTTCTTAGCCTTTAGAATGCGAAAAAATTCAGTGAGAAAATGCTTTGTGATAGCTAACACACAAACAGTTCAGGAGAGTGTTCAGCAAAGCTCAGGGTTCAGATATGCTCTAAACGTGCTTCGCTCGCAAGTTATCTATGAAAACGGTTGAAAAAACACCCCACTTGTATTTCACGCATTGCGTGTAACTCTCGAGTACGAAACTGACATTGACAAACAGTTAGAAATCAAGTCCTTAAATCGACTTTCACTTTGAAACCATTTCAAAAAGGTTTTCACAACTCACATTTACCTTTAAACACGAGAAAAAGCCGCCATTTCTCGACCTGTTTACCACATTTCTAGAGAAACAAATAACATATCCTCAAAGAATGTTGCATATGCGAGAAGCAATAAGTAAAGAAAGTTAAAATAAACGAAGCTACGGAAACGTGAGAAAAATATACATGGATTGAACTCAATATGCACCAACTCAAAATGCAATTTCAACGCCAAAATAGCCGACAACATGGAATGGTAAATTGTAACGTACACAACCAGACTTTCTACTCCCGCTATGCAAATTTTTTTGCGTTCACTGAACGCGAGAACGATAGATCGCTAAAGAAATGAATAATGGTAATCCTTCAGAATTTACGTAGCGGTAAAAATTTGTAGCCTGGTTACACTACTGACGGTCAACATACTAAATGTGACACTCATGGTTCATACCCCCCCCCCCGACGTATGTCGTAATTTATAATTTACCTTCAGTATAGAAGAAGCTGCGAGACATTGCTTGGCCACATCGTGAGCAAGTTGGCTGATCAACGATGCCTTGTTGCCTTTCCATACGGCTCGATTTATCGTCACCATCTGCGCATGTCATAATAATGGAAAACATTTTAATGGATGTGATGACTAATCCAGGATAACACGTTTGTATGTTACCTGCGCTTGGGCTAAACATTGAAGTCTTAATGCTTGGTTAACAGGAACTGTGAAGAAAAAAAGAAAACATACAATGCTGAAAACTGATGGCTCTAAGACAACAGTATAGTGTCATAGTCAGGAATGATCTGATGTTGAAACTTGAGTCTTTATATACTCCAGTTGAGTGTCTTCATCAGGAGTGATCTGATGTTGAAACTTGAGTTCTTATATACTCAAGTCTAGTGTCTTCATCAGGAGTAATCCAATGTTGAAACTTGAGTTCTTATGTACTACAGTCTAGTGTATTCATCAGAAGTGATCTGATGTTGAAACTTGAGTTCTTATATACTCCAGCCTAGTGTCTTCATCAGGAGTAATCTAATGTTGAAACTTGAGTTCTTATATTCTCCAGTCTAGTGTCTTCATCAGGAGTAATCTGATGTTGAAACTTGAGTCCTTATATACTCCAATCTAGTGTCTTCATCAGGAGTGATCTGATGCTGAAACTTGAGTTCTTATATACTCCGGTCTAGTGTCTTCATCAGGAGTGATCTGATGTTGAAACTTGAGTTCTTATATACTCCAGTCTAGTGTCTTCATCAGGAGTGATCTGGTGTTGAAACTTGAGTTTTATATACTCCGGTCTGGTGTCTTCATCAGGAGTGATCTGATGCTAAAACATGAGTTCTTATATACTCCAGTCTACTGTCTTCATCAGGAGTGATCTGATGTTTAAACATCAGTTCTTTTATACTCCCGTCTAATGTCTAATTTCTTCATCAAAAACTTTTAAGTCTCTTAAGAGTTGCCAAATGGCATTTTTCCTAATGTTATTTGGTAGAAAATATTCCATTCAACTTTCATAAACAAGTACTGACTAATTTTGGAATGTTCATTTGAAAGATATATGTTGCATGTACCTGTCAAATCCAAGTAATCCGACTTAGGTCTTTGTTCAACACATTCACATAAACCAGCAGCCAATTTCAGGGAATTCAGGGCATCCTGTGAACACACATCCACAGCTTTTAATAAAACTTTTAAAATGCCAGGAAATTTTATAGCTAGGGCAAAAATGCTTCACGTACATAAACAATGCTCATTGTAAAGTAATTTAATCAAGATATATTTTTCATAAAAAATATGTTGTAGCCATTGAGCCTTTTCTGTACAAGACATTCTACAAAATAAAACAAATTCCGAAAACGGACATCTTGTTTTCTTGATATTCAAGATAATACAAGAGTTTTAAAACAAAAGATGGTGTAATATTTTGTCTTTATTCCAAAGACATCTTCAGACTAATATTTTACAATGCAGGCTGCAAAACGTTTATATAACTATTTACAAGCGGAAGTGACAGTTACGTAATTAGAGAACTATAAGACTCAACAATTAAGCAGTATACTTACATTTAAAATAGAGATAATTTCTTACAAGCTTTGAGACCACTATTAAGTTGCGGCATATTGCGTTTTAAGACATTCCACAGGTTAATACAAACTTTATAATGTATGCAATGCAGCACAAAAAGAATACCTTCATTTTCTCTTCGTTTAAGCTGTCTTCTTTTGGGTACAATGGAAAAGCCTTTAGGTAATAAAGGATAATTGACACTTAAATTAAAGTACAAACATTTCTATGTTGCGTTCCATCTACTGAGAGAAATGGAAAGCAATACAAAAGATTTCAAACTTACCATCTGAGCATGCTCCATAAGCCAGAGAGAAACAGCAACAAGAAATGCAACATGATCGACATCTGAATCTTTGCTGACAAACATTTCCTCATCAGGATGTATAAAACTTGTCCACTTAAATCTATAAATGATGGAAGGCAAAAAATATCAATGAACAAGCAGCAACAAATTTATGCAAAATATATCACTAAATAAAAACACAAAAATAGCCTTTTGACCTACTTTAGTTTATAGGGTCTTCTAGCCTAGAGAAATGAGCAAGAGAAAATAAAATCATGACATACAACAGCATTGAGAACATGTGTTGACTATATTTATCTTAACTATATACATATATCACCTCATTTAAGACATGTCTCATAGGCAACACTAGATATCCATGAAGTGCGTTCATGACTGTTGAAGTGGATGTATCAGGATATTTGAGGACATCTTCCAATGCTTGCCGCCTTATGAAGTTCAAAATCAAAAGTACATATACATGATAAAGATAAAATGGACAATACGTATACATATAATTATACATAAAAGAACGTAAAAGCACGTGTAAATAAATATTTTTCATTCTGATGAAGGCTCGAAGCAACGAGTCGAAAGCTCAATAAAAATCATAACTAAAAGCACGTGTAAATAAATATTTTTCATTCTGATGAAGGCTCGAAGCAACGAGTCGAAAGCTCAATAAAAATCATAACTAAAAGCACGTGCTTTTATAACTAAAAGCACGTGTAAATAAATATTTTTCATTCTGATGAAGGCTCGAAGCAACGAGTCGAAAGCTCAATAAAAATCATTTAAAAATCCGGAGAAACTTTTATCTTTTATGTATTCAATGCCTGGATTACAAATTTTCAAACATATCATTATAGAGAGGTTCACAGATTCAGCATAAAACAGGACATCTTCCCCCTGGCACAACCTCCTTCATAGTAACTCAACTTTAGCAAGTTCTTCTCACATAATTAACAGGATGTACAGACTACATTTTCTCCACGTGCTTAGGAAATAGGTAAAGGAGTTTCGTATAGAAACTACGCTTGTAAATCTCACACCGAAAATACTGAATATATAGTCAAGAGCATCATATCTTAAAAAGAGCAATTTAATTTCAAAGAGCACTTTGCCACAGACGAAAAAATTTGAAAAACCAATATCATGACTTATAGCCCTGATCAACTAGACTCACTCCATCTGTCAACTACAAACCAGTTCAATTAAATGGTATTCATAAATTCTTACAAACCTTCTGGTGATTTCATGAACAACTCTGCTAGCATAGCTTCCATTGGGGATTCCTTCAACAGCTTTGCCAAAATTTATATGATCTGTTTTCTTTCTGCCGGAGGCTGGATGAGCCATAGTTTATATAAAGCTAGCAGGCTGAGGATACACGACACGTTGCACTTGTATTTAGCTAGTTGTTGATTTGGCTTCAATGAGCGCTTCGATTAACAATTACATCACAAAGCTCACAGTACTTCGATAATTACGTTGGAATGTTCGTAATAGTTGTCTTATCAGCACGTCATAAAAATGTTTGCTTCGAGAAATGATTCGCAGACTCTACGATTTAAACTCGTTGTTTAAACTCCAACAGTGACATCACGATTCAAGAACTAATCGAAAATGTCAAAAGAATCTTACACTCTCGTATTCCGAAATACGAAAACATCACAAAGAGCTTTATGCACGAGCAAATATCGTAATAAAATAGGAAATACTCTCATCAATTCATAAAGGGAAGAATGACGTCGTCATAGCAAAACAAAAAATTTACAACTGCGCTAAACAATACAATTTTCAAACAATTACCGCTGACCTAATAAATCGACAGCAAATATTATGGACAAAACGAATTACCAACTGGGTGTAAAATTGTGAAAAAGGACGCGTTCAAAAACAAACCAAACGTAACAAAACGTTTGAAAACACATCATGTTGTAGTGTGCCCAAAATTTGATTCGAGACACGCAAATAAATCAGACGTGCAATTTAAAAAATCTTAAAACTGCGCATGCTTTACATTACGTCACTATACGTTATGGAGAGTGGTTTTCAGCGTAAATAAATTAAGAAACAATCGTTTTCCAATGATATTTTCCCATTCGAGGATACTCTATTTATATTTCTTGCATTTCACAATGCAAATGGGACTCTATCAGTTCTGTCTGCGACACGACCCGTCTGTATTTTGCTCGCGCATTTTGAAACCACACTTGCAGCACGCGTTTCGAGAGGCCAGTCTTTATCGAAAGCTGTTTGAGATCTTTGGAGTCTGGATTGTGATTGAGCGCAAAGTAAGTTTTCATTACGAGCAGTTGATGTTGCTTAAATGAAGTTCGTACTCGCTTCGCTTTTCCGTTACAGCCTGTCTGCTCCTCCATGATAAACGGAGGAGAACAGTTGTCTTGTTCGAAGACTAAAACAAAAAAATGATCCTGAATGTAATTCGCAATCCCAAATTCGTTTTAAGCGCTGCCTAGTTTGCGTTGGCGATTTACATGTATGAAAATAAATAGAAAAGCAATAACTATCAATCCTGACACGGTTTTATATGCACATGAAAAACATGTGACTTGAACTCGCACCTTCGGGATACTAGTACGCCGCTCTACCTGTTGAGCTCGTTGAGCTGCCAAGCCCACAGGGGGATTGGAGACGAGTCAAATTTCATTCGGCGAACTAAGCAATAACTATTCTGTACGACATGAATTAACGCTCGTAATCTAAAAGCTCGCTCACACTGAGTGCAAACATAAAGATCACGTTTCCTCTAATCAATGAAAAAGTAAGTTCTCAATCAAAGGCAAGATTTTTGCTAAAATATGTTGAATCGAGAAAGCAGTCGAGTGAAAAATGCCGAAATTTTGAAGCATCACCTGTTGTGTGTGAGTGTGCTTTTAGACTACGGCGTAATATTATTATAAGTACACAAATTCAGACAGAATTTTCAAACTGCCGTTTTCAAACACAACACAATACGTTTGAATGTATATTTTTGAAGAAAGAATGAACCTTCCCAGTTGGAGGCGGGACGTTCAATTCTTTCAAAAAATTAGGGATAATAGGTTAATGTTTTAGGTCAAGGTGAAAATTGTCGCCAAGACTTCGGAATGGTGAAAATACTAACTTTCAAAAATCCTAAAAATATATATATTCTTCAGCAGAAATGATGTCCTAAGCGCTTTAGTAAAGCTTGTCAGCTTTTCAGATACTCTCGAGCAAAGTCATGCGAGTTTGAGCAAATTCTACTGGTAGAATTCTGTACTGGAGTCATGCAGTGGTCTATCTTTTTGACGAAGCTATTTCAGTTTTCCCATTGACAATTAACTATACCTGCACAATTATTCATCTCGCGTTTCCGTTTCCGTGACTTATTTTGGCCTCCATCGTCATCACTTCGATCTTGTTCATGAAGAAGGAAGGTTTGAAAATCTTTATGGCAATAGACCTTATCTCCATTCATACCGAAACTTTCGCCTGTAACGAGAACACGGTTGCACTCAACGCACGCAAAACACTGAAGATGAAAAACGAATTCGCGGGCACGCATGACCATTGCTGCGCTGTCGATCGCCTGCGAGCAGGCAGCACAACTTCTCGAGCCGTAACGCCTAAAAAACAATAAGGACGAAAAGAAAGAATGATTTGCTTTTAATTACGACTTCAAACAAACCAAATTGTCAATCGAATGTGCATATTGACAAAAAATGGAAAAGTTTTAATATCGAAAAAGCAAAAGGATTGTGCATAGTACATTTTCAGTTGGAAAAGTTATTTGACTCCATCGCCACCCCTAAATACACTAATAGCGTACGCTTGCATGGAAGCCACCTTAAAGTTTCCCGATATCCATTTCTACATTATGCCCCCAATTACCATTTTTCCTACGCCCTTGATGGCCTTTGAACCGCTCTCACTGAGCAAAGCGATAAGGCCAACACTCCAGAGCATTGTGAGATCTGATAAACTCGCTTAAGAATTTTTTGCCATCATGTCACGTGATGCAACGATCAAATATAAGTATTCCAGTAAATAGGTATTCAAGGATTCTTACTTGAAATAATCGGCACGGCAGAAAATCATATCATCTTTTACGAAGCACGTGATGTCGGACTCCAGTTCAACGTTGCAGTCAGAGCATCTGAGACAACGCATATGCCAACAATCATGCGAGACCATCAAGAAATATCGATCATAGATGAAGTCACCACAGCCACGACATATTGCCTGAGATTTGGTCAAATCCTCAAGTGACTGCATATCAAACCTGTTGTAAACAGGAATATTTTACAAATAACTAAAAGTCGACATCGACATTCGCATGACAAACCGCGCTTAAGTTACCCAAACGCATACAGTTGAATCAAATAAAGGATTCCAAATGAGGCAATACTACACATACTCGAATTCACCGTATTTCAATGAAAATAAGATAAAAGCTTGCAGCAGTTCCCATATTTAGAGTTAAAATCATGAAATTTACAATACTGTGGATATAATTTGATCTTATACATAGCAAAACTAATTTTAGGTCACTGATAAAGAAAAAACATTGCGGTATTCGGTGAAACGACTATTTCGATCACACAAGCCTCGCTTTTTTTTATTTTTGTTCAAACCTCGTTTCGTCGATCCAATTTTGACAAAACTTTAACAGGATCGTACAAATCATCAAAAAATAATAAAAAGTAATACAACCGAAAACAAGATAACGCTATAAATAGATGAATAGATAGCCATTATTAAGATTGCTGAAATTGATAAGCTTCACAATTATAAGTTCTATACAGTTCACATACAGTTCTAGTTGCCAAGTTATAAAAAATGAGAGCATTCTCTTTGTATTTCTGCTAATGCATACAGTTTGAACAGCATTCGAACTATATCACAAGAGCATAGTGTACTAATTTCTTTCAAGGAAAATCTTTTCGAAGTTCGAATGGTTTATGCAAGCAAGCTTAGCCATCAAAGACTGTATTTTTTTAAAAAAAGTCTCTTTAAAAGAAACTCATAGACATATTTCTATATTTATTCAAACGTTTCACAAAAACGTTTAATGAAATCAACCCTTTGAAATGCTATGCTTTGGAGGTAGAAGGACGCTGCTAAATGCCACAATTCAACAAAAAAATATAAGCACACAAAATCTTGAAATCTCGCGGAGTTCTGATGAAAAGAACAATCCAATAAACGCATAGTGGAAAATTTCTCAATTAAATAAGAAGAATATTTTATATACATTATACATAATAAACAGCTAAAATCTGGTCACGAAAATGTACAAAACAATCCTCTATGATGGGCTGCGGTTGGATCGAACATGTTGAGTTTGCTAGTCAGTTTGGTATAGTTTGATAAAAAGATTTCGATTTTTTCTCGGGAGAGATTGAAACCTGTTAATGCTCGCACTTGTTTAAGCTTTAACAAACTATATGAATGTAACAAAAGCAAGAAGACTTACCCAAGGTGTTTTTATACAAAAAATATATATAAATCATCAATTCGCCTACGAGTCCTTTAATCTTTTCCAAAAAGCCTTCACGACGCATCTGCCATAGCTATTTAAAATGAACAGACAAGTGCCCAATCCACATGAGGTCATATGACAGTTTTCTTAAGTAAAGAGACAAAAAATGGCACCTATGAGTTGATTTGAATCTCCGTACGATTTCAACCACGAATTCAACTATTTTTACCTACTTTTCATGTATCGAAACGAGGAAGAACAGGTTAAAAACACTCATGTACGTAGCAGTTAATGAGGAGAGTCTTCAGCAAAGTAAACTGCATCATAGTGACTGCAAACGCTTTTGTACTGTCTCAACGTGTTGATAGAAAAACTCTTATCTGAAAAAGAATTCTACATCTTTTGCAAACAGCCACACGAAATCTATTACAAATACAATTATTCTAATGTCAGTTTGGTGTAAATAAAATACACAAATAAGGCATTATGAATATTTCAATAGGAAGATAAGTGCTGCGATTATGACCTTTTGTGTGTTTTGTATAAATCTATTTGTCCAGTTCGTGTTTTTACGATCGATCGCTTGTGAGATAGGATTGTTCCGTATACTTATAAGCAAGGCTATTGCAGATTTCAGAAACAGATTCGAAGTGCAATATAATAGCGATTTTATCTAAGAAATTAAATCAATGCTTTTTATGCAATATGTCCTTTCCAGGACGGAATCGTTTATAAATTATTTCGACCCTCACTTCAAAACATTTTCATATTCTATATTGAAGGAGGATACCTAAAGCTTACTCAGCAGGGGGGGGCGGCACTAGATCAATAAAGGTTAGAGAGAAACGGCATGTCAAGTTTGCGCAATTAATAAATCTCTAAGTTGCGAAAGGTATTGAAACTGACAACATACCTCCCTTCCATCATACATCTCTAAACAACCTTTTATAGCATATGGCCAGTGTTCCTCGACATTTTCTTGCGTTCCTGAGACAAAAAATATGGCGTAAAGCGATGATCCTAACTGACGTGGAAACTAATCGACTTGCTTTACTTCATCTAAAGTTGTTATAGTGTGTTCAATTTTTCTCAAAATATAAAGATTTGCAATGTTCCATCGCAATTAATAACATCAAAATATCCGTCAAAAAAAAACACCGACTTGCCAGTCCTCAAAGTTTTAGCCCTTTCATGTAAATTTCTGATCATTATCATTATTCATTTCTTTGAAAATGTATTGTTTTCACAGTGAGTTAACACAAAAATATTTACACAGAGGGAGGTAAGTTTTTAGGATGCTACGCCTGTGCAAATAAAATAAGTAAAACAAGTTATTTAGATACATTTGAATTTTAACGACTTTCAGTACAAGAAAGTGTCGGATTGAAGTACTGGATGTTTCCAAATTCAGTCGCTTTGTTCCATTCAAACAAAAGTAAATGAAAATGACTTTGGGAGATTTGAAGTGGATGCGTGATGACACAATTGCCAAGATGTATCTCAGCGATGGCGTTATTACACAGAACTAACTAAAACTACGATAAAAATGATTTGCTTATCGGCATTGATCACACGTTGTATCTTTGGCAAAATCGATCTAAATTAGAACACCTCCCATTTTTGAAAAGTTCACTCGGGGCGAATGTGATTCCAAATATTTTCTAGTCGTATTGAAATGGTCGATAAGACTTGATATTGCCCTAAAAGCTGAGCGACTTTCCTCTCTTCCGGTACTTTCTCCGAGGAAAGAAGAACGGATGCAACGTGAAACATTTTTCTTCCATGGATAAGAAATCTCTCGGTCAAAGGAAATTGATTGTATGACGCAAATGGAGATAAGTCCCGTGTTTCATATTGTCCACATTATCAAATATAATGGAATGGCCCTGGGCAAATTCGATTAGCAAACCATCAAAGGTGCATTGGAGGAAGGACGGGGGAGCGGGGGGGAGGGGAGACAGCCCCTTGTTGAAATTCTATGTCACGTTTGGCAGTGGAAATTGTAGTAATCGGTATCAGAAAGCTTGTTCAATTTTCGGCAATGCATCGCTACAAAACATAAAAAAAGGAAGGGAAATTTCTTATTTCCCATGGAGGGCAGTTTACGTTTGAAAAACATGACGAATCTTTTTACGAGTATTACAAAAACATGACGAATATTTTTACGAGTATTACAAACACATGACGAATATTTTTACGAGTATTACAAAAACAGCGATTTCACCGTAGATAAAAGTAAAATGCGCTTTTTCGTTAACCGAAAGACTAGCGATACTGGGATTGGGAAAATTGAATTTGTCAAAAGAATTAGACTTGTCAAATCAAAAATCAAAGGAAGCCTTTCTTCAAGTGCTTTTTACTGCCAAGATCTCACGTTCTTTCATCGCTGTTTATTCTGAGAGCGTTATGCCGTCTTTACGATTTTCTAACTTTTGCAAACACAGCTGGCAATAACGTGTCAACTTTCCCGCACACAACAAGATTCGTGTCGACTTAAGATCAAACAGATCAAGTCGCGGATTCAAATAGTTCGAGACAGAATGAAGGAGACACGGGAATTAAGGGAAAAACGAATGCAACGTCTGGAGAGGCAAATGCAACGCCACATAATCAATGCACTATAAATGAAATTGTCATTTCAAAAAAAAAGGTGACAAATTATCTTTTCAAAGAAAAAACCCCTTCAAAGTTAAGGCTGACGGAAACAATTGAGGCTTTTTTATAATATTTACATTATGTCTGCATTTTTTCAACTTGAATGTGTGTAATGGCAGATCATTTCGCATATGTAAATAGCGAATCCAAAAACTAAATGATTTCATCAACGCAATGTTTTCCAAAATCACGATAAAATGACCAAAATCTTTAACATCTTCAGAAAAAACACCCCAAGAGAAGTAGACATTTTTCGAACGAACTAATTTTTTGTCCAAATTCACCTGCCACCAAGAGGGAAGAATGCGAAGATTTATGTTTTACTTACATTGCGCATTCGCCTGATGTCATCAGGTACCGCGGGCGCACACCAAGATCAAGAAATATGGCGTAATGTAAACAAAAACAATGGTTCTGCTGGAAAATCAGTGAAAATCAGAGAAATCTCTGCAAATGAAATAAAACAAACTGTCACATTTCATTTGTAAAGATGGTTAGTTAGATTATTTGAATTTAATAACCGTGCTTCTTTCAATATCCTGTCTGATGTTAACGGATAATCTAGGCAGTTTCAGATCGAGATGTTGGCGTAACGTTGATGTTTGTGGTGGGTTTCATAGAAGTTTACTACATTATATGGATAATTTTCTTGGTAAGGGTTCTCTCGTGATGCAAGACTCTTCAAAGCCAAAGTTTTGTAATGTTTGTTCAACGCAAATCCTTTCTCAACACCAGTTTATCTTTTAGCCATTTGCCGGAGGAGATAATTTTCTACAGAGATATTTCCCAAACAGGATGTACGCCATACTATTACCAGTGGTTGCTGGGATGTCATTTTTGCTGCTATTATGTGAGTTATGTTCAACAAGGGGGCATCAAAGACAGAGAGAAAGAGGGGGACTTAATTGCAGAAACATTCCTTAGCATCATTGGTAATTTACATTTTCAATTCTAGGTTGTTACATCTGCATTGTACTACGTACAAGGAAACACAATAGAAAGTGCGGAAAGTCTGACTGATTAGTACATATACTGATCGAGTTTCTGCAATTGCTGTGCACCCAGGACTGTAACTAGAACTTTAAATATGAGGGACGGGAGGGAGGGGTATTCTTTTGTACCCAAATCTACATGTACATCTAAATGTACATGTATATGTACATCTCGATTGATGTTGTATAAGCATACTTGCCTACACAATACCATTCCTTTTGAAGTTTTATCACTGCAAAATACATGTATGTTTTACAGTTAGTTGATATCTCAAGCTTGAGCTCTAGAAAATATATAATATATTACCTCTTCTCTTTCACATACACTATATACATCACTGGCTTTGAACGAGTTCATACCAATACATTGAATCAAACTTTGTAGTAAAAAATAAATTTGGGCAACACAGTGTCATGTCTTGCACTACCCCCGATGATAAGGATGGACTATTGGCTACGATATCGCCCTACTAAGCATAATGACATCATCACAGATGAAAATCATAAATGTCCTTTTTGAACATTAATCAAAGTCGATAACTACGCTCTTTTACAATCCTTGCCTCGGCGCTGTTACTTTTCGCCGATCGGCTTTGAGCCTTCGCTTGGCCAACAAGAGAAAGATCTGGATTGGAATGGGTCTTCGTTGTTTTATGCCAACTGTGCGGTCGTCCTGTGGCGCAAAACAAACACGTCTCTCTTGTATCAAAATCGATTACCAGTTGACAATTTTAAGTAATATAATATACTCCGAATTATATGAATTTGTAACAAATTCGAAATATTACTTTCAAATAAAAAATTCCTTGTTTCTTTCTCAAATATTGAGTTAAACACGAGTCTCTCTTGTACATATAACCGAACACTTTAAACGTTTCCACTATCAGTTACCTGAACTTATGTCTGCGACCTCAGAAGTGTTTGCGCTTGCCTTAGGGTTGCCCACAGCACTGGCCTAAAAAGAAAAATTCACTTTGACCTAAAGCGTGTACAAAAAAATTTATTGAACAGTTCACTACTATCGCCAGCAGTCTACAACGTACCACTAAAGGAAGATTTCGACCAGCTAAAATAACAGGATCCATTCTCGGTAAACTTATTCCTGTGGGCGACCTACGAAAATACAGAAAAAGATCAGTAATGTCATTTCTTCGAAAACATCAAGAGGAAAAACTCGAGTACATTAACGCATGCGTGCTCAGCCTTAGAGTAAAGTGGTTTTTAAAACAAACGATCGATAATTTATGAGTTCCTTGAAAAGAATACATTATTGCGTCAAACTGGAGACGAAGTGAACAGTAAATCATACAAGATCACTTTAATTTACAAGCCCCACAACCTGACTCGCCGTTTGTTAGATGTTCGAGATTCGTTGTGATATCCACCACTGTCCCCAAGTATCTCGTCTTCTTGACCTTTGAGAAGCACGGCTTGGTCGTATATCCAGCTATACGAAAAAGTATACCGGAGGTGAGGTAAGGTGCGTTTTCACAGGAAGTGAAAGTTGTGAAACTTTCGCATCTTTTCACATTGTGAAACTTTCGCTCTTATTCCTTCCTAACCAAACCCATTTTCCACCAACACCAAAATAAATTAGAAAACGCCATAACAAGTCAATCAATCAGTACTGTGCACCTGAACGTCATTTCCTTTTTAACTTTTGACTCTTCTTCATCCCTTCTTGGACTTTCGTTATCTCCATACTGACGTCCTAGAAACATGATGGGCAAACACTTGGAGCAACAGTCGCGTAATATGGAGAAAAGTTGTAGAATACCATACCACATACTTGTACTACCTACAAGCCTAATCCTAATCTCCTGATAGTTGTAGGTAGTTTATGTAACAGGTAATCTATAAGTGTATGTCATACATATTACCAGAGAAGTAATCCACTCTCGGTTTTTCCTTCCTCTTTTTCACAATCTGAGCGCCATGTGATTTGTTTGTTTCGTCTGTTTTCTTGAACAACTTTAGCCGTTTTTCTGGATCTGAGGGGAGAATTTCATTGATAAAAACATTAATTGAGTAAAGAGCATGACGACAAATTGGCGAAACAATTTAATTATAATAAAGTTCTTTAGCTTAAACAACACTATCGCTATTTTGGTCTATTATGTTCATCTCTAGTTGACGACTGAAAAACTCTACAATCCTCAATAGGATAGCCAGCTTAGTTTGACAAGCAATCGTTGTATAATATATAAGCTATCTTTGTATAATATATAAGCTATCTTTGTATAATATCTTAAGCTATCTTTGTATAATGTAATCTATTGTAGCTAGTAATAGTGCACCGTTATAGCGAGTTCTCACTTGAAGTTTACACCTGTTTGCTGGTGTGCGTTCTAACTAAAAAGAATTTTAAATAAGCTCTTCTGCAACACCAATATAATACTGTTTATCGATTGTTTAATCCCTATGGAATGAGTGAATATGGCGATTTTCACAACAGACTTCATAAAATGTAAAAACAAAACTCGACATTGAGTTGGCATCGATTATTCATGAGCCTGAAATGCTTACCGGTAAGTTTCTTCTTGCGTAACGCGTTGTACTTCATTCTGTTGGCGCGTTTCATCATTAACTCAGCAGTACTACTTTTACTAAATCCCCTAAAATGATAAACCAAGTAAAATAGATGAATGTATTATTAACAGGCCAATTGAAAATCCACGACAATTCATTGTTGTGTTAGTGCAAACCAAAAAAAAACAACTTAATTTCATGCTATTTATTAAAGGAAGATCAAGACACTAAACTGGAGTACATAACGATTAAAGCTGCCATTTCAGACCACTTCAGATCAAGACACTGGAGTATATAAGGACTCCAGTTTCAACATAAGATCATTCCTGATGAAGACACCACACTAGAGTATATAAGAACTCAAGTTTCAACATAAGATCACTCCTGATGAAGACATTAGACTGGAGTATATAAGAACTCAAGTTTCAACATCAGATCACTCTTGATGAAGACACTAGACTGGAGTATATAAGAACTCAAGTTTCAATATAAGATCGCTCCTGATGAAAAGACACCACACTAGAGTACATAAGAACTCAAGTTTCAACATAAGATTACTCCTGATGAAGACACTAGACTGGAGTATAAAAGAACTCAAGTTTCAATATAAGATCGCTCCTGATGAAAAGACACCACACTAGAGTACATAAGGACTAAAGTTTCAACATAAGATCATTCCTGATGAAGACACCACACTAGAGTATATAAGAACTCAAGTCTCAACATAAGATCCCTCCTGATGAAGACACCACACTAGAGTATATAACTACATAACTAAATACACTAACCATTCACTAGACAGTTCGCTCGTTCTGTGAGATCGTTGAGTCACACCAGGCGGTGATCTTTCTTCGGACAAAGTACTCGGTGCTTTGATAGGTGGCACAATCCTCTGATCAGGACTGCACACAGGGGATGCCCACGCTTTTTTTATCGCAAATGGTTGAAAATTATCCTCTTCGTTGGTGACATAATCATCACGGTACTTTATTTGTTGTTGTTGTTTTAGAGACTGCGATTGCCAGTTGTTTTGTCCACTCCTAAGCAAAAATGCATAAAGATTCAAATATTATTTTAAAGTTAGACTAATTTTTCGACATTTTTTTCCTATGCTATGATGACAGGCTGTGTTCACCAAATAAACACCAAATTCACAAAAAAAAATACATCGCCATGATTAGAAGTTCAAAACAACGAAAAACAAGTTTAATCCTGAGGCTTTTTGCTATTATGAAAACTTTACATACTGTAAGTATACACCTACGGAGCTACGTCTGACGGAGCACAACTATTTTCCAATTCCTCTTCATCCATATCCATCCAACATTCAACAAAAATACACCTAACATACCCTGGTGCTACGTCCAAGGGAACCAAACTATTTTCTAATACTCTTTCATCCATATCCATCCAACATTCAACAAAAATACACCTAACATACCCTGGTGCTACGTCCAAGGGAACCAAACTATTTTCTAATACTCTTTCATCCATATCCATCCAACATTCAACAAAAATACACCTAACATACCCTGGTGCTAAATCGAAGGGAACCCAACTATTTTCTAATACTCCTTCATCCATATCCATCCAACATTCAACAAAAATACACCTAACATACCCTGGTGCTAAATCGAAGGGAACCCAACTATTTTCCAAGTCTGCTTCATCCATATCAAACATATTGAGGTCAACATCTTCATCAAAATCATCATTTTCAAGGTCGAGATCAGTGTAACGAGCAGTTTTCATCGCTTCAATGTATCTTTTTCTCATGTAATATCCACGAAGGTTTGCCTATGAACATCAGGTTTGTACAAGTGAGCTAAGGTATAAGTAAACAATGTAGGAAACCCTTGTACGATAAAAATGCATTGAATAACTTTGTTGTAAATGATTGAAGTTGGTGAAGGGATGTATTTATCCATATTATTTCAATACATTACATGCTGTTTAACATTAACTTTTTAACTCTTCCTTGTCTATTGTTTGACGTTATGTCAAGTATGTTACGAACTCAAACGAAACAACGATGATGCAGAAAAAAAAGGGAATCACGTGAGATCATGCAGTTACATATTTAAGATTGCTGAGAAGTATCGTACACATCCAGTCATCATGTCCTAATGGTAATCATGACTGTGTAAACGCGATGCCGCGGTATTTGCATGGACATGAAATTAATTTCCCGTTTTTATAAAAACAATGGCGAAGCAGGTCCGATCTTTCGATAAAGCTACGCACATATTTTTTCTTTATTCAATGAAAAAAACCCACAGCAGTTAACAAAATCAATTTCTTGAAAAATTGAATGCCAAGTAAGAATTTACGTAGCAGGAGTTATAATTCGGTTTGGCTTTGTCACTGGTTACAAAAAACATTCTTTTTGATGAAAAAAAGTTCAAACCTGAATGCAAGTTGCTGCTTCATGATGGAATGGTTGCCATTGAACGTAACTCATTTCAATCGTATTAGAATGCAGACTTTTCTCACGTGACAGAATTGATTTCGTAACATTGCTGTTTTGTGGTTCTTTACAAATGTGGTTCGACTGTGTTTCATCAAACACGTCGCTCGATATAGGACGCTCATGCTGCCGTAAAAGAAATTCTTGTTCACCAATTTGAAGATGATTTTCCGCCACATTTTTCAAAACATCGCTGCTCTCTTGTTTTTCGCGACGTGATGAAGATATAAGAGTGTCATCATTGAGCTTTCTTCTGCCGCACATATTGTTGGATGTGATCGTTGCGGGTTGTATTGATACATGATTTGAAGGAGCATTCCAATCAGATTCATTGTTCCTGTCTGGATACTCACGTCCATAAGGTTGCCCTTCCGTATTGTCGTTTTGAATAGAAGTATCTCGTAGATGTTTTTCACCGAGCGATGTATCTTCTCCAACTTTTTTTGATGATTCAGGTTTAATGGAAACAATGGAGTTTTCAAAAGTTTCATTTTCACCGACCACAGAAAATCTTTCGTGCATTTGTCGATGTTCTATCATCAAATCCTCAAGCTCTTTGAAGTGCCGAATCTGATGTATAATAAAATACCTATAGTTAAATATGTGAAGGTCTCATTGAGGGAGAAACTTTGCCGCGAAACTTCAAATTCGCTTCCACATTGACGCTCCGGTAGCAGCTCACTCACTTAACTTTTTTAAATTCACTATTTCCTTGTAAACCAATGTGACTGAGAAACACTTGTCACTTTGTAAATAAATAGAGCTCTTAAAAAATTTGGCGAGTAATTTTTTTGCTTTTTCTTGTTACATTCATACGACTTCAACATAGACTGCCAAGTCGAAACAAATATAGGCAAAACTGTGAGACTCGTGTGTAAGTTAAACTTTTTTGAGGGAAAAGTCAGATCTTATGAACATTGTCCGGCTAACAAATCACCGAGCTTTTTATATGCAGACTCACCTTCAAGTTTAGTCTTTTCAACACAAGGTCGTCGGCACTATACTCTTTTTCGCAATTCCTAAAAATACAGAATAGAGTCAAGATTTCACAGGATTACGCAGGAAAAAGAACACTTTATGTGAAGTAAAATGTTACAAAAAAAGAGCAATAGCTAAAACCACAACAACGTTTCATACACTGGCGGATCTAGGGCACAGTATAGGAATATACAGTAGGGCCACTGAAGATTTTTTGCTATCCAATGGATAACGTTATCCAGGCTTCGTGCAACCCGCGGTTAACATTAGCTGCCTCCGTTTGCATAAAATAATTAAATTCCTTACAACATCTCAGATTTATGTCTCTTCATTAATGCATCCTGTGTGAGAATCTGAGCACAGCATATTTGATGGTATATGGATTGCATTCGAACATCATCGTCTACCAAAGTGTTTTTTAATTTCTCTTGATTCAAGCATCTAAGATTCGGCAACAGACTGATGATAGCGCCTCTACAGGGAGAGAATTTTGATAAAGTGAAGATGTCCTAGCAATCAGTAAATATGATGCAAGATTCGAGACTTATAGTATACGAATTTTACAGTTTTAATGATTATCCATCTTAAAGGAAATTCCGCGTTAAATACCCGCACTTTGAACGTTCATTACAAATAGCTTGGTCAGAAAAAATGGCCCTTTGTTATATAAATGGGCCAACTAATTTTCGGGATTGATTTACTGGGGCCGGGGAATCTATATAAGGTAGGGACTTAGCGCACTTTTATAACGTTGGCTAGGAATGGTGCTGAGTGCATGTTAATCCTTTACTATCACAAGATATACCTAGTTCACCCCTCCATCAATTCGCATTCATCCCTGGATAATGTACCTGAAATTTTTGTCCTCGACAACTGGATTTCCTTCTACGATAAGTACTCGCAATTCTTGACATCCAGCAATTCCATTTAAAACATTTTCTTCATCTAAACACAAGGCATCGAAATTTGTTACAAAGAAGACGTTTAAATGAAAACCAACAGACATCGAAATTTGTTGCATGGAAGATGCTTAAAAGACAACCAACGGACAACAGATAGCATTAAACAGAGACCTCGTCGTCTTGACACCTCTAAATACAGCTTTGAAAAGTGCGATTGCCGGCGTGAATATGAACAAAAATAACCCAAGAGTTTTGAAAAGACCTATTTGAGAAATTTGAGACACTGCGCATTTCGGCGGACACATCATCAGTGGTATTTATATTGTTGTTACCATGACGACTCTTCCAATGTGGGAGAAGGAGTCAACATCAAAATAAAGCCAGTTAGAGAACGAACTGCTTCTGTCCACAAAGAACAACGACGACAATAACTTCCTGTTTGCATAAATACCTGTAATTAAGTTGTTTTTCAAATCCAAAGTTTCCAGCATTGGGAAGTTTTTCATATGAGAAACAGTGGATAGGCTAAAACACAAGAGGAATAAAGCGAACTTGTTGCGTTCGAGTTGAAGACTTATAGAATGTTTACATAAAGTACCTGTTGTCATTGAGGTATAAATGTTGAAGAAGAGGCAACCAATTATTGACAAACTCTTCCAAAGAAGAAATGCTATTTTCACCAAGATGTACTTCGCGCAGTAAAACATGATTGCTCAAACATGGAGGCTGTAGCAGACAATCAAAACGACGCATGATAATTAAATTGTGACCACTTATTTTAAACACATTATTTTATACACAAAATTGGATATTAAACACTTACAAATAATGCAGTCTTAATAGATTTTAATAATCAATATAATAAACTAGAGAATACAAGAACTCAAGTTTCAATATACGTTCTAAGGGTCTGTTCACATGAGCCCGGTAAGCGGGATTCAGCGAGACGTGAAATGATTTTGAGTCATTAAAAGAAGTAAAAACTTTAAGCGCAAAGTTTAAAACCTTTTCTTACAAATGTCATATGTCATTTTAGTCATAATTTTCAAATCAGGCTAAATTATTTGTTTCCATTTTAAAGGTTTTGTGAATTTGCAAAGTCAGAGCTTAGAGAAATTGCTCAGATAAGTTTTTGTCGTGAAGTATTTAATCTTTTCCATTTGCCAAAACAATTTCACGCTTCGCTGAATCTCGGCTACCTGGCTCATGTGAACAGCCCCTAAGATCACTTCTAATGAAGACACTAGACTGGAGTAGATAAGGACTCAAGTTTCAACAAAAGATCACTCCTGATGAAGACACTAGACTGGAGTATATAAGGTTTCAAGTTACAATATCTGATCACTCCTGATGAAGACATTTTCATGAAGTATGCAAAGCGTATATAAGGTTTCAGTTACAATATCTGATCACTCTTGATGAAGACAGTAGACAGTGCTTTCTGTGCCTTTGAACAAATATAAGTACCATTCAAGTACGAATATACCAAATGGCTAAAGTAAGATCATCTTCAAAGATACTCCATCCTAAAATAACGACTTAACTATAAGATAAAATAACTCCGGATACTAATAACTTTACATAATATATAAATCCTAACACGGTTTTTAATATGCACATGAAAAACATGTGACTTGGACGAGATTTGAATTCGCACCTTCGGGATAATAGTCCGCCGCTCTACCTGTTGAGCTACCAAGCCCACAGGGATTGGAGACGAGTCAAATCTCTTTTAAACTGCGTATGGACGAGAGATTCTCGCCACTATAGCAGTTTACTAGATGGCACCGTGTTTAGACTTTATTCCAAAATAACTTTAATAACTTTAATAACTTTACCGTTTGCAAATTATTTCCTTTCAGCCGTAAAATGCTTAATAAAGGACAGCATTCCAATTCATCGATGCGATTCAAGTGATTATCAGAGCAATCCAAAATTTGTAAATATTTCCACGTTGAGAGGCCTTTCGTTGTGATTAGTTGGTTACTTCGAAGTGACAAGTGCATAACTCTGTTGAATGAAAATTTTCCTAGAATGAAAAAAGAAAATGAAATTTCTTTACAGGTGGAAGTGCTACACATAGTAATTTTCAATTTATGTTTCCATTTGAAAAAGAGATGTTTCGTTACTTAGATTTGACGGTTGACGGAGCCATTTAGATAAATTTGGCAGTGAGTACAAGCCCAATATGAATGGGTTAAATTTGGCAGAGAGTACCTATCTAATGTGAATGGGTTAAATTTGGCAGAGAGTACCTATCTAATGTGAATGGGTTAAATTTGGCAGAGAGTACCTATCTAATGTGAATGGGTTAATTTGGCAGAGAGTACCTATCTAATGCGAATGGGTTTAATTTGGCAGAGAGTACCTATCTAATGTGAATGGGTTTAATTTGGCAGAGAGTACCTATCTAATGCGAATGGGTTTAATTTGGAAGAGAGTACCTATCTAATGTGAATGGGCTTAATTTGGCAGAGAGTACCTATCTAATGCGAATGGGTTTAATTTGGCAGAGTACCTATCTAATATGAATGGGTTTAATTTGGCAGAGAGTACCTATCTAATGTGAATAGGTTTAATTTGGCAGAGAGTACCTATCTAATGCGAATGGGTTTAATTTGGCAGAGAGTACCTATCTAATGTGAATGGGTTTAATTTGGCAGAGAGTACCTATCTAATGTGAATGGGTTTAATTTGGCAGAGAGTACGTATCTAATGTGAATGGGTTTAATTTGGCAGAGAGTACCTATCTAATGTGAATGGGTTTAATTTGGCAGAGAGTACCTATCTAATATGAATGGGTTTAATTTGGCAGAGAGTACGTATCTAATGTGAATGGGTTTAATTTGGCAGAGAGTACCTATCTAATATGAATGGGTTTAATTTGGCAGAGAGTACGTATCTAATGTGAATGGGTTTAATTTGGCAGAGAGTACCTATCTAATGCGAATGGGTTTCATTTGGCAGAGAGTGCCTATCTAATATGAATGGGTTTTGAGATTGAATGACTAAGACAACAGCGATGAATACAAACTATTCTCTCTTTAGATTTATCATGTCTATAGCGTGTTATATTTCATTGTACTTCCAAGCAATCATACGCCCTGATCATTTATGGTATACCAAATCTGTTCAATGTCCCACTTTATCCCTCGCTGTCATATGTACGTTAAGAGAACCGGAGTGGAACTAAGTAAATGGGTGATCCGAAAACCTATTCACAACTAGAAGAGAAAACTTACATGAAAAGTTAGATAGCGGAGGGGAGAAAGAAGTCATGATTGCAATACCACATACCTACTCTCGTTATCTTGTTATCGTCCAGTAAAAGTGCTCGGACGTTACAGCAGCCATCAAGACCGTGTATTGAAGCCAATTGATTCCTTTTAAAATCCACGAGATGAAGAGAGTCCAAATTTTGACAACATATGTTTTGTATCGCATTGTCCTACATGGTCAATACAAAAATTAGTCAACGATTTCAACACAATAAATGTCGACGTAAGCAAGAATAGTGTCGACAGGGCCATGCATTCTCGACTTTCTACGTTCTTCAATTCCTTCGGAAGTAAAGAATGAGCTTCAATCTTTTTACCGCATTGCTCATACTTAATCTTTAGTCTGAAGACCTTGATTTGTCCTATGATGACATGTATGTCCACAAATAAACACCAAAATTCACAAAATATATCACCAAACGTTCAAAGAAAACTAAGAACAGTGTACTAATCCGTTTGAGGATCTTTGCCAACATGTACACTTTAAATACACCTAACATAAAATGATGCCACGCACGAAGAAGCCTAACTATTCTTCACTTCTCTGCTTCGGATATATCAAACAGCCAGCAAATATAAACATCACATACATTTTAATACGGACAAAGTATGAGGTAATACCAACCGAGAGGTTCAGTTCCAACAGGTGCTTACAGCTTTCAAAACCTGCGGCTGATATCACGCCACAGTTTTGTACAGTCAGTGATTTAACATTGGGACAGCTTGGCATTATTTTGAAATTGCGTGGTGGAAGATCTCGAACGTTAATGACAAAGATCTGTAAGAAAATAATAATTTCTAGAGTAGTTGAATTCTTACTCTTCGGAGTTGAAAAACAAAAGAAATTGGGGTCCTGCTATCTTGAATATTCCTTAAATCAAAACGCGAAACATGCTACTTTTACTCACTTCATCCAGCGACGTCGGAGTTTTTAACGAATTTAGAATTTCTTCTGTAGAAAAAGTAGGGAGGTTCTGTGACGCTGACAGCGGGCGCCTAAGTACGATCAATGCTTATATACATCAACAATCTGACAAGTATCACAGATTGGACGATTTTACAACAAATACCTGGGCTTTGGTCGACTTGTCGAAGAACCACTTTGCTCTTTAGAAAGGCAACTGTACAAAAATGAAGTTACTTTACATATGAATTGAAAAAAATAACAATAATATAACACGTGCGTATATTGGTCTGTGTAGCCGAGTTTGCGTTAGCCTGAGCTAACCATTGAACTAAAATACATGGAACGCTACCGATAATCGAAAAGCCAAATAATTTTTTAAAGTCAAATCTTACACCCAGACATGCGAGATTACACCTAGAAACGCGTGTAGTTCAATCAATTTTCATTCCGCGAGAGAATCTCGAAACACTACACACGCGTGTCTAGGTGTAATCTCGCGTGTCTGGTTGTAAGATTTGGCTTCAATTATTTGCTTCAGGTGGCGTTTCATGTATTTTAGTTCAATGGTGCAAACTGATCTGAGCTCAATCAATTAAATCAATCAAAGAGAATTTACAAATCAATCATGAATACATGTTAAAGGAACAACTAAAACATTTCTTTCAAATTTATCTGTTTCGCATGGTTTTTATTTCATAAAAGAAATAAAACATGTTTTTCGTGTTTGCACTGGCTTAAGTAAGCCTCGGATACAGTTGTGAGAACTATCGACTTTCGGTCTAGAGATTGCACTGATCTGCTCTCGAGTTCTCCTAAGGGACTTGGCGGTTAGCAAAAGCTCATGCAAACACAACATCTTTTATTTTTGAAATATCAAACATTTTTTCACAAGACTCTTCCACGTACTTGAGTAAGTTATGTTACAGCTAAACTAAACACGATACCTCCACAATGTGGTTTGTTTCAACCAGTTTTTTCTAAGTGTCTCCCAAACCAAATGACATTCTCTAGAATCCAGGGTGGGCCTGGATTCCTCTTCAACATTCCCGCCGTCTGCCGGACGATCATCGATGTTGACATCGAATAATGAATCTCGACCAGATCTTCCAAACGAAACGTCTTTAATATTACAGTTTTTTTCGAGTAACTCGCTTTCCCCTCTGTCCTTATTTTCCTTTTCTGTCTCTTGTCCTTTATTCCCTAATCCTTCATTTCCTTCAGTTTCCTTTTTATACTTTCTTTCTTCTTTTCCAGATCTCTCAACTCTTTCTTTTCTCTTTCCAGCTCTTTCTTTCCTTTTTTTTTCTTTTCATCTCTTTTCTTTCTCCTCTTTCTTAGCCTCTTTCAATTTCTTTTCCATCCTCCAGCTCTTTCCATTTCTGCCTCCATTCTATCTTTCTTTTTCCAAAGCCTCTGCTTTCTTCCGTTTTTTCTCCATTTCTACCTCTTTCAATCTTTTCTCTTCTTCCTCTTTAGCCTTTCGTATTCCCTCCTCGATCATTCTCTTTTCTTTCTCATCCAAAGCTTTTAGTTCCTTCAATTTCTTCTCGTATCTCTCTTCTCGTTTTTCTTTCAATATGCCACCGTACTTTGCCTTTACACTGAAATAAATATTTTCATATTTCATACAGCTTCAAGTGATAATCACTGATCTTAATAACCTGGACAAAACAAGGAGAAGGGAGTCTGGGGAGAAGTCTGCTAATGAATTTTGATGTAAGTTTCAAGTGGGTACGGCGTTCTTACTGGAGAATAATAGGGAGAAGGGGTCTGGGGAGAAGTCTGGTAATGAATTTAGATGTATATTTTAAAAGGATACGACGTTCTTACCGGAACATTCGAAAAGTCTTCTGAATTATAACACAAGCACGTTCGTTTCTAACTTCAAGTTTTCGTCTTTCCTCGCGCTAAGCACATAAGTAACATCATATTAGGATAACAAACATAAATTTAGACATTTCATCTACTTCATGGAAATAATTTCTTCACTAAACACTTCGTTTCACACTCAAAAGTAGAGCTCAACATTGAAATGTTCTTGTATGAAAGCTGCAGCAACCGACCGTTCTCTTTAGCTAGCTATTAATTGTGGGGATCTAGCTGAAGTAAACTGCTGACGTCATCTATTGACGTCATCTACTGACGTCATCTAACCGGTTGAAACGATGTCACAGAATACTAGCATGTCATCTCCGATGATTATAGTATAGGCACTGCACGCAATTGTTTCGCCACTCGGCCAAGACAAAAATCCCTGGAGATGACCTTCGATGTATTTACCTAAGTATTACGTCATGGACTAAAGTTCGAGTATCAATAACTACCTGGACTTTCTCTAACGCCATTCGTTCTTCCTTACGACGTTTTTCTAATTTCGTCATTTCAAGCTAAAATTACATGAAGTACACGTCACTACTCAAAATACACGAAAGGTTATCTGAACGACGACCAACGGTATTTACCTCGAGTTGTTCCTGAAGATCCATAATTGTCTTTTTTTGAAGTTTTGCTTCCTCTTCAATCTTCAATCTTAGGCTCTGCAAAGTAAGCAAAACTACAATATTTAAAGCAAAAATAGAGTATTTAAATACATGTTCCTTCGCAGCGGGCAAGTCCATGCTATAAATATTTATCCCGAGGGTTAAAAAAGAGCGCGAAACCGCAGGCCGAGGAAAATTTTTGAGACAGAGGGGAATACTTTTCTATCAGGAGCGACCTAAAGTGTAAATAACGTATTTATTTTTTTGCTAACAGTCTTACAAGATTGCGCAATCAGGTTCAACAATGGCGGCAAAGTAAACAATCAAAATTTTGCAATTCACTTTACTTTGGAAGATTCAAAATTCACTTGAAATAATTTATTAAAAAGATTCTTAAAGCTATAGGATTCCGAGATGGAGAAATTCCACCTGGTGCAACTGCCAATCAGATTACAGGCGGTCGGAGATGGAGAAATTCCACCTGGTGCAACTGCCAATCAGATTACAGGAAAGACTACGTGACAGTTCAATATTTTTTCTTACCATGTTTTTTTCCATCTTTGCTTTATGTTCTTCACTTGCCGTACGCTTGCTTTCCACCCTCGTCGTTTCATCTCTCTCGTGTCTAAGGCGATCGTCTTCTCTGATTTCATTGAAAAGCTCTTCCAACTGGTCACGACGATCGTTTTGTTTTGATTCCAGTTTTTTGAGCTCGTTCAAACCGGTTTCTTCTAGTGACGAAATGACTTCGTCTTCTTCGTCTAAAAATGTAGAGTTGCGACAAAAGGAAAGCTACTACCTTCTCATTCATAACTGCAATGTGAACCTTTGTTATTCTTTGTTTCTTCTTCCAACAAAACCGAAACAGAGATAAAATTTCTGGAACAGCACAGCTTTAGTAGCCAGCTGTAAGGTGGGATTTGAATGCAAAGGAGACATGCTCAGACTCATACTTGCAAGTTATGCTACATTCATTTTTGTTGAAATTATTATTCATGACAGTTGATAGCATATATGAATACAGCATTTATCGAGGCTATGACACAGTGTTAATGATAGTTATTGCAATAAAAACTGTGTTTGGCTTTAGAGCACGTATGCCATCTTCCTCAATAATGGAAATCTACGTCATAGGAAATAGATAACTTACCAACAAAAACATTTGCCTCCTCTTTTTCACTGCATTCCTCAATTTCCAAAAGGACCTTGCGAGCATATAATATTAATGAAAAGAATGAATGACTTGAGCCCTGGAGTATCGTTACATGTTTGTAGATGTAGATCATCCAGGTTGGCAGAGTCTTGAGAAGGACTGTTGGTATTGATGCTGACTGATGTTTGGACAACATAAACATAGTTATCTTCAGAGTGAGGAGTAAAAGTCTGGTTAAACAAGTACTGTAAACCTGACATTTACTTTTCATTTGACTCTGAATGAAGATGACTACCACTAAGACTTCAAAACATCTGTCAACATAAACACCATTAGCCATTCTAAGGACTCTAACAACATGGATGATCTACATCTACAAATATGTAATTAGAGTTCATTGCGGGTAAAACATTGACTGGTATTTAATAGCAAAACAGTATATAATTAAAATTAACCTTCTCTTTGAAATCAGGTGTTAACCTGGCTTCATCATCCTCCAAGTTCTCCACAAGTATTTTGGCCGAGCTATTATCTTCGGAATGATTTGCAAACTTCAGCGCATTTTCGGCTTCATCAAGATCCAATTGAAACTTTTCCCCTCTCGATTTCAAGAGACGCATAAAGGATTCAACAGAATCAGGGCAGAAACACATTTCTCCTCTGTAGAAGAAACCTAAAAGAAAGAATTGCAATTTAATCCCAAAAAATAATGCTTAGTTTTGCAGTTAACAAGACAACTTCGCCGCTTTTTTTTAAAAAGATATAAAATCATTTCAATATGCATTATGGCATATTGAAATGTCCCACAAAAAGAAACTACTTAAAATTTCTTAAATAATTTCAACCTTTTCAAGAGAAGTGCCAGAAACTGGAAAATCTCCTTGAATGCTTTCAAAAGACTTGATGCTTTCATCGGATGTACTCTCCAGTTCCAGCAAGTCCAAGCCGTCCAGCGCCTTCAACTCCAACCTAATGGCTTCTTCTATATCGACTTCGTCCACCTCTTCAAGACCAGTCATATTTCATCGCAAATTTGCGCCAAAAAATGTCATCTTTTTGCTGAAATCGCCTCGATTCTCAAACTTCAACCATTACCATCCATATTTACTATTATTTCTTTGTAGTTCCCGGGAATTTGCCATAGTGACGCGTCTTTCTCCTTCGCCAGGGGGGTGGTGTGCAAAGTTACATCAAAGCTTGAAAATTGAATCATAACTAAGTACTGTCCTGTCATAAATTCTCTCTACTCTTAAATAAGTGTAAAAAATGCATATTTGGAGAGTTGAAACATGCTATAAACACCAAATTTTGTTCATTTTATGACAATAATTCCAATAATGTATATACTTCCAATTCTTCAAAGAAGGAGGGGGGGGGGTTGAATATGAACTGGAAATTTATGAGTTTATTTTTAGGGCCGGTTGACCAGTCATAACAAGTAGGATGAAATAATAATAACAAATCCTAAAGGAACATTCTCACGATGTTCTCTTCGTTGCAAGGTTTCTTCCAACGACATCGCCGTAAAATTCTTTACACCGGCATTGTTTTAGGTGGTGGCTTTGTTCTGGGTAAAATCGCTCAATGGAAACTCAACAATTGGTACGAAACGCAACAGGTGGAACTCCTGGCACAATCGAAGAAACAGCTTCATTTCGACGGCAATCAAAAAACGTGCGCCATCACGTTGTATAGCTTGCTGCCAAATCTACGCGATGCGATCTTTGAACTCGCAGATTCTCAATCCATCACGGAGAAGTTAAAGACAAAGCCTGTCGATAAACTGGTCCTTTGGGAAGAGTTAAAAATTCTCAGTTTCACACGGACTATTGCCTCCGTGTATGCTTCTTCGTTGCTGGCCTTGTTTTTGAGAGTTCAGCTGAATCTACTAGGGGGATATATGTTTGTGGATGTCGAAGCCACCAGTACGGTACTTAATGGTGTTGGTGGAACCTCAGTAGGGGCAGAAGTTGCTCGAATGAGCGATCCAATCCAAAAGAAATATCTTGGAATTGTGAGATATTTTCTCGACACAGGTGTTAAGGAGCTTGTTGACGTTATAAAACAAGTAGTTGAAGGTGAGTTTAAAACTGCAGTATCGATTTCATTGAATTACCGATGTCATTTGCTTTTGTCACATTGATATACAGAAGTGCTGGGGAATGTTTCTTTAAAACAAAAGCTCAGTTATCACGATGTACAACGCATGCTTGGTCAAATACGACAATGTTTGAAACTTACCTCTCATCAACCAGTGGAAAATGGAAATAATACCATTGTGAAGATATCATCTATTGTCATCGACCAGGAGAATACTTTGATGGACAAAGATAGCTTCTTTCAACAGTTAGTGAATGAAACATCAGATATTTTGGATAGTGAGGATTTCGGCATTGTATACAATGCCTGTCTTGATGTTGGATTTTCGTTCATCATGAAGAGACTTTTGTCTTCATTCATTATTGATCAACAAGGTGAAAAGAGTAGTTTCCATTACTAAACTCAACTCAACTGTACATGTACTTTAAACTCCCGGCTGCATTCTCTTTGAACTAGTTTTTTTTCAGTGAAGGTCTCCTAACATTCCTTTGGCAAAAGGCTTCTCAAAATGGACTTTTCTATTTTGATGGGCCATGTCAGACTTTTTTGTTAATTTCTCCCTTTTTTGCACTCCATCCAGGCAAGGCTAAAAGCACCGTGCACTCCTCTAACATAATCTTAAAATTTTCTTTTCTTTTGAAAACAGATACACCTACTGATATGATATGGTCCATGGAAGATGATATCTGCTCAATGCATCTCCCTCTTGCCAAGATCTGCCCGATCATTAATGGTAGAGCAGAAGAAATTCTCGCAGAGGAGAAAAACAACTGTCTCCAAGACATGGATGCTCTAGAATGTGTTAAAGATTTTGCAGCAAACATTTACGAGGCATTCAGTTGTAGACCTAAAGCAGGATAGAGTATTCATAAATTATCATAAATTACCATAAATTATCTCAATCCACATAAACCACCCCAATTCTTATAAGCCATGTCTTCTATTGTGAGCATTATTTCTGAAGATTAAGATACAATGCAGCCAGGGGCCTGATCACATGAAGCCAATTGCTGTGGCCCCAAGACTTGATGACCAAGAGTAGTCTCCAAAGTCTGTACTATGAAGAATGCTTTGTTCTGGAAACAAAGTCTCTCCAGTCAGCACGAAGGGAGACTTTGCTTTCCTGCATTAAGCCCCAAAATTTAATAAATGCAACTGTAAATTGGAGCTAACTAAAGCATAAATACCGCCTTATGGAAGTCACCAAGAAGGAAGTTCAGATGTTTTTAGCGAAGACACCCTGCTCAGTCTTTGTCCTTTTTATTATCAATGTCTCTCGCACGTTACTCGTTCAATCAATTTCGCATTGTATTTAAAAATAATTGATAATATATTAAACACTTATATAGTAATCAGGATTCTATCTTGTTCGTACGGCAGAGAAAAAGGTAGATTTTGTCATATCTGCCTCGTAAGTAGTAAGCACGACGGATGTCGACTTTTTACAATTTCTACACCTTCTTCTGAAGTGATCTTATGTTGAATCTTGAGTTCTTGTATACTTTAATCCAGTTTCTTCATTATGAGTGACTTGGTGTCAAAAGTTGAGTTCTTATATACTCCAGTTTAGTGTCTTCATTATGAGTGATCGGATGTTGAAACTGAGTCCTTATATACTCCAGTTTAGTGTCTTCATCAGGAGTTGAAACGTTGAAACTTGAGTCCTGACGTTGAAACTTGATTCTGACGTTGAAAGTCGAGTCCTTATATACTCTAGTCTATTGTCTTCATCAGGAGTGATCTGACGTTTAATCTTGTGTCCTTATGTACTCCAATCTAATCTCTTCATCAGGAGTGATCTGATGTTCAAACTCGAGTCTTATATACTCCAGTCTAGTATCTTCATGAGCAATGATCTGATGTTAAACTTGATATACTTCTCGGTGTTTTTCATCTACCTTAATGTCTACATTTATGTCTAACTTTGTGACTATCTTTAAGATAACCTTTATGACTACCTTTGTGTCTACCTTTCGTCTATTTTCTTTTCCACCTCAATGGTTTTCTTTATCTACCTTTATGTCTACCTTTATGTTTGTTCGAGAGTGACGTAATGTTGAAATTGGAGTCCGACAAAACGTCAGTTTAGATTTTTCAACAGGAGCAGTAGCGTAGTCAGTCCGTTTATTTATTCATGCTGTGATAATTTTTGTGTTAACTCACTGCAAAAACAATACATTTCTACAGAATTGAAAGTTGACAATGAAATTTACAAAAGCATGACAGAAACTGGCAGCACTACTATTCGGGAGTAATCTCAGCAGTGACCTCCAATATTCTGCTTCCACTGTCGACAAACAATACTGAAAAAGCAACATTTTCCAAACATATATTCATCACGATAATGGCACAACATCTGAATTCACGAAAACTTTAACATTTTCTGACGACACTGAAACAATTGAAAAAACTATCGTCTTTAATATTTCTGTAATTTTTATAAAATTTACTATTTTACAATTGACTTAATTAGAATTTCTCAAAAACAAAAGTAAATCGAACAAAGTAAATGGTTTGAACCCGGGAGTATCGTTACATGTTTGTAAATGTAGATCGTCCAGGTTGGTATAGTCCTGAGAAGGACTGTTTTTGTTGTTGTTGACCGACTACTAGACCAATCATCTTACAATCCTACATCACACAAAGCTACCACAATCAGAACATTAACAAGACGTGCACAAATCATATGTGATTCATCGGACGCTCTACACAACGAAAACTACTATCTCAAACGTGTTTTAGATAAAAACAACTGTAACTCTGACTTCATCAAACGCAACACTTACAAACCCAAAGAACCCAACGAAACGAACAACTCAGTGACAACAGCAACGATACCTTACATCAAAGGTACGTCTGAGACTATCTCACGTATCTTACGACCATACAACAAACGTGTCGCACATAAACCAATCACAACGTTACTACAAGTACTAACGAACATAAAGGACAAAGAACAACTCAACGAACGACAAGGTGCAGTTTACAAAATAAACTGCTCCGACTGCCACGCTTCCTATTTCGGGGAAACTGGCAGGAACTTAAACATAAGACTTACTGAACACAAACGAGCTACAAAGAAACAAGACAAAACTAATCACATTGCAGAACATCACCGAATCACAAAGCACAACATTGACATAGACTCGGCAAAATGCATTGCTTACAGTACTGACTATAGACAACGGCTTACATTAGAAAGTTGATATACTAACTTGGAACAAACCCCCCTGAACAGATCACAGCAATTACCGGCACCTTACAAAAGACTTATTCACAATACAAACAAACGATCAACTAACAACATTACACTTCACACTAATTCACAATGACAATACACAATTGACACCCACACATTACAACTAAAAACATCACACCTAAATCACACATTACAACTAAAAATAAAAATATTTCACTTCACACTAATTCACAATGACAATACACGTTTCCTGTACACACAATACAATGACGCAAGAACAAATACGGTTAACCTGACGTTTACTCCTCATTTGACTCTGAAGAAGACTATTGCTAAGGTTGTCGAAACGTCAGTCAACAACAACAAAAACAGTCCTTCTCAGGACTATGCCAACCTGGACGATCTACATTTACAAACAAGTAAATCGAACCTCGGGACAAGTCCTCTGTGTCCAGAACCAACTAATTTCTAATTTACAGTTGATAACATTCATTAAAGTCTATATAAGTTTAATTGCTTCACAGAGCCGTACATAATCCAAGCTGATTAATCGTCTTGCGATAAGTTGCACTTATCTCTATGTAATCAGTTTTAGGGAACACATGTCAATCGACACAAAATTATTTGTCATCGGTGTTTTAAACATATCTTTAAACCAGAGATGGTACATGCTAGGCATTTCAAGATCGAATCACCAAAATAATTATGAAAGACGATTGGTAAGTCATAAAATTCTTGGCCATACATCGACCAAATGGGTCATCAGAGCAAGCAATACATGATGGCCCATTGATAATTTTGACGTATTATCAACTCCCCCTATAGGGATCAATAGATCAAAACGTTACCGTGTCTCCTTTGGAGATCAAAGGTCTATTTACTACCAGTCTTACCAATCGAATGATAGTAGACAGTTCGGTTGATCACTACAACTTTAACTTGTCATCTGATGAGCTCCCCTTCCCAAGACAACAATCGAAGTCAACCGTGCACGATGGTAAGCTGTAATGAAACTATAGCCCAACCACCTGTCAAGAACACATTAAGAAGTCAGCAGCAAGAAATGATCTGCATCTTTGCATTCAAGTTGAATATTAGTTTTTGAAGCATGAGTACAGCTGTTCATGCTTGAACTCTTCACTTTAACGATACAAGTGTAAAACTTTCTCAGATTTACTGTCACGTGTTAATATGCGAGCTCTTCACGTGTTAATGTCTGAAGTCTTCACTTTAACGATACAAGTGTAAAACTTTCTCATAGTCTTACTGTCACGTGTTAATGTGTGAACTCTTCACGTGTTCATGCTTGAACTCTTCACTTTAACGATACAAGTGTAAAACTTTCTCATAGTCTTACTGTCACGTGTTAATGTGTGAACTCTTCACGTGTTAATGCCTGAACTCTTCACTTTAACGATACAAGTGTAAAACTTTCTCATAGTCTTACCATGACTCGAAACACAAAATTTTGACATTTTATCAATAAGATAGTGAAGACTATTGGTTTATGGCGTATTTGTATTGACATTTCATCTATTTTATAGTGGAGACGATTTGTTGTAGACAATTTGTTATGATTCAAATGGAGAACGAGATACGTCAACGAGTATGACCCATTGAACTAAAATACATGGAAAGCTACCTGTAATACAAAACCTTAATAATTTATTATAGCCGTGATTTTACCCCAGACACGCGAGATTTTACCTCAGACACGCGAGATTTTACCTCAGACACGCGTATGTAATAAATCAATTTTCACTCCGCGAGAGAATCTCGAAACACCACACGCGTGTCTGGGGTAAAATCTCGCGTGTCTGGGTGTAGTCTCGAGTGTCTGGGGCAGGATTTGGCTTCAATTATTTGCTTCAGGTAACGTTCCATGTATTTTAGTTCAATGGTGTGACCTCAATTTTCTATGCACAATGTAATACCTGAGTAAGCCACATTCGCACAAGATGGCCAATCCAATGGAGGCAATATTCAGAAGGGTAGATTTATAATAATCACATAAGCGGTATGTCCCGACAGCGACGCCTAACATTATCATAATTACGACGAGAGCTTGACCATAATGCCTACGAACAGGTAAAGTGGTGTCAACAATACAATTCAAACATATTTTAAAATTGCCATAAAAAGAGCAAATACCATGGTGAATGGTCAAATACTAACGTAATAGTTCTTAAAAGAACTGTTTAAGCCAGGACACTAAACCTAAAATTCTAAAAGAACTGTTTTTATAAAGCTAAAAGAAACTATGCATTTCGGCAGGCTACTTATCACGTGTCAACGTCTGAGGGGCTGTTCATATGAGCCCGGCTAACCGGGATTTAGTGATGAATTAAATGATTTTGATGCATTGAAAGGGGGCAAAACTTTAAGCGTAAAAATTACAACTGTTTGCTAAGCGCCACAAGTCATTTCTGTTGAAATTCTCAAATTAGGCCAAACTGGCTGTTTCAATTTTAAATGTTTTGCGCTGTCATTAAATCAGTATATTGTGAAATTGCTCGAGAAGATTTATCTAATGATAAGTATAGAATCGTTTCCATTTGCCAAAATCATCTAACGCCTCACTGAATCCCGGTTAGCCGGGCTCATATGAACAGCCCCTAAGTCTCTGTTTTACTGTTTAAAAAACATATCAACTTGTAGCAAATCCAAACCTATCCTAGCCTCAACCTTCGACAACCTGCTTATCTACTAAAACCAAACCATATCAATAATCCTAACCATAACACTGTGTGACTTCATAGCTCAGTTGGTTAGAGCACTGTACCGGCATCGCAGAGGTCATGAGTTCGAATCCCGTTGAGTCACCTGAATTTTTCAGGTTCATGAGACAATTGCTTAACTTAAAGGAAGATCATATCTCCCTTTAATTTCAAACACCGCACTGCATATAACATTCTTTCACAGAAAATTTCTTGTTTTTAAATGACCAACAAACGGCGAATTTCTTTGAATATTTACTTGAATTTATCACTGAAAGGGGCAAATAAAGAAATTAAGAATGCCTAGTTGAAGCAGTGGACACGAGCCGCCGGGGGGAGTGGTCATTTTTAGTTTTTATCACAAATGACGTCATATCCGTGTATCTATAACTGTATAGACAGCGGTTAAATGTTATCTATTTGTTAAATAATACATATTGGACATAAGATCATTCATGGGGTTACGTGGAAACCGGAAATCGTTGTTAAAATATAAAACTCGTTAGTTTGTTTAATCTTACCTCAATGCAGAACGTGCAGAAGCGAATCCACGAGTTTTCTTGATCGTATACTAGAAAAAACAGATCTTTCAATCAACAAATTGACAGGTGTGTAGTTCGCGTGCCTACTTCTCGGGTGTAAGGTGAGCATGCGCATTAGCATATCTGATATGTGCTTTTGGGAAACTGTACTTTCAACAAAACCTCCCCATTAAAGACAACTAACTCTGGGTGAAGAGGGAAGGACCGAGTAAAAACATCCAACAAGCTGTAGCTTTTAGTGAAATCCGCTTCCAACAAGCGTCTGTAGTACCTTGGTTTTGCAAACTCTACAAGATGGAGCTTCACAGGAATCAAGGACAGCTGAATAAACATAAATACAAGAAAAAGTAAGAAAATTTACAATAAAAAAATCATTTTGTGGTCATTTCATGTTGTTCAACTGTGTCTTTCTGATTCAATAAAAAATCCTGTAACACGAACGTGCGCATTTAACAACTTCATAGAGAAAATTTTCTAAAGAGCAAATTGAGTTACCTCCATGAGCCAGCGCTTCAAACACTCCTGATGAGCAGCGGCAACGTCACCTTTGCATTGGCAAGGAAAAATCATAGGACCGGCATCCTTGCGGTTAACATCGTAGCATATCCAACAGTCCCGAGTCGATTCTAAAACAATGAAATCTCGTGAATACTGCTTAAGCAAAACCATCATATTCCTATAGTGTGAAAACACAGTACATGACATTGGGAAAACGCTAGTCTCGCTTTGTACACAAACCTCTGACAGACTGTCCAGAAATACTGTTGTAACTCTTGACAGCGTTAATGAAAACCGTCGTTTCCTCTTCGTCTGCTTCCTGAAAATGTAAAGAACTTCCAATTCAAAGATCACGATTTGTAAAACCTGAAATTATCTAACTGATTGTGAAATGAGAAAAGACGTTTGGCAACTCTCCCCCTCCCCCCCAAAAATGGGAACATTTTGCGTGAGATGATCGCCTGAAAAGCAACGCAGAACCAAATTTGCGGGCTGCACACACTATTGCATTATACACGAGTAAATTACCTCTTCAAATGTCTTTATAATTTTTCTTGGGTTCAATATCCACAGCTCTTTTGGTCTAAATAACACATAGCGCCAAAATCAACCAAACCTTGCAAAATATGACAGCTCGCATTGGGCGAATTTCAACATGTCAATCGGTTCTATTTCGTGTCTTGTCAAAAACCAATGCAATGTCTCTTCAAAGGACAGTGCAATGTCTCTTCAAAGAACAATACAATGTCCCCTCAAATAACAGTACAATCAATCATTTAGAACACAATCTACTAGATATCTAACTACAATGTCAAGGAGAGGCAAGGACGCCATCTTGAAAGGTGGCAAAAAGCAAAACTCAAATTAAAAATAAGTTAAAACAAAGTTTAAAAAACCCATCCTATCAAACATTTTAAAAATCAAACCTAGACTATGAACTTTGCGACTCTATATCAACTCAACAAAAGCAGATATTAGTCGTAAGTATCGTCAGTTTTGCCATCTTGAAAGGTGGCGGCTTGCCTCACTATTACTATACAATTTTTGCGAAGTCAGATATCTAGTAGATTGAGTTCTAGATCATTGAGTACAATATCTTCTCAAAAGACAATACTATGTGAATGCAGTGTCTTTTAAAGGACAATGCATTATCTTCTCAAAGAACAAACATTCACTCTCAATATAAGATTAAATAGGAGATCATCAGTGAATAGAATAGGTTGCATTAAAAATCACCATAGTCCATGCTCCATAGGCAAATACAGTAACTTAAATTATGAATGTCTCGTTAAACTGCACGAGCAAACCATATTACAGTCGCGTCAGTTTAAACTGCATCAAATTTCATCAAAACATGGTGAAATACAAACGTTTGAAAACAGTGTGAAACTGTTTATTCCCAACTTGCTCGTGTGCCTGTCACGGTATGTGTTTAAACCCTATTAATTACTTGACAATGACTTACTTGACACAATTCCAAAGTACACATGGGAACCATAAGGCAACGGCAAGTTCAGAAATTCTTGCCACAATTTCGAACGCATTCTTACTTTCAACACCCGTACTATAAAGGATAAGCAATCATCAGAGACATCAAAACTACAAAAGCCGTAAATCAAAACATGAGTTAAGGCGGTTCCATTCGGGGATGCCAGAATTTACTCCCCGAGTTCCAGCTTGTGAGCAACACCACAAAGCCAAGACATCATTTTCTCCCGTTACCTGTACTTCCACTTGCGTTGCAACAAGTTCCATAGAAGAAAAACAGCAGCGGAAAGCTATAGGAACGCGAGAATTGTTGAGTTAAAAAGAACAGAATGAAATGCAATTATCAATACATGCTTCAACTAGAAAATATGATGAAAATTTCAGCTTAACTCTAACATACTTTCTCTAGCGTGTGCGTATATCATTGAGCTATAATACATGGAACGCTACCTGTAATATAAAAGTCTAATAAATTCTTGGAGTCAAATTTTACACCCAGACACGCGTGTGTAGTCAATCAATTTTCAGAATTTCAAAACACTACACACGCGTGTCTGGGTGTAATCTCGCGTGTCTGGGTGTAAGATTTGGCTTCAAGAATTTGCTTTAGGTAGCGTTCCATGTATTTTAGTTCAATGGCGTATATAGTCAGTAGATTTTAGTCGCGCTACATTTCATTATTATGATTTATTATTTTTGCCGAGAGTGAATAGTTGCACTTGCACAAGAAGCGTAACTGGCTACGTAACACCACATGTTTTACAATGAATTCCATCTTCATGCACAGACAGGATTTCCAGAGAATAAAATCAACCAGACGTTTTTTAATGAAATTTTAAACTCAAAGCACCTGAAATATTGTTTGAGCAACCAAGCCGAATCTGGACATAATCAATTGAGACCAGTTGACCACGTACAGCTCAGATGCGAAGGCTCCTTGCACCTACCAATATCGTTGCGAAACAGATAGTTTACAAAAACACGAACAAAGACTTTGAAAGAGTGTGCTAAATTTATAGAAGAATTTCGTCTACAAAGATCGCAAATTCACAATTCAGACAAGAACATGGATTCGCGTGCATTTTAGAAAGAAAAATCCATGAAATCTTGAGTTTTCCAAACACTCAAAATATACCTTGCAAAATATTTCAATGCCATAGATAAGGAAAATATAAGAACAGCGAACATGAGAAAGACAAAATAACCGGAAAAGATATCTACGAGCAACATCTAATAAAATAAAAAAGATTCGTGAATTAAACGATAGTAGCTACAATATAGTACAACAAGGGATAATTTGGAGACAAAACAATCCATATGTTTTTCCATAATTTCCTAGAAGCACTATTGCTAATGCGCATTTAATATACACGACAAGTTTTTTTAAAATAGGCATGTTTCGACATCTCATGAGAATCCATATGCGCATGATCGGATGTATTTCTACGGACTGCAACATGCGTACGTGAATATAGCCTCCCACCCCTCCAAGTATTTTTTTGACTCTGAAGATGACTACCGCTAAGGTTGTCGAAACGTCAGTCAACAACAACAAAAACAGTCCTTCTCAGGACTATACCAACCTGGACGATCGACATTTACAAACATGTAACGATACCCCGGGTTCAAACCATTTACTTTATTGAAAGGAATATTGTGCGGAATGCGCGCTGAATTACAAGAATAAGCCTAACATAAGGCGAGATTTGAGGGGCGTAAGGCAACGTAAAAGATGTTCATTCGAGGAACACAACACCTGCAATCTTGAGTCTTTCACAGTATTCGTCGCAATAATTTGACCAAGGGTTACCGTAAACGTAACGATATTAAACACAACAAAAACTTGCGAGGATTTGTTGAGAAATTGGAATTTTTCCACAGTCCATCCTGAGACGTGGAACGCCTGAAAGGAAGAGATCTCGTGGTTAATCAAAAAACTAAAACAGGGCACGCGAAAGATACTTCACCGAGCTTTCTCTGCACGGTATCCAGGCTCACCGAGAACAAAGTGAAAATATTTAATATGATTGAAAAATGAAAATATTATTTCTTTCCTCGACCTTCCCATAGTTGCAAATGTTGACTTGGCGATTTTGTTGATTTTCAAAGAGAGCTTGCAACCCCAAAGGGGATACACCAATTTAACAGAAGCTTAAACTATTTGGTGGTCGACGGAAAACGCCACGCTGTCAGTCTAAATATAGTTCGGCTGTGTCATTAAAGGCGATCGTCATAGGGCTTGATTTTGTAACACTAGCCACGCAAACTGTGTAGAACTAACTAAAACATATAATCCATACGTCGGCCTTCGCAAAAAAACATTTTTAAAAAGGCGTGTTTTGCATCTACGAAAACGAACAAAAAAATGAGTAATGTCGATGGCAGCCTGTAAGAAAAATTTATATAATGACATATCAGTAAAATGATTTCCATTGAGGCACTTGTAGGTAGGAACACGTTACGACAATTTTTTTGATCTTTGTATCGTAAGACAATCCGCAAGTTTGCCACACGTCGCCTTCACGCGGGTGGATATATTTTTAATTTACCTCTGCCCAAAAAAAGATCAATGCCGCAAATGAGCATATAACAAATGGATAGTAAACGGTAAACAAATCCATGGTCCATCTAGGATGTTGTGGTGATAAGAACTATCAAAAAGATCAATAAATATATTTACATTACAACAATTGAAAATGGAGCCTCGAACCCAGGGTGTTTTACTTTCAGGGGAAGTTAAGCCGCTTAAGGACGAGCAAATTTTTTTGACAAATTTTTACATGGCAAATGTCCTTTGCTCGTCTGTATGGGACTTTCTAGCAAAGTTTTCTTGACAAATGCATTTGTTCAAAAGCTAGCATGTCAGCTTTAGAACAAATGCATTTGCCATAGAAAATTTGCCTCATGACTGATTTTGTTCGTCTGTAAGGTCTACAAAGGTAATATGACAAATCAACAAAATGTGATATGTTGATACGTGCAGACGATGAAAGAAAATTCGCCACGTAAAAATTTGTCGTAAAAAGTTTGTTGCCCGTAAACAGGGGCTGCGAGTATTTGTCATAGAAAATTTGTTCGTCTTTAAGGTGCTTTAATGAAAGTGAAAAGCTTTGAAATGACTGTAATTGACGTAGCTGACGTTATTAGCCATAATTTTGACGTAGCTGACGTAATTAGCCATAATTTTGACGTAGCTGACGTAATTAGCCATAATTTTGACGTAGCTGACGTAATTAGCCATAATTTTGACGTACTTCCGAAGTGAAATAGGCACCGCGACTTCCAGCAGCAACGATTATATAGAAATACAGCAATTTTTGTATCGTCATACGACAAGCATTTGAGAAACGAGGCCTAGCCATTTGTTGCAACTCTCTTCTCACGCAAAACACCTAAAAACGGCGCACAGACGTTAACAAGTCCTTGTGAGAAGTTTCCAAGGAATTAAAGCTTACCAATTGTAGAAAGGCAACGGCTGATATCAAATAGAAAAAAATTGCAAAGCCAATGAAGTAGACTTCATTCAGGTCCATGCACGCATTTCCTGTGAATTTCACCTGAAATATATTTCATCAAAATAAAAAACATGAGTTTTTATTTCCCTGATAGCAAACAGTGATAAGTTGAAGTACGCCGTATCGAGAGAAGAATACGAATTAAGTCAAGGAAGAATTTTCAATAAGTCATTTTTAAGGGAAAAAAGTTGTAGCAAAATACGTTCTAATGTTACATACGACTTACGTATTAGCGTACTTACGATGGCTCGTAAGTACGCTAATACACATCATGACGTAAATGCTATTATTAGGCCATTGAAAAGTTCGAAACGTCATTGCTTTGACTTTCACGGGTACAATTCACGTTTTCTGGCAATAACCAGACTCTATGTTTCACATGCTCGTTTCATAAGTTCGGGTCTCGGCGAGTACTGGTAATTATTGACAGGGGGAATTTAAATTTCGACATATTTTGAAGAGTCCTGAAATTTACCGGACGCACTCGAAATAAAAACATCTAGGAGCCTTGGCTTTTACAGGAACTACTTTGGAGGAAATGTAGTGGGGGCAAAATGTAGTGATGGATTTATTAGTCATAAAACCTTTCTGAGTTCATTTGAATACTGAATAATTATCGCCTTGTTGTTTGAAATAATGAATAACTTAAATGAGCCCAGTACGCGTTTATAAAGGAAATCATCGATCAAAGCGAATACAAGTACAATCTGGAATATAAAAGTAAAATTACTACATTTTAAATTATAAAATGTATAATTGGGTGAAAAACTCTCAGTAGTACAAAAGTCGACGAGCAAAATGGCGTGATTGTCGATTCTCTAAACAAACGTCTGCTTCGTTAGTCGACGGCGTACTAGCAAGTACCAAAAAAGTACGACAGAAAACGAACCATTGTATTTAAGCAGTCACTACTTACTTCGCACACGCACACTTCAGAGATACAACTGCCATGAATACACGAATGATTGCCACAAGTGGAGTTATTGACTATATCTTTCCACTGAACTTGGTCGACGTAAGAGACATTCATGATGCAAATAAAAATAAATCACGATGCTGGCAATTGACCGCTTTCGCAAAATTTAATGTTGTTATCGAGTGAAGCGTTGCTACTACTCCAGTAAATGTCAAAGATCGTGAAATGTTGTTTACATAAAATCCTCGGGAAGCATCCGCTGCGCTTTATTTCAAAACAAGATCACGAGCTAAATTTCATCCAATGATTTGGATTGATTTAAGTGTGACCCATTGGATTGCATTATTTGCATACGAAGAAATTTTTAAATTTTTTTTAATAATTTATACCGTGCGTAAATATGATAAGACTATTGAACAAAATAAATCTCGCGCTTGCCCTGCACCCGAAAAGAATACTACAGTCAAACCGAGTGTTGTCTTCCTTGAATATTTCAATATTCATGTCAATTTTGCAATATGTTTTCATCGATTGATTTTGAACGCAATTAGCTCTGGCAAGTTATTGCATCTTTCTTGCGCTGAAGCAGCTGCAATACTTTCTTGTAGAAATAAAGAAAACCTGGTTTCAGATTGTGTTGTAATATTTAGGCGGGCGGTCGTTATACAAGCGTGTTGAAGTAAGATTGAGATTGATTCACCTTTCTTGAAAAAAAAACAAAACGATTAAAGCGAGACAGATGCAGAAAAAGAAAGACTACAGTACACAAACATGTGACACAAGTAGTCATTTTACCGCCCAAACACAATTCACCAGCAATCACAACACAGTTTCACTCACAAAATTGTTTTATTTTTTGTGTGTGAATACCAAGACGAGAAAGTAAAGACAGTACTGAGAGTAAACAATTTCAAATTGCAAATTGCGTTCGGTGTTATCAAATGAATATTTGCTGAATTCACAAGTATGTCGCTTTGTTCATAGGAATTCAACACCTGGTTTGACTGTAAAACACACGCGCACCATTGAATTACACCACTCATGCGAACTTTATTTCTTGTAAATAGTACATCAACGAATACAATCAGTTTTTTGCTTTTGCCACCCCAACTTTCGCTGGTCTTAAAACTCTTGAATTCAGAGTGTAGCCAACTTGATTCACCAGAATAACCATACCTTCTTTGCCTGGAACGTCCTGTTCAAAAATCGCTTCTTGGAAGTTTGGATCAAATTTTTCATCGATAGGGCAAAGTTTTACCAAACCATTTTTGTTAAATACTTTGTGAAGCTGTTGATCTGTTAAGAGAAGTCCTTCATACAAGCTCTTAAGATGGCTGTTCCTTGCTATTTCTTCCTTTGGAACACTTTCAGTGGCTTTTCCCAGAATATCGGCTACCTCTAACAGATCTTTGGCGAATCCTTGAATGCCAAACAATCTAGTGTCCTCAATCTGTTTTTTCATCCTATTTTTCACATTTTCACTTTCAGCCAATGCACGTTTGTATTTATCCTGCAAAACACAAGTTTACAGTGCAATTAATAGAAATACTTGTAACTTTATGGGATGGTGTATAAACTTGGAAATGGTTTAAGTTATAAATTAAATCTCAAATTTTGAATTTAAACTTTAATTTATTGGTGCGATGAAAAAATTATCAGGTAAAAAATTTTCTGATTCAATCATAAATTCATTTCACCGCAAGACGAACAAAGCAATCTTAGCTGAAATCAATTCAAAAAAACACCCAACACTATTTATAAAGTGGCTCTGTCTGGTTTAAGGGAAAATTATTGTTTTAGATATATACACTGATTTTAAGGACATTTGTAACATATTTGATTGGTCAAATATTTTATCTTTGTTGGGCCGTTAGAGCCTAAAAGTGTACCCCTCGATGCCAGAAGTGACCTACATAGGAGAACTTTCATAATACGGATTTATGTAAACAACAGTTTGAAAGTAAACCCTTCGGATGTTATTTCCCACAAAATTCGAAAATATTATATGGTTAATATAATTTACGAAGCAAACATGTTTTCCTAAGTAAGTCACTTTTGGCACTAAGTCATGTACATGTAGGCGAAAAAACCTATTACAATAAAATTTTAACCAGATAAAACATATTTCAAATGCTCCTAAAATCAGCCATAATAAAGAAGTTACTTCTCTCATCCTGATATAGGTATTTTAACCACAAAAACATAAGCCAAGAAGTTTTGATGGTTTACAGACAGTTGCAATATTTTAGTCAACTAAAACACAATATACTAATCTGATGATATGATTTAGATGGCCATTGTCTTTTTATTATTAATTCATGAGCTTTCAGCCACCAAACTATAGCTTTTGATGGTTTTTCATCATGCAACCTTTGAACTACAGTTTGGTGGCCAAAAACTCATTAATTATTGCTGAAAAATCAACAAAACAAAATGTTTATTTATTTATATTATTATGTATGCACATGGTCACACTTCAGCAATCATGTTCATTGTGTAGTTCTTTCCCATGAGTTAACCATAAAGCAAGAACAAAGAGGAAGGGTGAAAGAACACAATGCAGAGTGGTCTGATGAACAAGTTACAATATTGAAAACACGAATATTGGGATTTTAAGTAGAAATTCATGATTTTAGAATGGTTACTTGTACACGATTGGGATAATTATGACTTTTAGATTTTCTATTAAAATGCCATTTGAATTATTTGATATGATAAGAAAAACATGTGAGTTTGATGGCATGGAATTTTGGGAGCTTGCGCATTTCATGGAATATAAAAAATTGGATTGATAATCATGTTGAATAATTGAAACAATCTTTATTCAAGGATTTTAAAGTCTTGATTTTGAAAATGAAATTTCAGCTTTTGAAAAAAGAGCAGTAGTAATTCAGAATGTCAGGTGGAAACTATGTTTGTGAGCAAAGAAATAAAGTCAAAATCTTTGGTCATAGAATTATGACTTTTTACATGACAAAAATGTTCATTGAAGTTATACCTCGAGATCGCTGATAATACCATCTTTCTCTTCCATCAATTTACGCTTTTCATCCGATTCCAATTTTTTCCCTTCAGTATTTTTAACCTTGGCGTCTTTAGCTGCGCCATTATTCGTCGTCGTCTTCTCCACAGTGCACAAATTTCTTGTCCACATTCCATTAATACAGTCACGATGAACAGTCCTCTTACAGTATCGTTGAATATCTTTCTTTGCGAAAGCAAACAGGCATAAATACGAATCGAGTACATGCGTTCGGAGCATATTTGGCTTCATTTGGATATCCCAGTTCGATGTCTTGTGTTATTTCATCAGAATTGCACAATGAATGTACATGGTGGCTAACCTTGTTTCAATCCATCAAACGTAGCTAAATTCTAGTGAATTCTAATTACAAACAACAACGAAAGTTTGAATAACTAATGCATCGTTGGATATACATTTTTTCTTTCCATGGAAAAGCAACCATTCGGGTCAATGTTCAGTAACTTCGGTCTGACTAATGGACTAACAAGTAGCAAAAAAGGCTAACCCTAGCTGCATTAAAATCTCCCCCACCCCCTCCCCTTCTGCTCAGCGTTCAAACGATTTTGGCGCGCAGGTGTGTTGCCAGGCTGCTAAGCAAGCTTTGATGTTTGATAAAAAGAGAAAAGAATTGTCTGCTGGTTGAGTTGAAACTTTTACTAGACAAGTGATTCTGAGGTCTTTGTCTGACTGTGTTGCTAGCCTTGGTGGACTTAAGAAACTTGGGAATGGCTGGTACCGCAAGTCCTAGGAAATTAAGGAAGTTGGAAGGAGAAACAAACGGCGGAGATGAGCACGAGATTGTCGAGGAAATCGATAGTGTCCAAAACGAAATTGACACTCTAAATGAAAGAGCTTCGGAGGAAATACTTAAAGTGGAACAAAAATATAATTCACTGCGGAAGCCGCACTTCGAAAGACGGACGAATCTAATATCGAAGATACCAAACTTTTGGGTGACTGCTGTATCCTTTCTTTTGCTATAAACACTTGTTTGAAAATATACAGAAGTCTCGCTTTAATACTAAGGAGAAATGACAACTAAATAGTGTACTGTAGTGTAAAATTTTTCCTAAGATTTCAAAACACATGTGCTGGACTCATAGCTATGCATAAATAACCAGTTTGATTCCTGTCAAGAAAGTTACTGCTTCACTAATTGCTCATACCACTTGTTGAAGCACTTGAAGACAACATAGTGATTAATTAAGCTACATGGATAACATGTTGTTTCCATGATAACCTTGGGTTATTTTCAAATATTCTTATTGTTCGAGCATAGCTTATGTATTCCTTGATGACAAATAGTTTCTAAATCACCAGCAAATCAGTGGTGTACTTGATGAAGAAGATGAAGAAGCACTGCAATACTTAAAGTCAGTGGAAGTGGAGGAATTCGAAGATATAAAGTCGGGATATAGAATTAAATTTGTAAGTAATCGATATAAGTGAACTTAAGCTGGGCAACTCTGATATTGTCTGAGTTGAAGTATCCATGTGAATGTATTTTCTTAATGGGTATAGTTCTTATTAGAATTTTTGGTAATCTCTATATGACTAACCATTTTTCCCTTAGCATTTTACGGAAAATCCATACTTTGAGAATGACCTAATTAGTAAAGAATTTTTATCCAATGACAATGGAGAACAAATGTCGAAATCAACAAACATCAAGTGGAAAAATGGAATGGTTTGTAATCACTAAAGTCTCAATAATATGTTATAAATGCTTCAGGATAGTGTACACCTTTTACTAAGACCATTTATCTTTCTAAAGGATTTGACAAAAACGTTTCAAGAAAGTGCGGCTGGAATAAAACGAGGCCGTCAAGAAGCACAAAGCTTTTTTAATTGGTTTTCGGAAGAGTCCAATTCAGTTACTGATGAGTTGGGTGAAATAATCAAGGATGAGATTTGGCCCAATCCATTACAATTTTACTTGGTAAGTTATGTTAGACTTGAACTCAAGGCAGTTGTATATTGAGATGCTAAAAGTTGTATCTCAAACAATTTTTTTAGACGTTTGCTGGGCAAGATGGTGATGATGATGCTGAAGATGGCGACGATGATGGCGATGTAGATGAGGTTTGCTATTTTATATAAAAGTTTTGCTCGTTTGTATTGAATATTTTTGTTAGAATAAAATGTGCTTGATCTTCTAGGGTGATGAAGGAGTAGTTGAGGTTGAAGAAGATGATGAAGATGACGAGGAAGGGGATGAGGTTGTTGTTATAGAAGAAGATGAAGAGGAAGAAGGAGAGGAGGGGGATGATGATGATGACGATGATGGTGGTGAAGAGGAAGGTGATGATGATTTAGAAGAACAAGGTGTTGATGATGAAGATGATGATGATGATGATGGGGAATATGTGGAAGAAGATCAAGATGAACAGGTAACTATACAGAAAGAATGATGATCTTTTATAATTTAGCTTTCATACCTGGCCTGATAGTGGTTCCCACACTTATATAGGAAGTTGAAGATGCTGAAGCAGGGGATTTGGAATGATCGCCACATTCAGGAATGCCAAGAGCAGATAAATTTGAAAGAACTGATCCACAACTATGACTTTTACAAAAAGTCTATCTTATGCAAGCGGACATTCTTGACAAGAAGGAACCTGAGAATTTCAGACAATTGAAGACAATTTTTTTACTTTTTTCCCATTTGTGTGTAAATATGCTAATGAAGTGAATCACTTCACCCTTGACTCTATTGATTGTTCAAGGATGTCCAAGGTACCACAGTTCCACCTATGTTTACTTGCATGCTGGAAGGCTTCATTGCTGTCACATACCTAACGCTTTTTGCAAAAATGTTAAATTTTATCATCCGTTCAATTGCTCCACAAAGTAAATAATATCATCCATTTTGGATTTATTGAATCTCGATAAAAATGAAGTATTTTTTTTGAAGAAAAAAATTCACTCGACAATTTTGTGTTAAGGTTTGTTTGAAAATAAGTGATTGTGAAATCTCGTCATTCCTAAATTACCCATGCACACGACACGTGGGAGCCAAGGCGTAACTTGGAGGGGGGGGGGCTCGATTTTTCCGAAAAAAGGAGTGGTATTTTGTATATTACAAATAAAATCGCTTTTTTAACACAACTTTGTCGGAAAATTTTATCATAACTGTTTAATGTTTAAGTTAACGAAAAATTCAGTTTCTCTTTATAAACAATTTCTTGCCCAGTGTTCACCCCCCCTGACTCACCTGGGATTAACGCACCTGCGCAGTGGGCTGAAGGTTTCGACGATTTTGACCTGTAACTGCTCTTCGTCCAGCGCTTGAGTATTAGTGCAATGAATGCGTCAGACAATATTCATAAAACTCGGGTGGTGCAGATCCGATGAACTTTAATATGACTCGTTGTACTACACCTAACCTCGCTGAATTCACGTAGGTGGCACTCATGTGACGTCACATCCACCAAATATACCTGCATAAAATACGATCAACAAAGACAGAAAACATGTGAATTTCGAGAGCCTCTGAGGTGAAACTAATGACTTTGCCGTCTTAAGAATTAAGGACGATTCCTATACGAACCAAACACTTTCGGTTGAATTTATCGCAGCTTTTATAATTTTTTAATTGACAATGGAGTCGTGTTTCACTTACAAAAGCAATTAGTTGCTACACAGCATCCTTATTGTAATTTGTAAGAATAGTTATAACTGTATGTTAAAATAAATCACACGCTTTTATAATGTTTTAAAAAGATTTACAAGCTTATTTCAAAGATTGGAGTGTATTATGAAAATGCGTGTTACAATAAAGTTAGCGTTTTTAAAAATATTTATTTTTGTTAACACATCAGTATAATACGATGAAAACAATTTATATTTTACTTGTAACGGTTTTGTATTTACATTTTAGGCATAGAGTTTAATCAAGAGGCAGTTTCCATTCAAAGGTGTCTTTAATTAAATCTGTTTCTTTGGGAGTTAGACGCAATAGATGACCAACGATAGGTAACATTTGTCTGGACTACAGAAAATTGACAATGAAGTTGAAAATCCGAGGGTGGGTGGGGGGGGGGAGGGGTGAGGAATGTTTAGGAATCCCATTTTTAAATGAACAACAAAATAACCTGTAAGTTTGTATACTGTGATGGAGTGCGTCTTCACGGGGAAAAAAACACGAAATAAAGTGCTATAGTAATTTTACCTTCTCGTTTGTGCTGCACATAAACTTGATTATCACGTGTTTCAGATATCTACGGTAGAAATGTGGCGTGAAGGAGAACACGAAAGAAAAATGACCATAAAGAAATAATTTACAGTGATATTTACAGTGATATCGCCAGCATATTTGTAAGGATAACAAGGAATTGAAAAGGATACTTGAAATTCATTTGCAAGTACTCCAAGTCTTCGTTATCGGTTTGCGTCGACGTTGAGACCAGCAACGCAATCCTTGTGTTGTCCGTGTGATTTTCCGTTGTTCCATCGACACAATCAACAGAAGACTTCTAAATAAGACCGAATCGATATACTTCATGTAAGCAAAACACGAATGAAAGGAGTAGACACTAACCAGCTCGCGTTGAAGAGCTCTCTTGATATCCACGAGTTTCGCTTGAAGATTCTTGATCTTCTAAAATGGAGTGGATTTAATGATAAGTTTGGTAAAGAATGAAGACAGAAATTCTTCCATTTAGAAGTAATACTTCATGCAAGTCAGATAAAATGACCTACAAAAAAACTTCACCAGCAAACGCTACCGTGAAGGAAAAGGAAAATTGTTTTTGTTGAATTTTGAGCAGATGAAACTTCTCGCACTTAGAAGTAAAAACACAACTTGAAATCCTCAACAAGCACATGCTAATTTTTTACTAAACGAAATCACCTGTAAAAAGTGAATCAGACTACTCTGAAGGATGCTCGGAACTGGACATGTGTAGATTAAAAATAATATCGAGTTCGACAAGGAATTTCCCCTTTAACCATTTACTTGGCAGTGTAGTATGGACCTTTAACAATCACCGAAAGAAACGAGAACAAACTTTTGAAAAAATTCGCCAAGTAACGGGTTAAACGAGTTGTAAAAATTTATAAAAACTTACCAAGTCCTTTTCAATAATCTGCTTACGTAAAACATCATTTTCGTTCAAATCATTCTTGCTTGATTTCATATCTATAATTCTCTGTCTGTCGGCGAGTTTATTGTTTTCTTCGAATTGGGATAACTATAAACATGACTTGAACAATTACACAAGCGACAACACGGAAAGTTTTTCATTTTCCCCGATACTTTTACATCTAGGTTATTTTGGATCAAATCATAGAAAACCAAAATACAGATCCTTGCAGGCATTCAATCAACTTTCATTTCAAACTACCTTTGAAAAAATGCAATTGCTCGTAAATTTCCAAATAATAAACCCTGGTAATCGAATTATTTTAAAGGTAATGCAAAAATAATTGCAGATTGCGAAAAAACATCACGCGAATTGAACTACGTAGCTCCCACGCGGCAGTCTAGTACCCAGGCTTTTTTCCAGCGAAATACAAATCACAGACGAGAGAGAGCGCGCACGAGTTTGAAACATTGAAAAAATGACTGAAGATGTTTACATCACCTTGATTTTATAAGTCTTCAATTCTTCATCACTTTCTTTCAGTTTGTGTTTCAAACTAACGTTCACATCATTTCTACGCAAAGAACGTTGTATAAACACAATGTTTCAGTTTGTGTTTCAAACTAACGTTCACATCATTTCTACGTAAAGAACGTTGTATAAACACAATGTTTCAGTTTGTGTTTCAAACTAACGTTCACATCATTTCTACGCAAAGAACGTTGTATAAACACAATGTTTCAGTTTGTGTTTCAAACTAACGTTCACATCATTTCTACGCAAAGAACGTTGTATAAACACAATGTTTCAGTTTGTGTTTCAAACTAACGTTCACATCATTTCTACGCAAAGAACGTTGTATAAACACAATGTTTCAGTTTGCGTTGTAACGTTTCGCAAAGAACGTTGTATAAACACAATGTTTCAGTTTGTGTTTCAAACTAACGTTCACATCATTTCTACGCAAAGAACGTTGTATAAACACAATGTTTCAGTTTGTGTTTCAAACTAACGTTCACATCATTTCGCAAAGAACGTTGTATAAACAAAATGTTCAACGATGAGTGCAAAATTACGATGGAAAACAAGCTCCCTTGAAGAAAACGTACTTCCAATGTTTCCCCACGAGTACATAAATCTACAGCTACTAATTTAGCAAAAACGGGAACAAAGTAAAGAGAAATGAGTGAACAATGAAGCAAACCTTTCTTGTAACTCTTCTTCCAAATGGCGATTTTCTTCCTAAAATCGCCAAAATCGTTCAGTCGAAAACAAAATCTGTCATGACGGCATTAAAGTTTGATGACGCAATAAGCTTAGTCAAGTTAACATCATTAAAGTTTGATGACGCAATAAGCTTAGTCAAGTTAACGTCATTAAAGTTTAATGACGCAATAAGCTTATTTAAGTAACGTCATTAAAGTTTGATGACGCAATAAGCTTAGTCAAGTTAACGTCATTAAACTCACTTTACACTGTTCAAGTTGTCGATGTAGTGCCTCCATAATTTCGACATTCCCCGTCCGGTTTGAAGCATCCAATGACTAAATTATCGAAACATTTTTTAAACCAATTATTCCTTCTGTCTGCAAATTACACCGATTTTCAATTGTTTAAGTTTGCCACTGTTTTTGTTAGTTATACACTTATGCATGCATGCAAGTAACTTTTTACAAAGCTTATTTTTATATTAGCAATTTCTCTTCATTTAGCTAAAACATATTTCAAACAAAAACATATTTCAAACAACAACATATTTCAAACACGGTAGGAAAACCCAACAAATCCTTTAGTAGGAAAAGGAAGGACCAAGAAAAAACTCTTCAACTTTTAGCTGAAATTACCTTAATTCGAGTGTTGTTCGTGCAGGCTTTCTCTTCAAGTGCAGTCTCGAGACATTGTATCTGGAATCAATATAAAATCATCAAACCCATAGAAAGGAGATTACAATAAAAATAAAAGACACAGGGATGGATCCATGATGGTTTTGCAAGAAGAGAGGGAGGGGGAGGGGGTGGTCTAGTTTAGATAAAAAATACAGGGATTGATCCATGATGGTTTTGCAAGAAGGGAGGGAGGGGGTGCTCTAGTTTAGATTAGGCTTCGATGGCAAACTTGTTGCCGTATCATGTCAGACTATTTTGTAAAGATGGGGAGATTTTTGATTGTGTGCTCACAAATCACAATTGCTTTTGCTAAATGCTTTGGAATACTAGTATTTAGCAGGAAATTGATAAACCTCCAGCATCCCCTGTGGCAAGGCAAGGAGAGTTGTGCGCCTTCCCCCAAAGCCATCCCTGCAAAGAGAGACCAATAGATAAATGAGAAACAACCACGGCATGATAAACACACCTGTTGTTTCAGGTCGTTCGTATTATTCAACGCTTCGTCGAGACACATGGAAATTTGTGCGCACTCTTCGTCTTTGATCAAAAGATCCGACTAAAGAAGAGATGAACACGTTAAAAATACGACTCAGGAAATAACAGACAAAGGCATTTGAACTTGGAGTACTTTAACGTACATGTAGTTGATCCCTTTCCTCTTGTAGATCTGCAAGTTGACTTTCATATTTCGCTTCTCTCTGACGAAAATCATTTTCTACATGACGCGATCGTTCCTACATGACGCGAATATTTATATAATTTATTCCAGATAATCACGATTTGAAAATGTGAGAAAAAAAACACACACACGAGAAAACAAGAAAACTAACTTTGAAACTCTACACCCTTTTAAAAGCACTGCCGAGTTGAATTTGTTTTCGACATGATATTATGGGATATGTTTTTCGTACATAGATATTGCAAAACGTAAATTTTGTGAGCTAAAGATAGAATAAGTTTCACCTCGAGCTTTGTATCACACGAACGACGCCATGCCGGCCGATTGTCTTTCAATCTTCTTGCGTGCGTCAGTTGACTACGAACGCTCTCCAATTCCTTCTCGAGGTAAGAGTTCTAAATGTATAAAACGATCGAAGTCATTAAAATAACTATTGTAGCATTCATTCAACACACGCATACAGCCAGTGGCCGATTTAGAGTACGTCAAAATAAATTACTGCAGCACATTTTGGCATATATTTACATTTCTAAACACCTTAGAGGCAAACTCATTGGCAAAATGATATTCTTTAGAAATTAAAAACCAATAGTTTTTTTAATGTAATTTGAATTTAAAATTGAGGAGCTATAATTTATTTTGACGTACACTCGATCCGCCACTGCATACAGCTATACAACACAGTTCAAAAATGAGAACTTCTACGTGTTTGGTGACTGTTACACCCGTCGCCCATCAATAGGTAATGTCGATTGAAAAGACAACTCAAGCTTTATCGAATAACTGTTTGATAACGCACATACTCACTATGTTGATCCTATACGTATATGTTCCTCTCCCTTCCTTCTCAACAACAAAACCTCTCTCAAACTTTAGTCAAGTCTATTGGTTAACTACTTTATAGTAAATAAGGAGAATTTGTCTCTGTGTCAGCAGCAACATTTAGAGAGTATTATTAATTCCAACACGACAAGTACTATATAATGTGAAGTAATTTCACGTGAGTTTCTTCCAAGTAAGGTAAGTCTTGTGTGAGGTTCTTGCAAGTGTAAGATTTGCACGTGAGGTGCTCTCTCATTAAGTATTGCACGCGAGGCATTCTCACGGGAGGTACATGCACGTTAGTAACATGCACGTGAGGTACTCTCACGTGAAGAACTTGCACGTGAGGTGTGGTCAGGTAAGGTATGATCACGAGAGTTCTTGCACGTGAGGTACTATCACGTGAAGAACATGCACGTGAGTGTTCTCACGTGAGGTTGTTTCAACGATATACGTACTCTTTGTTTTAGAGCATCCAATTGATCATTTAGTACTGGTTCATTTTGAGGCTTCACACTTTTGCTCTGCATCGTTTTAATCTGTGAGTGCAAAAGGTAAAGACAATATTAACCAAGATATTGGATATTTTTACAGTACATATTGATCAAGCACAATGCGGGTTTATGAATGGACGAATACTTGAGACTTTGATCAGTTAATTGCGTAAGACATTGTATTGAGATAAAACCGTTGCCCAACAATCCCCAAGACGATAACAAAACATTTAAGTTATGACTCTGAAGATGACTAGAGTCAAAACATTTAAGTGATCAGAGTCAAAACATTTAAGTGTTCAGCAACCATTTACAATCGAAATAACATTTGATGATACGAACACTATTTACGTAAAGTCGAGAATAACTTTTCTCAAACCTTAATTTAATCACAACAAACCTTCTCGTTGAGTTCTTCGATCGTTTCTTCGGCGACACGTTTACAACTAGTCAATTCCTTATCTTTCCTTTCAAGTTTTTCGTTTAGGGATGCCACCTAGAAAATGTTACACATCTAAAAATCATATCTTTTAGGGTCATAAGGATACCTTCTGACACCAACACCATCCTTTGATCGTTTTACACCCCTTAGTAATGTTCCAATCATATTAATAGTTCGCAGGTTCAAACTAGCCTGTCATGTGGACATATGATTATTTTGCTAAAGGAGAAATAGGTGAAATACCAACCAGAGTTGCAAGAGCGTTCATTTCAGATGATGTTTCGTTCCCAATTTTGGAAAACACGTTCGTTTGTGCGTCGTTTTCAGCAGCTTGTTCTGCATCGAGGAAAGATCTTTCACTCTTACGAAGCCTAATCAATCACGACGTATAAATCACAAGAGGTGACAACGTTTTCACGACATTAAACAAACGAACGCACCTTGTTTCTGAACTTTCGAACTCGTTATCCTCCGTAGAAATCTCCACAGATCTCTAACAGAAAACAGACAGGAGTCGTTTATTACATAATTACAGATTTGCGGGTAGACAAACGATAGAAAATATATAAAAATCTACCCTTGACTTCAAATTGTTATAAAGCTCTTGTAATTCGCTAAGTTCCTGCTCTCGCATTTCCAAACGTTTCTCAACTTTACGGAGCTCGACTGATTTCTACAGAGGGAACGTAGAAATGAACAGTAAGCGGTCAGTTCACCTGATTCAACAAGTACCAAATTTTATGACCAACACGGGAGACTAGTGTTTCAAAAGAATCAACAGTGTCATTGCGCATGACAACGCGTGTCATTTTGAAATCCATCGGTACACAGTGGAAACTACTGATTTCTTTCGCAAAATACAAAACATGCTTACAGGGATTTTTGATTTCTCCACGTTTTGAACATACATTTTGAAATTTTTAGTTTCAGCCCGCTGTAGTTGGGGTATTTTGTAGCTTAAACGTTTTTCATATATAATGTTCCTGTCGACTAAATTTCAATTTGTTGCCGGTCATTGACAGGTTTTCATGCCCGGTCATTGACGGGTTTTCATGCTCGGTCTTTGACGGGTTTTCATACCCGGTCATTGACGGGTTTTTATGCCCGGTCATTGACGGGTTTTCATAACCGGTCATTGACTGGTTTTCATAACCGGTCATTGACGGGTTTTCATACTTTTCACAGGAGTGGTGCTAAAAATATAAGGGCATGAACTGGTAAGGAAGTGACGTAAAAGAAAGTTAGGAAGTGACTATGTTAGGGTCGGTCTGGTAGTGCAGTCACCAAAGGTTGTATAGCTAGAAATTTTAGGGGGAGTTGGGCTGGTTGGGAAGTGACGTAAGACAAACTAAGGGAATAAATATTTTAGGGTCGGTCCGGTAGTGCAGTTACCAAAGGTAGTATAGAGAGTTCAAACATTGCCTAGACAAACTCAGTTTAACTCAAGGAATGGTCTTTTGGCTAAGAATTTGGGGGTTGACACATTTCTATTAGGGACGAACAGTTAATTTAGGAGGGTGAATTCAGATATTTGGAATGGTGGAACCCCCCTACAACCCCCAAAAATCCGTCCATGCGCACAGTACTCAGCCAATATTTCGATGATCATTTACTCGCATCAGAGTATTTCTATTTCCTTACCCTGAGGTCTTATCTTTGTTTGCATGGGGGTGGGTGGGGTGGGGTAGAGGAATGAACATGAACAGCGGAGTACAAGGGGTAGGCGAGTGCACATGGACAGTTATCTTTGGATTGAACATTTAGTTGCTAAAGGAAAATTCAATATAAGTTGGTATTCACAAGACAAAACATATTAACATGTATAACCCGCTTGTCCCCTTATTAACACGTATAACCCGGATGTCCCCTTATTAACACGTATAACCCGGATGTCCCTTATTACAACCCTTTCGTCATCAAATATTCATTAAGCAATGATTGTAATTTCAACCTGGGTGACTTCTGTGATGATCTCGTTCAATTGGCTCTTCAAAGTTTTGTTTTCTGTTTCTAACTTTGATGTTTGTTGCTTCAATATCTGCTCTTGTTCTTCATAGTCACACCTGATCAAAAGACATTTTACATCCATAGATTCATTATGCTACTCGAAATAAACATGTTTCACGTGCTTCCACTTGTAAGTCCACGTGTTTTGCTTAACGCACGTATGTGCTGATGTTCATGCCGTGTTTGTGTTGACTGTATATCATATGAAAACTGAGTGCATCATAATGAGATTTCCATTATGACTATTAATCATATTTAGCTTTTTTACGGGTCACTTTGTAAAACATTTATTTCTATATCTAGAGGTGCCTTTTATTTGATTTAAAATGTACCTTTGTTTGCTTAATTCATCTAGTTTTTCCATCATTGAAGTAATTTGTTTATTTTGATCTTTGTAGGCTTGGTCTAGTTCTTCCAATTGCTAAATTCATTGATACATTTTAGAATGCTTTTTAACGTTAATTATTTTGATCTTTGTAGGCTTGGTCTAGTTCTTCCAATTGCTAAATTCATTGATACATTTTAGAACGCTCATTTAACGTTAATTATTTTGATCTTTGTAGGCTTGGTCTAGTTCTTCCAATTGCTAAATTCATTGATACATTTTAGAACGCCTATTTAACGTTAATTATTTTGATCTTTGTAGGCTTGGTCTAGTTCTTCCAATTGCTAAATTCATTGATACATTTTAGAACGCTTTTTTAACGTTAATTATTTTGATCTTTGTGGGTTTGGTCTAGTTCTTCCAGTTGCTAAATTCATTGATACATTTTAGAACGCTCATTTAACGTTAATTATTTTGATCTTTGTAGGCTTGGTCTAGTTCTTCCAATTGCTAAATTCATTGATACATTTTAGAACGCTTATTTAACGTTAATTATTTTGATCTTTGTAGGCTTGGTCTAGTTCTTCCAATTGCTAAATTCATTGATACATTTTAGAACGCTTATTTAATGTTAAGTATTTTGATCTTTGTAGGCTTGGTCTAGTTCTTCCAATTGCTAAATTCATAGATACATTTTAGAACGCTTATTTAACGTTAAGTATTTTGATCTTCGTAGGCTTGGTCTAGTTCTTCCAATTGCTAAATTCATTGATACATTTTAGAACGCCTATTTAACGTTAATTATTTTGATCTTTGTAGGCTTGGTCTAGTTCTTCCAATTGCTAAATTCATTGATACATTTTAGAACGCTTTTTTAACGTTAATTATTTTGATCTTTGTGGGTTTGGTCTAGTTCTTCCAGTTGCTAAATTCATTGATACATTTTAGAACGCTCATTTAACGTTAATTATTTTGATCTTTGTAGGCTTGGTCTAGTTCTTCCAATTGCTAAATTCATTGATACATTTTAGAACGCTTATTTAACGTTAATTATTTTGATCTTTGTAGGCTTGGTCTAGTTCTTCCAATTGCTAAATTCATTGATACATTTTAGAACGCTTATTTAACGTTAAGTATTTTGATCTTTGTAGGCTTGGTCTAGTTCTTCCAATTGCTAAATTCATAGATACATTTTAGAACGCTTATTTAACGTTAAGTATTTTGATCTTCGTAGGCTTGGTCTAGTTCTTCCAATTGCTAAATTCATTGATACATTTTAGAACGTCTATTTAACGTTAATTATTTTGATCTTTGTAGGCTTGGTCTAGTTCTTCCAATTGCTAAATTCATTGATACATTTTAGAACGCCTATTTAACGTTAATTATTTTGATCTTTGTAGGTTTGGTCTAGTTCTTCCAATTGCTAAATTCATTGATACATTTTAGAACGCTTATTTAACGTTAATTATTTTGATCTTTGTAGGCTTGGTCTAGTTCTTCCAATTGCTAAATTCATTGATACATTTTAGAGCGCCTATTTAACGTTAATTATTTTGATCTTTGTAGGTTTGGTCTAGTCCTTCCAATTGCTAAATTCATTGATACATTTTAGAACGCCTATTTAACGTTAATTATTTTGATCTTTGTAGGCTTGGTCTAGTTCTTCCAATTGCTAAATTCATTGATACATTTTAGAACGCCTATTTAACGTTAATTATTTTGATCTTTGTAGGCTTGGTCTAGTTCTTCCAATTGCTAAATTCATTGATACATTTTAGAACGCTTATTTAACGTTAAGTATTTTGGTCTTTGTAGGCTTGGTCTAGTTCTTCCAATTGCTAAATTCATAGATACATTTTAGAACGCTTATTTAACGTTAAGTATTTTGATCTTCGTAGGCTTGGTCTAGTTCTTCCAATTGCTAAATTCATTGATACATTTTAGAACGCCTATTTAACGTTAATTATTTTGATCTTTGTAGGCTTGGTCTAGTTCTTCCAATTGCTAAATTCATTGATACATTTTAGAGCGCCTATTTAACGTTAATTATTTTGATCTTTGTAGGTTTGGTCTAGTTCTTCCAATTGCTAAATTCATTGATACATTTTAGAACGCCTATTTAACGTTGATCATTTCGACCTTTATACGTTTGGTCTAGTTCTTCCAGTTATTAAATTCATTGAAACATTTTAGAACGCGTATTTAACGTTAATTCATCCACAAATTGGTAGTTACATTGGACGTAACGGAGAAATGGCCTCGAGATATTTAGTTCTTTTCTAGTTTAATCTGTGTTTCAGAAGTCAAAATAGAAAGGCCACAGTTACTAAATCGAAGCAAATTAGTGTGTAAATTGCCGGCGACTTTGTATGAATACGATATCTTAGTGTGAAAGCTTTTCTCATCAAAATACAAGAAACAAAACGAGTAAATAGCATGATGAATTTCATTTTATTTCGTTATGTTCCTGTTTCTTTAGGCTTTTGTGATTAAGATGCACAGAATACTTTCAGTCTATTTCAACACCTACGCACGGAATATGGGCCTGGGACGAGAAAGTTGTTGCCAGTACGTTTGGTCGTGATACACGACAAGATACATACACATACAACGATTAAAGAAAGGTGTAAAACGTTCTTACCGATCCTTTAACCAAAATGTCGAGAGCTTTTTCTTTTGCACCAATTGTAGTGGGTGATACCTTGGTGAAGAAGACTATGGTTGATAAAAGACACCACACAAATGGTGGCTACACATAGAGAGCATTTATTTGCACCACAAACATGAAAAAATTACCCAAATCTAATGAACACAATATTTCTGAAAATGAAAAGCTTGGAATGTTATATTGTGCCTGACACTCATCATTTTTTTCAAAATTCTTCAATAAAAATTTTGAAGCTAATTATATGGAAGTTTTGTGTTATTTGTTCAGAGAAAGCAATACACCTAAATTAAAGCCAGAACATATTTCTCCTCCAAAGAAAATGAAATAAGCATTAAGGGAAGACAATCAAGTCAACACTGGTATATATTTTTAGCATTTTCCACAAAAAGTGATTGAGAAAAAGTAAAAATATAGCCGAGAGATAATCACTTCAACAAAGCTGACATTACAAAACACTTCATTCTAATTACTGTACCTTTGAAGGGTTTTCTTTGTAAAGTTTTTTCCATCTCTTTATTTCTTCTTCATATTCTACAAGTGTTATTTTAAAAACAAAAGGAAATGAAATTTCCGACAAAAAAATTACATACTAAATTTACTCACAAAAACTACAAACTAAATTTACTTACAAATATTACATAGGTACTAAATTTAAATGAAAAACTTACATACTATTACAACAGCAAACCTGATAGTTTATTTTTCAAAGCGTCAATTTCTTTCATTTTTTCACGTAGGACTGACACAAGATCCTTTCTAGGTTTGCTGGTGTTTGACTAAATTTGAAATAAATATGCAAAAAAATCAGATAATTTTTTGTACAAACGACCATATTCCAAGCAAATACAAGAAAAATTTCATGTACATATCAAGCAGCCTAAATGATGATTGAACTGAATTTTTAAAAACAAAACCAGAAAACCACAAACACAAACATAACACTTTGGCCAAAGTTAGGGATAGGGGTAAGTTAAGAGATATGCATGTGGCTGGACATTTTATAATCAATCCAACAGACATTAGGAAAGCACTATATCTGATATCCTACAGATGACTTGCCTTGTTTTTTTAGTTTGCTGAAGGGAAAATTAATCTCAATATAACCATTGTTGCAAGAGTTGTCTCAAAACCTGCCTGCCGGCAAAACTTTAAAAAAAAAGGCAAGTCATCTACTTCATATGTTCTGTTGACAAAAACATAAATTGCTGTCCGTAAATTTAATTTGCAAACAAAAAGTGTAAGACCAATTTTTTAGTATCAAAGAAGGCAACCATATCCGTACAACTTATCATAAAAAGATGCATTGATTTCTTTGTCCTTTTATTACACATGACATCACCTCATAAAATATTTACGACTGCCAGAAACTTAATCAGCCATGAATGTACTTAAGGAGACGAGTAGACCGTAAAAGAAAGCAAATCTAATGGGAATGTTTTCAAGGCTCGTGGACTTACAACCGCATCTGACGAGCGTACGCTTCTAGTTTCCTTATCATTTAGGAAAGATGTATCTCTGTACATAAATCCAGGTTCTGTAAAAATGGATTCTCTCGAGCCATAATAACTACTCGCGCTGCTCATTCTTCGTTTGTGCCATTTATTTTCTTTTGAAATTGAGCGAGAACGACAGCTAGGTGGCGGACTACTCGCCAATGACGAGCCCAAATCGCTATGATCTTCCTCCACTATCTTCTTCTTAAGTTTTGTGAACATTTTAGAGGTGAAAGTTCAACTTCTACCAGTCGAAAGTTGGTTAAAAAGTCGCTCATTCTTTTGTTATGAGGCTTCGAGACTTTAAGTTACCCGCCACTGCGCATATAATACTGTATTAGACCGCTGACATGAGATTACACTGCGCAGCAGATTTAAACTTTATTCATCGATTTTATTACTCTATTATTTGTAACTATTTGTTAATATTAAATATTTACCAGTTATTTTTACTGATATTGTGGAACATTAATTAGCAAAATCAACTAAAATCATTGAATAAATTTTCGATGCTCAAGAACATAGGCGTACGAGGCGGGGGTGCTGGGGTGCCCACCCCAATTTTAAGGAAAAGGGTAACGTCGGGCAATTTCTACCCAAAAGTCGGGCAATATTTGGTCTTTTGTGGACAAAACAATAAGCAAATTAATCACTTTAATTAACAAAAATAATTTTAACAAGCAAATAGGAAGAAATTTTATTACTGGCAAATTCTCTTTGACCTTTTCCTTTGCTATTTATTTCAATAATACTGTCAAATAAAAGCATTTGCGCGTAGCTTAAATGTGTAAAAAAGTATTTTTTATCTAAACCATATTTGGGGTACATTAACATTAAGGCTTTAAAATTTACCTGGCAATATTTTCCATCCGTCATTACGTCTTTCTGGCTTTCACATTTAAATTGAATTAAATATATATTAGTGGAATAAGTTTCAAGTTTAACGTTGTATGACAACAGAAAACTACCAAGACAAATATTCAAAGCAGGTGTATTGAAAAGAGTGATGTGTTTTTCGCTTTATATGAATTCTTTTTCTATTGTTAAATTTTAACAAAATAACAATGTCACTAGAAAAAAACGTAAAGGGGAGAATAACACAATCTTTTATCGAAAATAGTATTGTTTTTTATTGAGTGTCTGAACTTTAAAGCGTCATTTTTCTTCTGCGTCATTTTTTTTCTGTCATGCGCTAATTCTATTTGTGGGCGAAAGAAGTACATTCCATCACTAATCCCTTTTTCAGGAAACTGTCATGCAAACTTTCTAAAGGTCTCTTTAATGTTTCAGGCCTAGGTGATAATAGGGTAGGATGCCTTATGGGTAGGATGCCATTTAATAGGGTAGGATGCCTTATGGTGCACAGAAATGCAAAAACAACAAAATTGAAAGCATGGAGAAATTTACAAATTATATGCCATATTTACATTTCCCACGTGTTATCCTTTGGTAACTCTTTGATAATCAGTTGTCGAATTTGCACTGATCTCATTTGTATGATGTTTGACTAATGAATTCATAGTCACATAAAAAATAATTTGAAAAATCTTCTAGTAAGCCCTTGCTCCCAGGCCCTCTTTTTCCTACCTAAATGCTTATTTCTTGCTTGTTTTTTGGCAATCCATGGACTTCTATGCATTATTAGCAATAAATTATAGTTTTTTCTGTTCTTACAAGCATCGTTTTGGCCACTTTGTGCAAAATTTACAACCAGTTAGAAACAGTGGTTAGAAATGAGTAGCAATTGGTGACCTTTAAACTTATGATAAATAGATAGAATATTTTATCCACAAATAGCTAAGTATGGTACAATATCAGTTAGTAAAAGTTAAAGTACTCAGGCAATGAATACACAAACATGAAGTATTAAAACAATTTAGCAATGTTGTTGATGTTATTAATATATTTTAGACATCAATCCAGGCATATAGTGTTTTTTATATCAATAAAATTCATGTTGGGCGAGAATTTATTAGCACCCCATTTTTTGGCCCTGCCCATGCTCAAGAATAGGGATTATTCAAAAAGAACCATCACATTAATTTATTCTACACTCAGGCTTTGCAAATAGCCCCATAACATTTGGTGATCTGGCCAATTCACTATATTTTACCATTGACTTTGTTGGTATCTTAGATTGCAACTGAAACTTGTATCTTTCTTTAGTTCACCAAATGCTTTATGTGTCATAATGCTTGTGTAGATCTTTGACATTGCTCATTTTGTATGTTTCATATGACCACATCGCTCCCCCAAAAACATTAGATCTTCACTTCCAGCTTAAATTCTTTGTGTTTATCACAGAAACTGCACTAATGGCACTCTCTTGAATGCCAAGCATCATATTTGTCCACCACGAATAATTTTCCAAGCAAACAATTTTTGTTTCAGACTTTGGCTTGCTTAGTACTTTACGTTTTCTTGAAGTATTGACAGTCGTTCTTGCTGCAGAATTCCTGGCTTCTTCATCCATCAGTCAAAGTCATCAAGGTTTTTCAAAAATTATTACATACCACCCTTATAGTGTAGTGCTATTGAGTACTACACTATAATAAGCATCTTTTATCTTTAGACACTGAACTCAACCTTGTCATAAAAATAATGGCTATTATATCCGGTCAATCATGGTGTTTACAGGTATTTAATTTTATAAGTTATGTAATAGTGATGTAAAAAATTGAGCCACTGGTTCTCAGGCTTTTTTCTCTCAACGTTGTGAAATTCAATCATGGCGGATCCGTTGTCGTTGTTGCGACAATATAATGTCCAAAGAAAAGACATACTAGAAAAGGATGACTACATCAGCTTTGACGAATTTGCATTCCACAAGACTGCCAAGACAAATTACATCATATACAGGTAAATCGATTGCCTATAAGGTATATTAATGATGGATTTTAGTATCTTTCCTTTTATTATTGTTTGTTTATATATTGTTTATAATTTCTGTTATTACTTATAACAAGATGCCTGATTGAAGTTTGCATGATTTCGGCCGTTCGAATTCCTCATTGAGCGTAAATCTCGATCTTTTTTAGTTTATTTCTTATTGATAGATAAGACTATCGTTGGGAATTGCTTATGTATAATAAAACATGTGATCATTTCATATATTATATTACTCATGCCGCTTGAAGGCACTTGTTACGAATGTTTATGTTTAGCTGTCTTAATCTGTTGAATTTATGATGCCTTAGGACACAACCAAAGGAGTACTACACGTTGGAATCCATGTTATTTTTGTTGAAAAATGTGCATCTTTCACACGCAAACTATGTACAACGTGCAGCATCCTCGAAAATCCCGGTGATCAGATTGCCCGACAAAAAGGTGAGATTCTTAAGAGGGTCATTCTTTCATATCATTATTATATTATAAGATGCAAATATTACTTGTTAGTTCTTAAAAGAACTGTTTTAAGTAAAGAGCAGTTCTTTGAAGAACTATCAACTTATTATATTACTTTTACCATTCACTATGGTATTTGCTATCTTTAGAACTATTTTCAGATTTGTCACCACGACAAAGTCTCTATTTTATTATTTAAGACTCTTGCTTCTAAATTATAGGCTCTGCTTAGTTATTTGAACGGTGAAACAGGTACCATTACTTATGTTGATTAAATAATGATCATGGCTTGCACTTTACAACTGATATCTATGAAGAAATGCAATCTTTGTCGTAATCTCTAGAAACTTCATCGAGCATCGACAAAAGTGTACCTCTTGAACTGCCAACACAGAGGCCTTCGGCAAGAGTAGAGAACTGTTAGTACATACAATCTTGTATTTTATCATATTGCAGCAGTATTTGAAAAGCTCAAATATTGATTGCGGCATGTTTTTTCATCAGTGAAAAGGCCTGGGGAGGATGGACATGATGGAGATTTCAAACGACCTAAAGTCGAGGTAAACAAACCTCCAATTTACACTCAAACATTTAAATCACACAACAACCTGTTATTATGTGGTATCAACTTGTGTAATGTTGTATTGATATGGCATTAGTCAGAGAATATTTCGTATCTTTATAGGAAGAACAAGTTCAACGTGATAAGGTTTGCTGTTGATTGCAATGACTTGCATTTAAATGGCCTTTTTCTCTTTCATACAGTAGTGAATTTGAAAATAACTCATTTACGTTCAGAAAAGACTGGAAGCTCGTCTCGAAGGACACAAAGAAGAGACAGTTACAACAGAACAAATTCGGTAATCTATGATAACGTATTTTAATACATGTTAATGTATTTTAAGACGTAATGTATTTTAAGTTGTCGAATGATAAATGTATATAAAGCACGTAAGTAATATATGCGAATGGTTTTCTTTTGCTACAGATCCTTGAGTGACACGATGTCTGCAGAAAAGATTGCGGCTATAAAAGCAAAACGTTTGGCAAAAAAACGAACCACAATTAAAGTGGATGACGAACTTGATTCTGGTGTTCTTGTATGTCAAATATTGTTTCCATAATTTCGTGAGAGCACAATGGTTATAAGACATTTAAAATAGACGACAAATTTGTTTATAGCAAACGTGTTTTGGCATACTTTATGCCATCTTCATTGCGAAGTGAATAAATATAGGAAGTTTACATGATTATATGTTATAGTGATTAAAGTCATCGTCAGAGAATATATATAATATATTAATCCTAACACGAATTTAATATGCACATGAAAAAATGTGACTTGGACGAGATTTGAACTCGCACCTTCGGGATACTAGTCTGCCGCTCTACCTGTTGAGCTACCGAGCGGACAAGTATCCCGAAGGTGCGAGCTCAAATCTCGTCCAAGTCACATGTTTTTCATGTGCATATTAAATTCGTGTTAGGATTAATATAGTGATTAAAGCGGAAATAACTATTCGATACTTCCGCTTTATCACTATAACATATTATCATGTAAACTTCCTATATTTATTCATTTCGCACTGAAGATGGCCTAAAGTATGCCGAAACATGTTTGCTATAAAGAAATTTGTCGTCTATTTTAAATGTCTTATGTCAAATATACTAAGGATTCATGTTGATTTTATCGTCTGCACTTGCGCATGCTCAATAGCCTACAAAGATAGAAAGGACATTGAGCGTGTTTCATGAAACGATTCATTAACAAAAATAATTTTTTGACAAACGATAAGTTCGTAAATCTTTTGAAACTTTGCCACTGACTTAAACATTTCAACTAAGGTTGCCAACACTTGAAAATTATGTTATTGAATAAGTGTGCTTTACAATAACGTAAATATCGTGATAGGGTCCAACCTCTAATTCTTAGGAGAGACGTGTTTTTGTCGACGCTGAAGTGGATGTGACACGCGACATAGTCAGTCGTGAAAGACTCCTTCGCACGCGATCCAGTGTTTTACAAAGTTCGGGAAAGGTGCAACTGTCTTTTTTGAAAACATCGAGCTAAACACAACTGCTTCAACTTTCTTTATTCAACTCATTTCTGTTCAGCAATTCCTCAAGAACATTCTGGCCATCCTTCAATCGGTCAAGGCCCAAGAAGACGGTTCCTCCGCAAAACAAGCTCAGAAACCCGCTCCGGCTGCGGTAAGATTTCAACCCTCTTCAACGAACATTCCTTCTAAAGTAAATGGTTTGAACCCGGGAGTATCGTTACATGTTTGTAAATGTAGATCGTCCAGGTTGGTATAGTCCTGAGAAGGACTGTTTTTGTTGTTGTTGACTGCAGTTTCGACAATCTTAGCGGTAGTCATCTTCAGAGTCAAATGACAAAGTTTGACTCTGAAGATGACTACCGTTAAGGTTGTCGAAACGTCAGTCAACAACAACAAAAACAGTCCTTCTCGGGACTATACCAACCTGGACGATCTACATTTACAAACATGGAACATTCCTTCTATGTAAAACAAATGTATTTTCTTGTTCAGGAACCTCCAAAGAAGAAACCGCCTGTAGCCGTCTCATACAACAGATACGATCAGGAACGCTTCAATCGTAAAGAAGGTACTAGCTAATCTTTTGATGAACAGCAAAGACTTCTTCAAAGATTTTTCTTTTGACTGCACAAGTCCAGTATTAAATGCTTTGTTAATATTTAAATTCGGGAATACGTTTTCACGGAATTTTAAAGTTCCTTATGAAACTAAAATCCTCGTCAGGAAAGGCAGCAATAGAATAATAATGAGAACAAAGCTGGGTGGGAACTGTACATTTGTTTCACGTATAAATGACTCCACAAACCTTCCATTTGCGACTCAAATTTGAACTTGCAAAACAACTATAGTACATTGTACCTGACATTGTTTTTCGTTTTTATTTCATCATTCCATCAGAAACGGAAGGATTCAACATCGACACGATGGGAACCTATCACGGATTAAGTTTGGATCGTGTAAAGGTAAAACCAAATTGTTGAATTTAATTCGAAATCCAAGCCAGATTTTGACATTCGACACTTGAAATCTTTATCAGGAAGGCGTTCATAAGACCGACCAAAAACGCTCGTCGCATTCTTCCAACCAAAATAGACCGTCCAGATCATCTCAATCGGGTAATACACTTGTATACTTTTACAATATTATGAAATATAAGGTTTATAGTAGTATTTACAATATAAAAATTATTAAGTGTTACAGCTAAGTGTAACATGTGAACCATTCTTCGTAACATTTTCATCTTTCACAGTTTGTATTTTCAATAAAATACTTTGTAAAATTCATAACATTTGTTATGCATTAAAAAATGTGTGATTCGTTATTTTACAATGCAAACACGTGATAAGATTTTACAAATAAAGCCAGGAATCCTCATATTTATCTTTATCTTGCACAGGTCTACAGAAGCCAGCCCAGCAATTGCCTCAAAAGAGGGGTAAGTATGACAGTAAACCATCTCAACAACTGCTTGAACAAATGATGATTGTATGAAAGTTAAAGACCATGCTGTGGTTCTTGCTTTATTTTACCTAGAATCCTGAACACCTATCACCATAATGATTCTCACTTTAACCCTTTATTACCTAGAATCTCGAACACCTATCATTATAATACCTGCTGGTGCGACATCTCTAATCTCGTTGTTCAACTGTAAAGATTTGCTACAAGATTTCAGGTTTGAATTACTTTATTTGAACCAATCAAATCCAACAACTAAATTGTAACGCATCACCGGTTTATGCGCTTGCACTATTGGTTCAGCCTGAGACATTTTAGAAGCCACGAGCGGTAGATACATCATATTATAACGTGTACTCATCGAATTCCATTCCCATAACCTTCATAGATACGCGTATCATTCGAAAATTTCACGACCGCGCATGCTCAGTAGTAGGTTTCACTAAGTTACGAACAAAGTGAAAAACAGGCTTAACACCTGGTCACCATATCTTGGGATTTAGAGTTTGGCATAGTTTATTTAAAACACATTTGATTGCCCAATACATTTTTGAAGTCGTGTACACGTTTGCTTTGTCACACGTGGAAGACACGTGATCTTCCTAACAGTCATTCTATTGTGTGTGCGCCCCTTCCCCAACTTAAAATGTCGACGATTCTAAACTCATGAAATTTTCCCTTAAGATTTGTGTCAAGTAACGATAAAAAACAAGGCGGTGCTCGGAAAGAAAACGAAGTACTAATTCAACGTCGTAAAGAAACAGTCGTTAATGGAACGGCGGGAAACGTGACTGTACCCTACAGGGTCATTGATAATACTCAGAGACTTCAACCTAACGACTGGTGGGTACAGTTAGCATACAATACACAAATAACTGTCACGTGACACACATCTCTGCCTAGGTCCGCTTCTAACGTCGAACATTCCATAGGCCAAATATATTATATGATGAGTTTGAACCCTTGTTTGCAATGCGTTTTTACGACAGAATCAGGTCTAAATTGACACAAATGTATGTTTAATTGATAAAAAAGCTTGTTTTGTTCAAACGTTCTTCGCAAGAGTAAGGGATGTTATCTCTCGCGACTTGAGTTAATATACTATGGTTTCTGGGAGGGGCATCCGTTATTTAGCAACAAAATGCAACGCAAGGCACCCATTGAACGTGGCTGAGTTCTGTTATGGCCGAAATGCCTCCTTTCAAAGCAACCAATTTGCCGTCATTCTTTTGCAACTCTCATATTTTTCACAAGTATCCTGATTAGCAAAATCTAATCTACGATATTATCCGATCTTCTGTCGTTTCAAGGAATCGTGTTGTCGCTGTATTTGTTCAAGGGCCAGCGTGGCAATTTAAAGGATGGCCATGGCTTGCCAGCGATGGTTCACCAGTCAATATTTTTACAAAAGGTGAATAATGGAAAACACACTTTGCTAAATTGTGCATTGTTTCAGTTCAAGCATACCACTGAACATCTGGATGTTAGTACAGTTAAACCTTTATTAAGCGGACATCCTGTTTTAAGTGGACATCCAGTATTAAGCGAATAATTTGTAAAGTCCCAAATTTCATATTATTAATAATCTCGTATTATTAATTCGTAATTATGAAACCACCATCAAGTGGAACGTCCATTAAGTGGACACTAGTCCATTTTCCAAGGGTGTCCGCTTAACGAAGGTTTCACTATATGAACCTAAAATTGTGTTCCCTTTAAATATAAAACAGCAATCTTCAAATTTTGCAACACTATCCTTGTTGCAGCATAGCAAACATTTCCTCTCACATTGTGGCTAACATTTGGTCGAAGGTTCCTTGCAGTCAGTGACATATCCAACATACATGGGTGGTCATGCTATGTAAAATTGAGATCATTAGCATGCTTTAGCAACCTATAACTTTTTTTATGGTGGATGAACACTCAAGCATTTACATATAGCATGATCAAACTTTGTGAGCAGGCTACATCCTTGCTTACAGCATGACAAACATTTTGCCAACGCTCCAGTAGGCATGGCTCTTCTGGCAATTTCCAACAAGAAAAATCAATTTGTTTTACCCTTATATTTATAGTTACATACCCATACCTTTACTTTGTAGTTAAAGCATTCCATCTGAAGTTTGATGAAATGGCAACGGATGCAAATGTAAAGAAATGGGACGTGCATGTGCTTACAGTAAGTGACACTGTGTTTATAGTTAAATGCTGTGAGTTAAGAAAGGTATACCCATACGTTATTGAAAATAGATGGTCTATGGTATGTTAGCTAACTTCCTCTTGATAGGTCTTATAGATGACATGGCCTCTTTAGCACATATTTAACTGTGAGGAGAGCATCGCAAACCACTAAGTATGTCTCACAGTTCATACCTCGATTCATTTGTAGATAAGTCGCAGTAAACGTCATCTTGATCGTGCTTCAGTGCTAAAGTTCTGGGAAGCTCTGGATAAGTAAGTGGAAACGTGACAATAATGTAATGTTAGTTACTAATGATGAAAAACAAGGTGCCTATTATGATAAAGACTCCTGTTTAAAGTCCAATGATATGTATTTGCCATTTGTGTGATGAAATGTATCATTGACATATAATATCCTTAAAAATTTGTTGACATCATATGAGTATCATTCGTATCATACTATTTTAATTGCTCTGCAGACATGCACTCATTATTCTTTGTATTTCCCATGAGATTAAAATGATCGTGCAAATTTAGTTTTCTTTGTTTTTCAGGTTTATCATCAAGACGAAACCTCATCTGAGATATTAAAGATTTGCAAAAATTATGAATATGTAACATTTGATTTTTCACCATGCCATATAAAGTAGCATCACAATACAACTTGTGTTTTTCTCATACTAGTGCATTTTTGAGAAATTAAATTTAGACAACCTAACATGTTTGCAACTCGAAAACAAGCGGGGTACAAATTGACCTCAAGAAAGTACATTGTAAATTTTTCCATTGAATACACACAGAGGCCAAAGGAATTTTCTGAACATTGTGATTTTTAAGTTATTTGGAATTGCAACAAAATTGTTTATTTGTACCCTGTTTAGTCCCACAACATCCATGTATGACTAATGTTGTAATTTCAACTAGACTAGCAATCAATTAGTGTAGGTGAACTTATGTTTAATTTATTTAATGTTGGTGCAGAAGTGTAAGTAAAATACATAGCAGAAACTTCAGAATATATGCGTTATGCGATGTGTTCAAAATCGATTTGACGTAGTGGACTGGATTGGAAATTATGGCAATTTCTGACCTAACTCTTATCCTCGAATGGAGAAAATAACATTTTGAACACTTTGATATGCACTTCATAAACAAGCTTCTGTAAAAGCAATAATAGACCATATGCCTTATTAATTTTTAATGAAAATGCGCGCTGTGCATTCTGGTCTTAGTAGTCACGCTACTACGGTAAACATCAACATGGCCACCGCGGATAGTGAGTGTGCAGCTGTTCTTTGTCGTCTTTCAGAGTAACTCAAACGAATGAAAATCCTAGTTCTTTTCAGAACTCTTGCACGGGTATTCAGGAGTTTGTTACATCTGAAGCTTATGGCAAGGAAATCCCAGAAACGTCGACGAAAGCGAAGATAGTTGGTGTAAATTCTAATACCGTTGCAAGTCCAGATGAAGAACTCGCGACATTTGGTCGCTTAGATTGGACAAAGTCTTTGGCTAATCTTCCATCTTTTACGCACGAGAAGCTTGAGCATAAGCTAGTTGAAAGTAGAAGAGGAAAATCCTATAATTATGCGCCTAACGCTTTTAGAAATATGAAGAAAGGTTACGGTCTCTGGCGAGAAGGATATGTAAAGAATACAATGGTAAAAGCAAATGTTCCTACTTCAAATGGGGAGGTTGTATTTGTTGTAAAGGCGCGTGTTGGTGCATCTATGAAAAGTGTGAGCTACTCTGTATTTGTTCATTTAAATCAGAGAACTGCTGAAGTGGAGTATAGTATTTGTAACTGTAAAGCAGGACAAGGTAGACTACATCCAAGTCATGGCCATTTCGGGCTAATAACCAGGCCACAATGGCTTAAGTGTGTATTTTCTTCCAGTAAAGATTTAGCTTTGTATTTTTCAAGAGCAATCTTCTCATTATCTATACCCCACTTTAGTGGTTGAGGTATATTTTAAAAAAATTTGTTAGATTTGGTGATTGTTTTAAGCAACAATGTAGGGTGTATAGTTTTTCTTCGATTTATAACTTTTCCAAAAATAGAAGCAGTTAGTCTTTTGCACCTTTCATCATACCAAGAAGGACTTTTACTTTGTTCCATTGTATTCATGCATATTTCTTTGGCTTGGATAACTGTGACAAAAACTGTTTTCAACATTACATCCAATTGTTGTTTAGAATGTCCCAAAGGAGGACTATAATCTGTAGCCACATTCTTAAAAATCTTGTTTATAATACACAAAGATGGATCTTCAGGCAAAGACTCCACCAGCTTTCTCCTCTTTATCATTCGATTGCAAGAAGTCTCAAAAGTATTACAGGGCTGATATTCATTTGATTTAAATGCTTCACATAACAATGATGCCCTATTAACTTTTTGAAAGGCATCTGCCATTATTTTGATGTCTTCTTTGGTAAGTTCTTGTGCATATGGTGGAGTCGAGCAGTAGTTCTCTCTAACACCTCTTACAGAATGTTGTTTATTGGTCTTATTTACATCAGCCTTTTCAAAAAGCAAGTGGTCAAATTTTACAGCTTTCTCAAGAGTTTTAGAATTGCCAGATGGTACATTCCATTTTTGAGGTAGCTGAGTACACGTATGTTCGGCAGGAACAGCAGAAAGCTTAAGATTCACAAAGTCTAACACTGTGTAAAGTAACGCTGCGACATGTTTGCAGCATCCACGTTGTCCTGCTTTACAGTTACAAATACTATACTCCACTTCAGCAGTTCTCTGATTTAAATGAACATATACAGAGTAGCTCACACTTTTCATAGATGCACCAACACGCGCCTTTACAACAAATACAACCTCCCCATTTGAAGTAGGAACATTTGCTTTTACCATTGTATTCTTTACATATCCTTCTCGCCAGAGACCGTAACCTTTCTTCATATTTCTAAAAGCGTTAGGCGCATAATTATCGGATTTTCCTCTTCTACTTTCAACAAGCTTATGCTCAAGCTTCTCGTGCGTAAAAGATGGAAGATTAGCAAAGACTTAGTCCAATCTAAGCGGCCAAATGTCGCGAGTTCTTCATCTGGACTTGCAACGGTATTAGAATTTACACCAACTATCTTCGCCTTCGTCGACGTTTCTGGGATTTCCTTGCCATAAGCTTCAGATGTAACAAAGTCCTGAATACCCGTGCAAGAGTTCTGAAAAGAACTAGGATTTTCATTCGTTTGAGTTACCTCTGAAAGACGACAAAGAACAGCTACACACTCACTATCCGCAGTGGCCATGTAGATGTTTACCGTAGTAGCACAGAATAGATACATACAGAAGCGCCACTCGATGTCGGAAGCTTTGATGTTCGTGTCCCCTACAATCCGGGTATTTTAAACGGCGGCCATGTTTCCAGCCAGATGATCTGTGCCTCTTATCACCTATTATTTCACTCATACTGAAGATGGCATCATGAGATGTCGAAACATGTCTATTTTCAAAAAAGTTGTCGTTTATATTAAATGTGAATTATGTTTATCTTAATGAAATGTCTATAAATATTCCAAGTTTGAAACCTTATATGTGCTTTGATAAAAGTCTAATTAGATTTCATAAAAAATAACGATGCATGTTGTTTTTGCGCGTACTAAATAAAACTCTTGATTACTATGCGATATCATGGTACACTAAGATACAACCATACGAAGAGTATAGCAATGCAAAGGAAGCGAGAGCATCAATTTACTCATCTTGTTGCTAAATTACGACAAGTCAAAGCAGAAATTAACGATCGACTTGAAGGTGGTCGACTCCAACGAATATTTCTAAATTATACATATTAATTAAATTGTGCTCTTTGCAACAAAAAGCTGATACACCGAAAGGCAAGGTATGATAACGGAACGCGTTCCCGTTGCTATTGCAAAGAGATGTTTAAACTTGTAGCTACACAAAGATTGTTGCCATTAACTAAAAATGCACTTGCGTGATTCGTTTAAAAATAGGCAATATTTATGTTCCCTAATTACAGTAGGGCCGTAGCTAGAACGTTGAATGAGAGTGTGAATATTCGTGTGTTCAGTTGTAGTCGGCACAACACTTCCCGATCAATTACACCTAACTGCCTAACAGTAAGCAGAACATTTGATATTTACTAATGCAAAGGTTAATGTTTTAATTATTGTAATGATAATGATACATAGTCATGTACACAAAGTAATAATCACAAAGAAAGGCAACTTGGGGGTGCAACGCCTTCTCAAGTCCGCTAGTTGACTTACATGTTTGTAGCAGATTGAGGGGCATTCTTATTCCTAACCACCAAAAGATGACGTCATTCTGAAGACTGATAGAAACTGAGAATATTTAGACATAAGAAATGACGTCATCTCACTTTATTGGTAAGATACTTATGTGATTGTCATAGTCCCATCGCCAAGTATATAAACATTTCTAATACGCACAAAGCAAGCTACGGACAGCTTTTATTCAAATTATTATTTGAATGATTTGTTTATTGTTTATAAATCGTTTATTCTTTTAATTTGTTCATTTGTTGATTTGTTTGTTCTTGTTTTACCGTGTAAACAGTTTTTGATACGTGCAAAGAAATGCAGCGAAATCCTTTTGTAATTTTATTCGCTTAGATTGTGAAATCGTTTCTGTGATAAATAATCGGGGAATGGTATTTCGATAGTATTTTTACTTGAAGATTTAAAGCTGCTACTGTAACTGCAATCATTATGGAAGCTCATCAATACCAAGAGCGCAACATTGCACAAGTCCAACGACATTGGTAAAACAATGTGTTTTCAAAAACTTAAACGACAACAATAACGCTGGCGCGTTAACTGTAAGTTAAAATTTCAAATCATATTGCAATTTTTATTTTGCAAGAAGAAAAGTTGTAAACAGTAACTGGCTTACATTAAAAACGTGAAGAGAAGTGAAACTGAAATCACGACTTCATTTCTTATTCTCACAGCAAGTAACTTGTGCTTTCAACAAACAGAAAACAGACACGTCACTACGTGTGACATTTAATGGTAATATGAGAGTGACTGGTTGTTCATCTGGATGTTGTCGTCGCTGGTTTATAACAATCAACGGTAAGAGAAGTCTATAACAGGAATTACCTAAGTGTAATATACACCTGTCAGGAGTTTTTGATACAGCAAAACACACAATCAATAAATACTCGAAGCATTTTTTAAAAAAGAAAAAAAATATTAAAAAACGACAAAATTAAGTTTTGGGTTTGAAAGATTCTGTCTGTTCTATCGTACTTATTTCTTGGTGCATAGGGAGAGAATGCCAAGTTCCAGCAACAATTGACACACAAATATATGCAGGCTGGTCGGTAAATCGTCACTCTCCAAGTACTTTGGATGGCTTTTGCAATAATATATTTGCAGGGACAGTTAATGTCGGTCTCCCTATAGCAGCCTGTTCTAGAATTACGCATGTTTCCAAATGGTACATTTTGTCTTTTTCATAGTTTTGTAACCTCAATGATTTTAAAGAGTGATGCAATAACAAAACACTTAACGTGAATAAACAACCTCAGAACGCGAACTCGCAACCACATAGCTACGTAGCGATAGTATAGCGTAAACACAACACAATTTTGCAACTAACAACCACACATTTTTCGTTAATAACTTGATAAGCAACTAAAAAACGCAAGACAGCAATCACATTACGCAAACTAGCCGCAAAATAATGCAAATTGTAATGCTCAGTAGCAATCAGTGGTAGTGTAACGCAATAGTTTGTTTTGAATTATATGCGTTATATTGTATATGTTATAAGTTTACACTATGTGGTTGCTATTTTGCGTTTGTTTGTTGGTTATCGTTCGTAATTGCTAGGCTGAACAATGTGCTTGACAAAATTGCAAGCACGATTTAAAATAAAGCACGATCTTGCTGTTTAATAACAACCAAAATATATTCTTTGGAATTGATTCACGAATCATTTTAGGGTTGGATGTAAGATCCTCAGAGGTGTAGTTCTAGTGCCAAGGACAATGAACCTTGTCACATGTTTGTCATTCACACAGCAGAGCATGCAATACAAAGCTTTACGTTAGATAATTTGGTCGCCAAGTGGCGAAACCCAGGAATCTACCAAACCAAACCGGAATCTACCAATGTGACATTCGGACGGTAGAACAACGTTCACCATTGAAAAAGTATTCTTGTCAGTCGGTAGCGTGCAACGTTACGGCGTGATTCTAAAACAGTCGCTGAAGACTTTCCAAACATCTCCCTCGGCATTTAAAACAAAGTTTTGCGAAAATATTTTCGGTTTTCCATCATCATATGACACGGTACCATCAACAAATACCGCAATGGTCGTACTTCCGGGAGAAACTTTTTCTAAAAGATGCACAAAATTTTAATTTTCAATTCTAGGGACTAATGGCTTCTTCTGTAGCTTTAGCAGCAGGCTTACGCACACCGTTTTTGTGGGAGATATTTACAAAGACATTTTCACGACATCTAATGTTGTCACATTAACAGATGCCATCGACGTACGTAAGTATTCAGAACGCAAAGTATGCACGAAATTAACGGACAAGATCAATTTTCTCTTGTTTGTGATGTGCATGGAAAAATCTTTAGTGTTCGTGTAAACATATCACAACAAGGTTTTTTTATCAAGTAAAACACAGAGCCCTCTATAATAGAGGGCTCTGGTAAAACAGCTTCCGTGGGAGCTGTTAAATTATGAGTATCAATAGAATCGAATTGGTATTCTATTGCAAATGCTTTAATTTGATTGGCCACTTTACCCACTGTCGCAATTGATAACAAGTAACAAAAACAACAGAGAGCGTGTAGCAAAAACACATTGGTTTCCTGTTTGCGCTTTTCTTAGGTTTCTGAAGATGAACTTTGTTCACTTGAGAAAGCAATTGCAGCGAAGACTAGAATCGCCGCAAAACGTGGCGTTATATTTACGAGTAAAAAACTATGCATGGAGCAAGAGTCGTTCGCTTTTTAATAAAGATGTCAACAAATGCATAAAACGACGAATTATGAAAACCTAAAGTTATTGACGAATTATGAAAAACAGGAGTAAATTTTAATAAAAAAATACAACCAAATGTCAAATAATTTTTTATATGCTCATTCAGGCTAGACCACCCAGTTTTACATGTATCATGGAAAGATGCATTGACATACTGCAAATGGCTTGGTAAATGGCTTCCTACCGAAGCTGAATGGGAGTATGCCTGTCGTGGTGGATTGCATAAAAAGTGCGGAAGAATTTCACCTCTTATTTTGTATTTAATGCCATTGCATAGGGGTTATTATAGGGGAAAGGGAAGGAAAAAGAGAAGGGTGAATTTCAAATTTTGTAAAAATGAATGCGTATAGCGGATGTTGTCTTTTTAAAGCAAGAAACTTCTTTAATGGCTTTTGGACAGCGAAAAAGGTTTGCTTGATTTTTAGTCATTTATGGTTTTATATTATGTATATATATTAGAAAAAGAGCAATTTTTTGCGTTTGTTCAAACAAATTTACCTGCAAAAGCTTCGTTGTGCTACGTACAAAAACATAAGATTTCATTGCACCCTCCACCTCCTTCACCCTATTAACTGCCTAGTTAAATTACTTTAATGAACTGATATTTTTCAATTCTTGTAATGTTGTTCTACAAAATCTCCTTGATTTTGACATGCTGGAAGAGGACTGTTCTTTAAATTTTTCAACAGTTAGCCGCAAAGCACGTATCTGTCAAAAGCCCCTGCTCTTCAGCCACTTCTCGTTGTGAAGAACTTGTCCTCTACTAACGCCTCATCACTTCAAAGCAAAATGTCGACATTATTTCTATTGCTTTATCATGGCTTGGAAATAAAGACGAATATTGCTTTAAATCACGTCTCTTCGAATCTTGAGTTTACAAGATGATGTTTTGTGAAGTGTGTTTTATCTTTTAAGTTTCTATGTTCTCTATGAATTAAATTTGCGATTTCTTCAACTAAATCACGTTCTTCCAACGAACACGTTGCCATTTTCATTTTTGTAAATGCCACATGACCAAGATTTGGAACAAAGGAATAAAATTTCGTAGAAATTATTAGGCATTTAGTAACTTTTTCGAATTGTTCATGGCATTTTGATGCATTAGACTCACGAGATTTGCGTGGTTTTAAATATACCTAACCTTTGGCGTTTGGTATGTATGTGTATATGTAGGGTGTTTCCTTGGGGAAATATTTTTAAAGTTGAAGGAAACATCGTTGTAATACGTGGCAAGGAGAGTTCCCCGTTCAGGACACGGCGGAAGACGGATACGCGGGAACAGCACCTGTGTGGAAATTCAAACAAAATGACTATAATCTTCATAACATGGTGGGCAACGTTTGGGAATGGACTGCTGACTGGTGGGACATTCGTCATTCATCAGAAACTAAGGAAAATCCCGTGAGTATTTATTGATTTGAAATATAAAAATCTTGAAATATACTTACTGCACTGATGAGTCATTGAAAGATCCAGCTAGCGAGGAATTTCGAGTTTTCCGTGCAATACTTTACCATGCAGGTATAGACAGAAAATTGTACTATCACCATTATCACAACACTTTGAAATTATATTGTAGAAGTAAATTTGAATTAGCTGACCAATTACCAAGTCTTTCTTGTACATAAAATTTGTTTACTACCCGTTTTTCGAATCTTTAGCGATGAAATTATATTTCTAAACAGCTATTTATAATGGTCAACTTTGTACTAATCCTGTGTCTTTGTTAGCGCAACGTCGTTTTCTTTAATGTGTAGATTGGTCCAAGCGATGGTGTTGATAGAGTAAAGAAAAAAGGTTCATAAGGTAAAATACTTTTGACGAAATCAATTTTTTTATTTGAATTTTTTTGGCTATATTTATACTGGAAAGAAGAATGTACCCGAATATGAATGCCCTCCTTAATCATCATTATAAAAAAAGTGCTTGTACGAGCGTTAATATAATCAAGCTTAGCGTCATGAATTAACGGGAATTCGCGTCTTGTTTTGTAACTTATATAGAGCTTGGTAAAATGCATGTAATCTCGGGATCTGATCAGACAATTTACATAACGGCAAATGAAAAGTTTCATTTTTTTAAACTCGTTTATCTGATTGTTTCGAACATTTTTCAGTCGTTTTGCTATCGATACAGATGTGCTGCTCGGAGTAAGAATACGCCAGATAGCTCAGCGTCGAATTTGGGATTTCGCTGTGCTAAGGATGTAGCGTGAGATGCATATTTCATGAACCATCCTCTTCTAACTTATGTCATTGTAAATTGACTCATTATTGAAATGAATGGTGATTACGCTTTTGTTTGAGTTGTTTTCTCTAAATATTCTCATTTTAACTACATCTGGTCCATGGTCATGGCATGGTTACATGTTTACACCTTAAGCGTTAAAACAATTAAAGCTTAAGCCTACATTTAAGTGAAAGTATATTTTATTTCGTTGAAATTTACTTAGCTAACTACAAGAGCATTTTGAACCGTTTTTTGTATACATCGCATACTGTGATTAACTCGAGATGATTTCGATTGATCAAATCATTCAAGAGAAACCAAGACTCATTTGTACCGACGTATTATAATATGAATAAAAAACGAATTACTCCAATTCCTACTTACTCCAATCATATATATTTAATTCAAATCTGGTGCAAGTGAAAAGTGGTTCGATCCGCTCTTTGGTCGGGAAAATACGTATGTTTCTGAATGTTAATGTAGGATGTACATTAAATTTATGTACGTTCTGCAGTTTATACAAGAAAATATATTAGTTCTGCAATAACATCCCTGCAACTTTTTGACAATGTCTACAATGAAGTAGAGTAATGATATCATTGATATGTTACGGCTTCGCGCTGACTGGAGTGTTTTGGAATGGTATAAAATGAACAGCAGCCAAATCTGATAAAGAAATTGTGAACTCGAGAAAAATTCAGTAAATGTAAACAAGGCATCATTCATACTTAATTCAAGATATCTGAAGTATCAAACTCAAACAAATTTTCTGTGCAACTGTAGATCTAATTTGAAAATATTTTAACTATCCATGCAATATCGATATGAAGAACGATTATAGAATACTCTGCTACATACTTATGAGCCTAACCACATAACCCTGCCTGATTGTTATTGGCAGGCAATGTATTCTTTAATTACTGTGCCAATTTTAATACAACATTCTGCATTACAAATTATCTCATTCAGACCTGAACAAGTGATAATCATTAACACTAGAATAAATCAGTGGATTCACTGCTTACAGACAACGCTGTGCAGCTACGAGTCTAAAGAGTAATTAACGTTATCTGGCAAGTGACTTGTCATAAGATAAGAAAATACTGAAAAGATGAATGTTGATATTTGCATATTACCTATTGTGATGAAAATCAGCAATTTTATAACAAAAGAGTTGAAACAAAGTCAATGATAAGCTGATGGGAAGTGTTAATTTCTATGTAAGCAGACTAGAATGTACTCATGGACTCAACAGCAGGCCGTATAAAAGTTCTTTGTTAATTGTGACGTTGACATCAGCAAAAGCCAAAATATGTCCTAATTAAGCGTTGTGAAAAAATAATGATTTCAAGCAATGTTTGCTTGCTCAACGTATATAAAAAATTATATAGTGGATTTAAAGTAATTCATTATTCAAAGCATACACTTGTATAGTTATAGAGTTAAACCAAAAGAGATATTGATACCAGCAGAGCTGGAAATACTATGAAATGCAGATTAGTACTCACGAGATAATATAGTTCAAATGCTAAATGGCAATAATTCTGTTGTAATGATTCTCATAAAAAATACACTTCTTATAATTTCTCTAATTATCTTAACGGTAAACTGCACTAAATGGAATTATCTTTATAGCTCGATCAACTGATTTTATTTTGACTCTGGGCACAGTAATTAAATTTAATATACAGTCTAATATAGTACCGTCTTAAGGCTGCTTTCCACTGTTGCGTTTTTTTTCCGTGCGTACATCCATAGATAAAAACGCACGGATTATTAATCTCCAGTGTTGCGTTTTGCGTTGTGCATAAATTTAATGCGTGCTGCAATTCAAAATGGCGTCGAAAGAGGAGCGAAAATTAGCAATTCTACTTTTGCTTCGCCAAAGACGAAAACGAAGGAATAAATACAAAAAAAGGTTTTGGATTAAAGATATTTTAAAGCGGCGAAAAGAACTGGAGGAATACCATCGCCTCATTCAAGAAATGCGGTTAAATGATCCTGAATCATTTTATCAATACTTTCGGATGACCCCTTCGCGGTTTGATTTACTTCTTGGTCTGGTTGGGCCATACTTGAAAAAGAATTCTTTATACCGCGAGCCTGTGAGTCCTGAAGAACGCCTCGCTGTTACTCTTCGCTTTTTAGCAACAGGCGATTCTCAACAAAGCATAGCATTCAGTTTTCGACTTGGCCATGCTACTGTGACCAAAATCCTAGAGGAGTCCTCCGAAGCTTTGTGGTCTGCGTTGCAACAGTTTATCAAGCCTCCAACGACAACAAGCGAATGGGAAAAAATCGCAACAGATTTTTGGCAGTTGTGGAACTTCCCAATGTGTTGCGGAGCCATTGATGGCAAACATGTAGTCATGCAATGTCCCTCTCGGGATGGTTCGTCATTTTTTAACTATAAAGGTAAATAAGAGTTCTTAGATAACGATATACATTGTAAATTTACTGCTTACATGTTGGACAAGTCAAGTGAAACTGCATGTTTGTGAATATTGTGATTAAGCGAGTATGATTTTTTAACAATTTTTTATTTCCATGTAGGAACACATAGCACTGTTCTGTTGGCAGTTTGTGATGCTAGGTACTTGTTTACTCTAGTGGAAATTGGCAGCTCAGGCAGAAACCAATCACTAAAGCAATCACTAATAGACGTATAGACTAATAGACGTATAGGGTTTTGTAAGAGATAGATGGATCCAATGAATAGTATTTTTAACCCAAAACAAAATCATGAATTTTTATTATGATAGTGACGCGTGTTATTTCTTGTTGGCTTCAGCAGTATGCTTCAAGTGTGCATACGTAGAAACAAAGACTTTATTTATACCCCAAGCCATTTATCCACGACCTACTACCATTATTTGCTTTTTTTGGAGCTTTGAACAAATGAGCAGAAGTGTTGACAGAAACTTTGTTTAATTTTGCTGAAGGAAAAAGAGAACGAGAGGATCGAAGAACACACCACGGAGAAAATCGAATTAAGTATATTCCATTCTTTATAATTTCATAATTTTATAATTTTATCTTATTTATGTAATTTTAAGGATACAGCACGAACATTAATAGCTGACCTATTGTAAATAATTATTTATACAAATATATGGTACATACTGAAGTTGTTATCCAGTCAAAACATTTGTGAATAACGATGATAAGAAACAATAATCTTTATTCTTTACATTTATTTAAGAGAGTAATTTAAGAATCAATCACAGAACTTCCGTTTCAGTAAGTGAAACGTGTCATTTCTGTGAGCTGGCATGATATGGCATAAATACATCAGTGAGCTGAGCATGATATACTTTACCATTCACTATTGATCGGTTTGCTGTTGGAAGCTTAGCAAAAATAATTCATATCTGCAATACATAATGAAGATATCACTTCAATTTACTGTGCTCGTGATTCTTTTCAATGGATACCCAAGTCTGGTTGAGGTACGAATGAGTTTCCTATGATTTTGTTTTCTGAAATTCGTACACATTTTCCGTCCGTCTAGCATGCATTGTTGTTCACGGTTAAACTTAGCACTCACAACGTAGTTGGGTTTAGCAACATGCTTCGTAACCTAGAGTTTTGGAAACAGGATTAAAGAGAACGATAATTGATGGGGCGTTATAAATCAACAAGAGTTATACTTTGCAAGTTACAGTCCAGCCTAGATACAATGATATGATTTTTGAAAGTCTATGGCACAAACACCATCTCATCACAGCATTTATATGAACTACAAACTGAGCTCTTAAATGACAATAAGCAAAAGAGTATTTGGGTTTATGTTGGCAAATATATGAGCTTCTCGTAACATTATCATTGTACATTTACTCTGCATAAAAAATAGGGCCGTAGAACTAACAAGGCGCGACAAAAATATTTCTTTTTGTCATAAGATAGACAAAGTTTTTTGACATTGCACATCCATGGATAGTATAGCCAATCATAAGAATATATATAAGTTTTACTAAAACGATGAAAAAAGCTTGACAATTCCAAGACCCAAAGAGCAAAGTACAAGTGCAGCAGTTAGACTTAATAATTTTCAATCGAATGATTCATTTTAACTTAATTCATTATACTTTGTTGGTTATTTCGAGCACCCAATGCAAACAATTTTTCGATTAAATATTTAACATGCAAAACAGTCTAGCATAATTCCTTCAAGCTTCCTGGTTTAACTACATATGTCTAAATGAGAGAGAGTGACAACTAGAGGTTTAATATTTCTTCATTTTAAGAGTGCAAGCTGTAGCTGTAACTGCAACGACGGAGGAAGCTCTTGTCCAAAAACGCAATACTACACAAGCACAAAGAGATTGGTAAAACAATGCGTATTTAAAAGCATAAACGACGATAGAGACGTCGGTGCACTCACTGTAAGTAAAATTAAAACTGCAGTGCAAAATATTTGTGAGAAGAAAGCGTGTGAAAAGTTTACTTTCGTAAAAGACTAATGAAGAATAAAACAGAAATTAAGACCTTTCTAACAATGATTCAACTTGTTCTTCGTAGAAACTCTCTTGTGATTTCAACAAAGAAAAAACAGATACTTCACTACGAGTGACATTCAACGGTGTTATGAGAGTGATTGGTTGTTCTTCTGGATGTTGTCGTCGCTGGTTTATAACAATCAACGGTAAGAGAAGCCTGAGAAGGATGTACAATAGAATTAGAGCAAGAATTCTAGATAATGTCATGCAGGCAGTTTGGACTTATTCAAGTAGAACACGTGTTTTTAAAAATAGAAAAGAATATTCATATTAAAAGAAACGATACAATTGATAAAAAAAATTATGCTTGAGCTTTCAATACACAATGTTATGTTGCCAGGTTTTTGTGGAAAATTTATGCTACTTTCCGTGTGATCGTACATGCATGCTTGACCAGGATCTGCTTCGATATTCAATACAATTCATCTGTAATTAAAAATTTTGACTGACACAGTGTTAAAACTGCTGCATTATGCAGCATATGTCTTCACAACTGGTGCATGGTAAGGTACTTCCAAAACAAAAATCGTGATACACTATTCATTGACGCATAGGTAAAGAATGCAAAGATCCAGCAACAATTGACTCATTGATATGGGCAAATGGTTCTGTAAATCGTCACATTCCTGGTGTAATTGATGGCATTTGCAATAACATACCAGCAGGACCAGTGAGAGTCGGTCTGTCCATAGCAGCCTGTTCTGGATATAGGGGCAACGGTTACACCGGTTGGAATTCCGTTTCGCGTATTTTAATCGAAGAAATGTCGATATAGTGAAGAAGATAAACTTTATTACTTCAATAATCGCATGGTCATCGATACAAGTTTTGAACTGAATAAATACGATTTATGAAAGAGATCACTCGCATTTTCTTGATTAAAAATGCATTATAGTCATAAGAGGCAAACCGAAGATATTTTTCTTCAGTATGTGACTACAATCAATCCCGAGTGGAATTTTAATTTAAATATGGAGACAGCAAGTCCCTCCGATTCGCAAGAGGCGCAACACTCAAAAACCTAACTTTGCTTGACAGTTTAATCATGGTCATAAAAACTCAACATTTTTTAGGATTTTGCATGAATTTGGTAACAATAATCGTGGGTTGGTTTTTTTTATAGAAAACTTGGTGTTGACATGTTTAAAAACTATTAGCTCAAGCACTTCCTATACAATAAAAGTGTTCGTATTACGATATATTTCAGCAGAAAAAACACTTTGAACATAAAAGTAAGTTTTTATTACGATAAAAGAAAAACAACGAACGTCGTGCGAACGTACGCATGCGCCCACGATATAACCTTAAACATAGTTAATACTTCACAAGAATGTTGAGTGTAATTTACAACAAAAAGTTTATTTGAAAATGTCCTGTTCCTCCTTGAATGTGCCATAATAAATACACAATAAGAATATTCTGCATTCATGACTATCAAAACATTCATTAACAATTGCTTCCAGAGGGCAAAACAAACACAAGCCACCCATAAGACAACTCCTCTTCAATGCTTTTAAAAGAAATCCAAAGGGCTTTTTATCTATTTTGGTTTTGCAGACATGGCCATTATTTGTTTGTCTCATTCAAATGCAAGCGAACGTCCATTTCAGATCTCTGTATCTTCGTACATACATCCACATGCAGAACGTCGACCTTATCTGTTGCACAATACTGACAAACACATGAAGAGCTACTAAGTCCGCCTTAGCTACTTGTCTAAATATTTTGTAATTGACGTCGATTTTTAAAGTATCTCATGTATAAGTTTAAAAGAAATACTCGTGACAAACAGCAATTTAATTGAGCTAAGTTCACCTATAGGATGACTCATGCCGCAACACAATAGGTAAACACAATGTGACAACTGAAAATGGGTTCTTGCTGCATGCTTTTCTTACATAATTTGCAAGCTATCATTTCTGTATCTCGCATAGTAGCAATTACTTTTGCTTTAAGCATCAATGTACTTCAATATGAGCGTGGTCAATGCACAATTGCAACAAAAATTGAAAATATAAAATTGACATTGAACAGAGATCCACCCAAAGATCAAAAACGGCAGTCGATTTGACGTCGGTCATTGTAGATTTTATCTTGAATTTTATGCATTCAATTGCGTCGTCACTCAACAAATATGATTGAAATAGTTTTTAAGCGAACATGCTGTTTTCTAGGTAACCTCATCGAGTATTCCAGAATTCTCTCTTGCAAACATATAGCCTGTAAAAAATATTTCCAACTCTTGCAATGAAAATGAATTTTTCAAAAGTGGGAATTACCGAAAAGATATTTCTTGAGAAGACATTTCTAGAGAGAGAATGAGGTAAAAGTAGGACTTACGTTCATTGGAAACACGTCATGTTGTAAACAGCTCCGAAAATTTTACATTAATGCACATGTGATGACTGAAGTTATGCAGCACCGTCTTATGTTGTTAGCGTTATTCACTTCGTTAATACCGCCACGATTGATCAACTGTGTGTTGTAAAACTTCGCTCAAATCAAATCACTTTATATCTGCAATACATATATATACCATGAAGTTCTCATCTTCCATTGTTGCGTTCTTGATTTTCATTACAGGATATCGAGTATAGTGGAGGTACGAATATAATTGTGTATGATTTAAATCAGTATCTTGTTGACAGAGGCATGTTGCTTGAATGTAAATATACCACGTTTAATATACTTGTCCACGTTTTCCAGCCTTCCTGTCGTAGAAAGTTTTTTTTGCTGTGAAATCGTCCAGATACAGGCAGTTCACGAATTATGTTTATATAATTTCGTAAAAGCACTATTGCCAATACACATTTAATATAAACGACAACTTTTTTGAAAATAGACATGTTTCGACATCTCATGATGCCATCTTCAGTATGAGTGAAATAATAGGTGATACAAGGTTTATATAAAAGTAATATGATACATAAATTACAGCAATGAAAAGGAAATAGGATAAATTAATGAGGAGCGTCCGAGCGTATTATAAACTAAATCTTGTATTGAATTTAAAAACTTGAATATTTAGGTCAGGGTTAGTTTTGTTAATGTGGAGTGCTTCTTTGATTTTAAGGGTGAATGAGGTGTCGGCAACCAAATGTCAACAACCAAAGATGTCGACAACAACCAAAGGTGTCGGCAACCAAATGTCAACAACCAAGATAGCTTTGCGATACGCAGACGACTATTACGCAGCGCAATCAAAAAGCGAACAAAGGAAGAAAAGAAGTTATCGAATGAAGTAACAAAAATATCAGAAAGTTTAAAGTACGGTGGCTCACAAGGGCCACCACACAAAATAAAATATTAATACACACACAAAATAAAAATACACACACAAAATACATTATACACACACAAAATAAAAATACACACACAAAATAAAAATACACAATACAAATATGATTGCGGGCGCTTGCAGTGTCGGATGGTCTGACTTTCATATTATCAGTTTATAATCAGATATGTGTAATTCACTAATTGTGATTTTAACATGTGGTCGACTTGTCGTCGTATTTAACTGTTTCAACAGCGAAACATTTGAAATTACATTTGGAAAGGAATCGAAAGCAAGCTCTTGCATAATCCTGGCATAATTATGTTTTGTGCCAACTGTGGTGCACAATCACTTGACGAAGCTTCTTTTTGTCACAAATGCGGTGTGCGTTTGGGAAGATTAACTTCTTTGCCAAAAGGTTCTGAAGCGTCAATGACGAGTAGCGTCTCTTCAAGCAGTTGCCCTTCGAGCTCTGCAAGTCCGTTAACTTCAACTTCAAGTACCCCAAAGCTGTTTATAACAAATACAGGACAGGCTAGAGCAATAATGTCCTTTCAAAGGACAACACATTAACCTTAATTTTAACCAGAATACGGGGAGCAATATCGTAAGCAACTTTGAAATAATTGATCACAGTGAAATCAGTGAATTTTGTTATATACTCTGGAAGTTGGAACCATTAGAACTTTAAAACAAATGCGATCAATTACGAGCAATTCCGAGTAAGCCGACACTGCAAGCGCCCGCAATCATATTTTGTGTGTGTATTTTATTTTGTGTGTGTATTTTTATTTTGCGTGTGTATTTTTATTTGTGTGTGTATTTTATTTTGTGTGTGTATTTTTATTTTGTGTGTGTATTTTTATTTAGTGTGTGTTTTTTTATTTTGCGTGTGTATTTTTATTTTGTGTGTGTATTAATATTTTTATTTTGTGTGGTGGCCCTTGTGAGCCACCGTATTAAAGAATATTTTCACATCAATCAAAATCAAAAACGTTTTCTCATTCAAAGACCCAATCCCTGATTCAATTAAATCTATGGTGGTATATGAATTCAATTGCGCGGTATGTAATTCCCGATACATTGGCGAAACTTCGCGCCATTCACCAGAATCAGGGAACATACTACAACAGACTATAATTCTCATATCTACCGACACCTTCTTAAATCTCACTCATGTAAAACCAACTATTCACCCTCTTGCTTCAAAATCATCGACACCGCCGACACCTCATTCACCCTTAAACTCAAAGAAGCACTCCACATTAACAAAATTAACCCTGACCTCAATGTTCAAGTTTTTAAATTCAATACAATATTTAGTTTATAATACGCTCGGACGCTTCTCATTAATTTATCCTATTTCCTTTTTATTGTTGTAATTTATGTATTACATTACTATTATATAGACCTTGTAGTAGCGTGACTACTGTGGTAGTAGCGTGACTACTAAGACCAGAATGCACAGCGCGCATTTTCATTAAAAATTAATAAGGCATATGGTCTATTCGGATTTTTTCCAAACCCTTTTCCCAATAAGTAAGACGATAAGGCAAGAACAGGAAATTGTCACCTGAGAAGAAATATCTACGGTTCTCGCAGTGCTACCGGCGTGCTACGCCTGTTGCTGTTATGTAAACAATGTTCACACCTCATATGTCCAACAGGAGGTCATTGTTCCTAACTGTTGGCTTCTCATTGGCATTATCTGTCTAACCGCAGTTGCCAAACCAAAAAAGTTGCCGTTTATCTTAAAAATTTATAGTTTTATAAGCACTACTGGATATAGCACAAGTCAGCCATTTCATCGTTCAATCATCATTATTAATCTATTACCCCGGTTATTAATACCGGGTAATATTCTCCGACAATGAGATCTACGAACTATTTACCAGATCAATTCATCAATGTGTCGTCGTCAATTTGGTTCAACGCAGTGGAAGATATGAACTCGAATTTTGAGGAGATTTTTCAGGTAATTTAGGTATTCAACATGAATTATTCATCCATCCATAAGTAAATTACGCAAATGAGTGGAAATTTATCTTCATTGGCGAGTGTGTCATATGGTTGTATTTAATATTTAATTGTGTGTTTATTGAAATCAAGTGAAGTTTGTCGAAGCACTTGACAAATTAAATGAGTAAACTAATATCGATCGATACACATATGTATGGCTGTGCATAACTGCCGTCTCTTTTCGAGTGGTTTGCGCGTAAAATTATCTTCAAAACTGTATCGAACTTTGTTGATTTTCTAACGACTTCCGGTTTTCGTTCTTTTTTTCTTTGCAATTACCATTTATAGCTCGCGAGCCGCGCTTTCCTACTTGTTGATATTTGTGAACTGAAATTATCAATTTCTACAGTTTCATTTGCTGAAGGATGATATTGTACGACTCAATTCCACTTAAAGGTATTTACCATTTATAATGACAAAAAGCGTGACGATGGGTCTTAATACATGAATATGAGAACAAAGCTTTGTAATTCATTTCCCTCACAACCGATAAATCAACGCAATGTTGGCAACCCAATGGGCTTTTAAAATGAGTAAGAGTTGATTCGGGATCATTAATTAATTTTAGCGTAAAAATGAGTTTGTTTTCTAATTGGTATGCATTATTACTTGAAGCTATTTTATTGACTAAAAAATAAAAGCCATATCATGTGACAGTCGCTCTCTGATATTGGTCTCACAAGAAATGACCAACAGCCATTTAACTGTTAGGTTGATCAAAGTTGATTACTTGTGATGATTTCTAGTCTTCATGGTGAAAGTTTTCCTACTTTCACTTTGAAAGTCAAGGATGATATTGAATTAGAACTTACTATATATAACATAGGAAATGAAACTGTTTGGGTGTATGAAATAGCAATTCATGTCTGATTCAATACCGAAGCCTAAAATATGTTGCAGTAAAGTTAACAGCATCAGTGATGTAGCCAGGCAGCCTGTTTATTTACTTCTACATTGCAAATGTTTTGAACTATCACTCTAAAATAAATTTTTGAAGAATAATGATATGTTTTTGAAATTTACACAGCAGGATTACAACATGTCAGTTGGATATGTCAGTTATGAAGGTCAAGTCAAATGGCACATTGTGATGAGGAACAATATTTGTACATAAAGCATAAACATGTCTCCCTAATTCATTTGCTGTTGACAATTTGAAACTTAGCTTTCTTCATTAGTTATCTTCATGAAGACACTAAAGTTAGTCAAATGGAAGCATTTTTCATTGTCTTTATGAAGAAATTAAAGTTAATCAAATGGAAGCACTTTTCATTGTCTTTGTGAAGATATTAAAGTTAGTCAAATGGAAGCACTTTTCATTCTCTGCATGAATATCACCCATTGAACTAAACATAACTGGAAGGCTACCTTCTCCTGGAAATATGAAGCCAAAGTTGAAACCGAAAAAAGACAATAATTTTCCTTGCTGTAGCTTTGCCAAAATTCCTGTTGTAAACATGTTGTTTATTATTAACTTGTCCACTTTGTTTACAATCACGCATCGCGAGGATGAACTCGCGTGATTTGACCCTCACACAAGCGTGTCTGAAAGTCAGATCACGCAAAATTTTGGCTTCATTTCGTGTGTTACAGATATATCAGTAGGTAGCCTTCCAGTATTGTATTTACGTCAATGACATCATTCGTCATTTCCTATCATTACAATTGCCTAATCTGAATTGTAGGGATGGCTGGAAAAAGAGGAGTACAATAAGACCAAAGGCTTTCTCAAGAAAAGCAAGTACTGGAAGAAATATTTCTGCGTTTTGCGACGTTACGAAGGTGACTCCAATGTTTATCTCCAGTGGTTTGACAAGGAGGAGGACTGGAGAAAAGAATATCCCATAGGCACTTTCGGCCTTTTTCCGAAATACGCCGTCTACAAACACAAAGTGGAAAGGGGGAAGAATCATTTTGAGATTTCCAACGAAGAAGAGGCTCATTATTTTTTGTCAAGCAACGAGAGGACGATGGATTTGTGGGTCATACAACTTATGATGCAAACTCGACTCAGCTCTTCCATGATTGGTAAGATGATAAGGATTCAATACAGTACCGACCTCGAGTAACATGACTTGACTCGTGAGTATCGAATGGCGAGTGGGGAGTGAATTGCGAGTCACTCGAGAGTGACGAGTTGCGATTGAGCGAGTGACTCGCGATGCAGTTGCAAGTCACTTTCGAGTGTGAGAAGTTTGCGAGTGAATAAGTGACTCGCTGTTTGCGAGTGGATAAAATAACTCGCAAAAATTTCTCTCTTCAGTATTTGAAATTGACAAACATAATCTTAAGTGTAGTGACAAGTAAAATTCGTTCAACATTTTGAAGGCAACGGTTTTATATCTTTTTATGAAACATGGGAGCAAAACGACTATTCATTTGAAGCAATATCTCGGGACCTAATGACAATGATATTAAACCTTGTGTATAGGAAAACCACGTGTATAGTAAGGCCTGTATCTCCTCTGCAAAGTGTTCTCAGTTCAACAACTGGGTTAGCTTTGCTTTATCTTCTATAATAACTGAAGCAGTAAGCCCAGCACACGAGCACTTGGTCTGTAGAATCAGTACTTGCAAAATATTACTTTCTTTCACTGCATGTTCATCGATTCCCCATCATGCTCATGCATTCCACTCGTATATTGACTTTTTTTTGAAAAACCGCGTTTGTTGTATTTTAGCATCAAGCTTTAGGGTGAAAGGTGACGACAGCGACGAGAGAAAAGATATGCAAAGAATCGGTGCCAAGAGCCTAAATTGTCTACTGCATCTGTCGGAGTGGGGTATGACCATTGCCTTGGAGAGGACCCACTCCGTTCTCTCTCAATGGCCGCTGACCACGATAAGAAATTTTGAATGCACGGACAACAACGAGTTTATGTTTGAAGCCGGTCGGAAATCGCCAATGGGAGAAGGCAAATACAAGTTTTCTACCTACAACAACGAAGATAACGCCATATTTGATCTTCTTGATCATTACACTACCATGAGAGCGCGTCGCATCAAATCTCCAGGATCGAGAAATCGATTGGATTCAGCGAACGATGATGAGATTGCTCAAGCATACGGGCAGTTACGTTGGAGCGTCATGTTGAGCCCTTCACAGTTAAATCTCGGAGGTATGGTCTATGATCGACGAATACCTTAAATCAATTATAGTTTCGGAATTCTTGAGTAATTAGACGACGAGACTACGGCAGTGACGTAGTCGGAGGGGCCAGTCGCCAGTTCCCATCCCCTGGTGAAATCTCCCCCCCCCAAAAAAAATATGATGTGTATAGTACTTAATTTACGTTCTTTTTAATGACAGTCACGGTCCCCTTTCTTTTTAACTGAGTCCTTTGCGGAAAATCTTAGCTACGCCACTGCTGAAAGTAAGTTTGTTAATAAACCAATGTTTTTCACAACTATTTCAGTGATTCCCGGAATGCCCAGTCAACCACAAGACATCGCTCCGATTAGACAACCTAAAGACAATGGTATTGTTCGCCACGGAAACGGTCAGACATCTGTGAACGGAGCAAGCAATTCATACAACCACCTAGATTACTTTGGTAGTCTGGAAGAAGTTCTGCAAAGATCGAGAAGCAGCTGGGGTAATGCCAATAACAAACGCTCAATACGGGAACAGAGAATCGGGGACTCTTACGACCATCTGGAACGTACGAATAGCTACAACGGAAGTCCTTCAGCGGTTGAAAACCGATCGCATTCTCTTAGCAGTGTAGATGGACGAAACCGCTCTGGGTTTTCGAGTCCGCCACCAGAATACAGTCGTCTGTCGAGAGAGCGTATTGCATCGTTGCCAAGCAAAAGTCCAAATTCGGAATTTTATGATCGACTGGATAAGGATAAAGTGGAAAGGAAGCACGCTTCGTTGCCAAGGAACAGTAGCGCGGGAAGTTCAGTTTTCTATGACAAACTTGATCGATCCATGGCTAGCATACATCAGGGTCCAGAGACGAACAGTTATGACCGGCTGGACAGTATGCAAGGAAGCGAGGCGGTCTTGAATAAAAGTTCAACGGCTAGTCCTCCTTCATATGTAAGTAAAATTTGTGATTGATGATTCCTTGCTGTTGCAGTAGACTCATGTTAGATTGATTTTTTTTTATTCGTAGAAGGGAAAATGGACTAAGTTGATAATATTTTGTATAACTTTCATCGTTGAAAAGGCAGTCTCAAGCGTGAATTGAACTACGCATGCTTTGAACGAGTTCAAACTATCTTTCTTGCCCGTCGTTTGTACAAACGCAGTTTCAAAATCAGAACATTTTTTTAGGATGCTAACGAGTACGATGTGTTTGGAAATCCGAGAAAATACACACCAAAGTCCTACGAATTTCTGCCACAAAGTGGTTCAACCACCGAAGAACTTCCTCCTCCCATTCCCAGTAAACCTTCATTCATGTTAAAAGGCCAGAAAACGGCCAGTCCAGTGAAACCCGGACCCAGTCCACCAACAGACTCCGCTTCGCAGAAACAAGATGAACCTCTACCACCTACACCTATGGTTGATATGGTTGCATCAAAAACTACTATCCAAAATGGATCCGTACAATCCATAGATATCAATGGAAGCACTTTATCTTCCAATGGGGACACCCAGCATTACCAAAGTATTTATGATGAATCTTCCTCCGGTGTCAACGGATCACATTATCAGACTGTCGATGATCAGAAAGAAAATTCAGAATACACAGAACCACTTCCTAGAAACAGCATTCATTCCAGCAATCCCAACTTGAACAAGATCACTAACGAAGGGAAAGGAAAGTTAGACCCATCTAAAAAGCTTACCCTACATCGTAGCGCCCCTTCGCTAGCACATTATTCCACGGTCAATAAGAAAACCAAAGGTTCGCCCAGGTTGACGAAGGCGAGCAGTACATTTAAGCTCTTCAAGAAGATCGGAAGATCTTCAAAGAAGGAGGGACCCACATACGAGAAAATACCGCGAAGAAGCAAAAAAGGATCAAAAAAGGACTTGACAGCGATATCGACGTCAAATTTGAGGCAGGACGATGATGTATCGTACGTTGATGTAGACGGAGAAGAAAGCACGCTGGCAAGAAATTCAAGAACATCCACTGCATCAAGACCACTTCCATCACTACCGCAGAGGTCAAGTTGGAATATATAACGAGAAGAAAAAGGTTTAACCGACTCGAGATTTCCAAGTGCTGTTTTTGGCAAGACGGGTGGCGGCTTTGAATAAGTCTTCAAGTAGTTTTTATGTATTGTCATGACAGATTTTTAATTTTGAAAATAATTTGAAAATGAAAACGAGTGCGCTAATGCTTTTTATACTCAATATTTGCGTAAATGCAGCGCAAACAAATTTTTAGTACTTTTAAAGAGGTGATTTTTTTAAAACAAATAAACGCAGATCGAATAAATATTTTAATTATATCGCATTCGTTTACGTTTATGTTTACATGAAGTTTTCCAAAGCTGGTGAAGATTCGCTTTTCGCTTGCGAGCCCTCGTGCCCATTGCTCATTTGCAGGTTGCTATGGTTACAATGTAGAGATTTCATAGAAAACGACCATAATGTATTGTTTCATTTGACAAATAAATACAAAATGGAACTTGAAGAGGTAATGCGATATTTTTTCAATGTTATTTACGCATATATAGGATGAAAACACCGAACAAACGTAGGGTTTGTCTCTTGAATGAAATTTCAAATTTCTACGATCTTTATGACTTTCTCCTTTAGAAATACTTTTAATATCAGAGTTGCTCGTAGATTTGACACTGGCGATTTTTGGTAATATTGCAAATATAATAATGCTAGCCAAAAAATGTGCAAATCAACTATAATTACGATGCAACTTAGGGGTATAAATTAAATGCCCTATGATATTTGATAAATGTTTCTAAGTATCAATGTGTTAGAGCTGTGGGGATGTGTTGCAGTGTTAATTATAAGCCATGCAAAGTCCCTTCATCTATAAACTTTACTGACTCACATTGAAGGGGCACCCCATGTTAAGTGAAATATGCACAAAAAGTGATACAAGAAGTGATAGGGGACAAAAAGTCAATCGAGCTAAAATTGCATGTGGGCATTTCCATCAAATAAAGATACTAAAAAGCTAGGTCCCATAACATAGACCACCTCACTTGTGCATTTTCATGAAATATTTTTTTATGAACATGTAAATATGCTAAGAAATTTAAATATATTAGCATATTTATAAACTAAATGCATAAATTCTCCTATCTAGCTTGAGACTATGAAGCAACATGCCATATTACTTTCAAAAGAAGGCAGCTACTTACAATCCATTGAAGAATTTACGAAGATTCTCATTCAGGATCCGAGCAACTTTGAAGCCCTCCTTGGCAGGGTTAATGCTTGTGTGCACATGGAGCTTTTTCATAGATGTCTGAAAGATATTGAATTGTTAAGTCGGATTGAACCTTGCAATGTGGAGGTACAAGTGCTCTAAAGTCCAAACTACAATTAACCATGACGACATTAAACATGCACTTCACTTCACTGTTGACCAAGAAACTAACTTTTCTTTCAGATTCATATTTTGGCTGGAGAAATATATGAGAAAATTGGTTCTATCGAGGAGGCAATTTGTGCCCTCCTCATGGCATATTTATGCAACCATCAAAAAACCAAAGTTTTCCGACAGATATTTCATTTAACATCAACTGTCTTGGGAGGTCGTCCTTGGGAAATTGCAGGTTTTAGTGCATTGTATTATCAAAAACTTGTGTTGGTTTATTCGTAAAAGTTTACATACACAGGATTACTACCTGACTGCTCAAGTCTCAAGAGGCATCACCTCTGGGGAAAAGTTCACTTTTTTACACTGTTCTTGGCAAATCCATTTTTCAATCCAATTTTTGGTATTGATTGATTTCTGCTTTCTCGAACATACGTTGTACTGCTTACATATTGTAGTCAACTTGTTTCAACAACGTGAATCGCGCTGAAAAAACCCCAACAAAATTGACAATTAGAGTTCTCAGCAAAGAATATAAAAACACCAATGTCGTGAATCAAATCAGAATCAAGACACTTCTTCTTGGTTGCAACTCGGTAAAACGACTACAGGTTATAATACCGGACCTTTTCATCACGATTTTTCCTGATGCGAAAATTCTTGCCGACAAAAAACCCGTGGTGTTTATGTCGATACTAAATGTCAGCCAGGGCGATATAACTTTTATGAAAATTCTTGCAATGGTGTGAGGTTTGCAGGAAGCAACATCTTTTCATTTCATTATCTGAAGTTTCCTGGTATAAAGCACGATGACGTCAAATATGTTTAAATGCGCTCTTTGCAAAGTTCCCAGGACTAACTATCTGATTAAGAAGTGTTCTTGGTAGATATATTTCATCATCTTTCTATCAAACTTCGATAACATTTCATCGCGAAGTTAGATGTATTAAGTCTGTTGCTTATAGACTAGAAATTTCTTCCCCGAAATTTACATTCACCAAGATTACTGCTGGCCTTGAAAAGATCGAATCAAAGATTTAAAGGTGCCTTCAGAAAGCTATACTGCTTTGAACAACGTAGCTCGTCTTTGCCATTCACCATCAGTGGCTTAAGCATATTGATAATTGGGTGGGTTCATATTGATATATGCAGGTTATAATCCGTTGAAAACAATGGATTTCAAAGGAACTTAACACCGCAAAGCATGCATACATGAATATTGCACCTAACTCCATTTAAATCATTAAATCCTAAACCTAAATACTTATTTCCTCATTTCATTTTTCTACTCAACAAAACCCATTGTTCTTATTTTTTTGTGAAAAAATACAAAAGACCTTGCACTGGGAGGGGGTGGGGGGGTGGAGGCAGTACACAAAACTGTCGACCAGATAGACAGTTATCTCTACGCATTTGCAGTTTATGTAAAGCCCTTCTTTTGCTTTTACCAAATAAACTTTTCAAGAGCCAAAAGTAATGGAGAGGTAGAATGTATTTCTTCACTAGAGAAGTGAATCAATCTTTTTCCGTTTAGGAAAGACTAATGCGCTCCAGATTTTGGCAGTTCTAACCAAAAAGCTCACAATTGAAGGAAAGTTTCGCGTTTCACTTCAAATGGGAATCGTCATCCTCCTGGTTCATTGTGTTGACAAATCCACGGTAGAAGCTGTGAAACTTGAGTTGAAGAAATCTTTGAATGAAGAACGCCATTACAAAGGAGTTATTTCGAAAAATCCAGAGGAGAAAGGCGGAGAAAGTTGCACAAGACAAAAGATTGAAGATGGCGAGAAGAGCTTCGTAGACCGTGAAATAGCAGAAAAACACAGTGAATTTGAGGAACTATTTTTGCCGAAAAATTGCCTAATGAAACTGTCACGCTTGATTTGCTGTTGAAGAGCTTAATAGAAACGATAAATTTCAGGTTTATGACAACTTCTGAAGAGCACGAACATTCTGATCAAGACGGAACAGAGAAGAATGAACTAATGGACTTTTTGCGAGACATTGAGCCAGAAACTAGGAATGACATTCTCGAATCTGTTTCGGAATGTTGTGACAAACGTGAAAACGCGGAAGCATCAATTTGGTTTGCTCAAATAATGTTATCGACCTCCATACGGATGGATGACAAGATTAGCGCACTACGAGCTTACAACAGACTGGCGCTTTTACATCGCAAATACGGGAAAATTGACGAAAGTTTATTGTACTTTAAGAAAACGCGAGAGAAATACCGAGAATTCACGGCAATTGAGAATAAATTTCGAGGAAAACGGCATTTCGAGGTTTCTGTAATCGAGCGAGAAGCATTATTGAATCTCAGCATTCTTTACAGAGACATGGAACAATACGACCAAGCTGGCATTCTCATGAAGGAGTATTTTTCGAGATTAAATTTGATCGAGCAAGATAAGTTAATAGAAGCCTATCACTTATTGGGTGATGTTGAAAGTTTACAGGGGCGATACGAAGACGCGATACGAAGTTTCAGAATTCAGTTGGCATTGTGTATGCAATACAACGATAAAAATGGCCTTGCAATGGCTTACAGTAGCATTGGAAAAGTTTTCCTGAAATGCTTTGATGTATTGTCGGCGAACGAATGGTTCCAGCTAAGTTTGCGTGCTTTAAACACTTCTGGTGAAAAGGATTATCTTTGTGCAAAAACGTATAAAAATTTTGGAGAAGCGCTCCTGAACCAAAATAACCCCCGACAGGCATTGTTCTACTTCGAAAAAACGTTGAAAATTGCCATTGATATTCGAGAGCGGATGATAGGAATCGAAGCGATGCACGAAATAGGAAGATGTTACAAATGTCTGGGTATTTTTAAACAAAGCGAGTTCTTTCTTAAACGTGCTCTTTTGGAATGTCAAGGATCCGGGATGCTCTTGGAAGATAAAATAAAGGAAGATTTAGCAGGGATGTTGCTGGCTGTAGGCAGGTTCAATGAAGGTTTAAAGATTTTATACGAACTTCGAAACCATTTGGAGTCGAAGCTAGAAAAGCTTAGCCAACTGAAATTGGTAACCAAGAATCCGCTGTTCAAAAGACTCAACGTCTGTATCGCCAAAATTGTTAATATTCTCGTGGACAAAGCAAGGATTGTAGAAGCCTTCGAGGTGGCAGAGAAAGGAAATTCGCTCATCCTCAAACAAATGTTAGATTTCAGAACACGAATCGGATTTGTTGAAATGACTTTCGATGATCTTTATACTAATCTTGACGACTTATATAAAATAGTTCGAGCAAGGAATAAGGTGGTTCTGTATTATAAAATTTTGAATAATGGTTTTATCGTGTGGGTGATTGGTCCATCCCAAGATCGGCCTAAATATTACAGGCATAGTGCTCCATGCAGCTCGCCTTTTGGAAATACAATAGCAAGTCTCATTAATGGTTTACTGACAAGGCAAGATCGACTGGCTAATTACGACTGCGATCATAGGAAAACGGTCGACTCTGTCAGCGGTTTCAACACAGTAAATAAATTAAGGTGCAGTAGCAGTCATCTTCGCAGCCTGATATTTAATCAAATAAGTGCAAGTCCAACTGATCTTGGATGCAGTGATTGGAAAACAAACGAAATATTTCAGAACGACCTTTCTCCGTACACTTTAAAATCCAAATACATCGATTCACTTTCATCGCAAGGACAAGCTGTCGAAGATGATAGACAAAGGTCCGCTGAAGCCGCTCCAAACACACCTTCCCTCGCATGTGGAAAGAACTGTCTTCAAAAGCTATCGGAGCTTCTTATTTTTCCCATCGAGAAAATGCTGACAGAAATTCCCGACTTGAATGTTCGTGATTTGGTGATTGTAAGCAATTCATTTCTAAGAATCGTTCCATTCTCGGACTTGCTAACATCCCATGATAAACACCTGACCAATCTGGTAAATTCCGTCCAAATTCTACCGTGCGTATCCGTTCTAAAATTACTAGAACTCAATTGCAACATAACCCCGAAAGGAATAGCGGTTATTGGAAATCCCGACGAAAACTTCCAAGCGATGAGGAATATATTGAAAAGAAAGCCGCAGCCGGATTTTATGGAAAAAGAATTAAATGATGTCGCTATTCTGTTGGGAAGCATTCCGGATGTGGGTGCTCGCGCTTCAAAAGAAAATTTTCAGCGGAAATTTTGTTGCAGTAACCTAATACACGTTGCAGCGTATGCCTCTCTTGATGAAGGAACGATCACTTTTGCACCTATCCCTGAAATTGATCCACGTGTTATGGAAAACGACGCACGTGATCCATGGGAAATAAATTTGGAAGACATACTTGCGTTTCGTTCAGCTCCAGACGTTGTCGTGCTGAGCTCGGGTTACGGGTGTAGGCATCATTTTAACGACATAAATGCATTCGGCACACATCTGCCGCTTGCCTTGATGTTGGCAGGCGTTAAATCAGTCGTCATGACAATATGGACCACACCCCAAATCGCTTGTTTGACATTCTTTCGGGAGTTTTACAAAAATATCTCAAACGTAAGTTCGATATTTTCGTGATAAGCCGTTGGACATCCAAAAAAGAGTATCTGTGTTGATCATAAGTGTAAACGTAGCTTTAATCTACTACAGAATATGTTCGTGAGCCGTTCATTGGTGCAAGCCAAAGATTTCATCAAAGGTATTGATATGTTCAATGATCCAGTAAACTGGGCGTCATTTCAGGTCTACGGTCGCGATTGTTTGCTCGATGTTGAAGAACTAAGACGACGTGAAGCCGAAACATCGTTTGTTGAAGCACAAAAATTAGCTGTTGAAAGATTTGCTATCGTTGGACAGCGAAAAGGTATTTATATACGAGAAAAAGTTATTACATTAAAAGCATCGGCTTTGAAATATATACAGTTTGCGCCATTTTTTTCCTTGCAAAAGAAACCGCACCAAGTGTGACTAATTAGCGCCATTTTTTTCCTTACAAAGAAACCGTACCAAGTGTGACTAATTAGCGCCATTTTTCCTTACAAAAGAAACCGTACCAAGTGTGACTAATTAGCGCCATTTTTTCCTTACAAAGAAACTGTACCAAGTGTGACTAATTAGCGCCATTTTTTCCTTACAAAAGAAACCGTACCAAGTGTGACTAATTAGCGCCATTTTTTTCCTTACAAAAGAAACTGTACCAAGAGTGACTAATTAGCGCCATTTTTTTTCCTTACAAAAGAAATTGTACCAAGAGTGACTGACTGCTTTTTGTAAGTGGCAGGTCATATCCCTCGTTAAACAGTCTCTTGTGAATGTTTGCATGAAAGCGATTTGAAAAATGTCTACCTTGCAGAGAGTTCCGATGCCATTTTGTATCAACGTTCTCTGGAAATGGTCCACGATCTTCTACTTAAACATCATTTACAACCAAAGCTGCTCCAGATTCTGCTTCAAGTGGTAGCTAATTTTGACTTTCGTCGACATACATGCTAAGTTGATTAGTGATATTCTGTATTGAAACTTAGCCATCTAACCAGCAGTAAGAAAAGCTTGTATGACACCGAGAAACTACAATAATAAATGATTCGTAGCTAGTCTACAAAATATTCCAAAAAATCGCTCCAACAACACAAAATTGTCAAGATACAATTACAATTGTCATTGGTGAATGACGATTGTGTATAGTTCTTACAAGAACTGTTGAAAACCAAAAAAAGATGACTGTAAATTTAAATAACGCGCTGCATTCTTCAATTTTCCTTGTTTTTATTATAAATAGAATTATAATTTTGGTTTTCAGCAAAGCTGACGTCACACCTGATCACGTGACATCTGATGAGAAGTCTGCCTAAATACATCGTGTCATTTAATTATACATAGCTATTTTTATTTTGATCTTCAACAGTTATAAATTGTCATTCGCCATGGACAAATACGCTGCTCATAGCAACATTTGAGTTCACAACCACAACCAAGTTTTTGTATTTTTTTCTTCATTCTATAGTTAGAAGAGTCTTTGACTATTCTAAACACTTCTCCGTCGAATGAAAACTCCAAGAAAACTGTAAATGATTTGCCTTACCGTGAGATTTTCAAGCCGTGGTTGTCACTGGTTCTTCAAGCAGAAAAGTTCCTTCTTTCGCTTGGATTTCTGGTTAAAAGTATCGAAACGCGTCAGACGGTGCTTGTGTACCCCCACTGGAATAGAAACAATTATTTGGAAAAAGTTCAATCGCTTCTTCAATCTGTTCAACGTATGTTGAAAATAATTATCTACCTTTTTGATTTCAAACAGTCAGTAGAACACTGATGCACGATTTCTGTTCGTCACCGTTATATTAGTTTTCATGGAAATAACAGCAAAAACGTTTTGATGTTAGGAAACGGTTTTATTCTTATAAATGATTTTCAAAAATATTGCTCTGAACAGCGTATTTTTCACGATGAATGAGAACTGAGTAATTCTTAAAAGAGCTGTTGAAAAGCAAAATGAAGATGGCTGTAAAATCAAATCACGTGATGCATTTTGGCAGACAGGTGTTTGATGGATGACATCACTCTCTGTTTGGAGATGATGTCATTTTTCCTTGTCTTCATTATAAACAAAAGTAAATTTCAGTTTTCACTTGAGCGGTGGTGGCATCTGATGAGAAGTATCGTGTCATTTTATTTATAGCTATCTTTTCCAATTGTCATTCACCATGACGAGTACGCTGTTCAGCGGAACATTTAAGTTCGTAACGAAAAATTGTTTGTTGTGTGTTGATGTAAATTCACACATTTCATTCCCAAGGTCACGAATCATCCAATCATAAAGAGTTTCGATCTCAAGTTTGATTGGATCATTTACGAACATGGGAACTTAATACCTGGAATGTTAATTTTTAAATAGAAGTTGTTGACAATTCTCCAGTATTGTCGGATGCACTGAGAGTTGTTCTCATTCAAGAGGATAAATGTACGCTCATCCAACTACAAAACTTGGTAATAATTTATCAAAAAAATTCACTAACCTCAACCTAGCTTAAGCGGACTCAGAATTTGATATTTCGACAACAATTTCAGCTGCATGAAAAATTACAGACGCTCAATGACGTTATTGAACTGAGCAACGCACCTATGGCACTTATGTTTTGGCTTAAACGAAGTACTCGCCGCCTGATTACGGAGTTGGGCTTTCGCCAGATTGGTGACGAGTTACACGTAATAAGTGACAAAAACAACAGATGTGTCATGGAGTCTTGCGTTAATGTTATCACTGTTTTAAATTGTAGGTATTTGTAATGGTATGGGGCGAGTTGAACGGGGAGGGGAAAGATATGTGACTGACAGAATTACTAACTATAAAACACGTGAATGAGGGTCGTTTGGAGACTGAAAACTCGGGTTACCCTTCATCTCCATCGGCAGAAACGCTGCTGGTCATTTTTATGATTTGTTGTTAATCATTGCACTGTCACTCTCATTTTTTAACGACCTAAATTCGTAGCATTAATCAATCCAGGTTGTTGATAAACTCGTTGCTTTGACAAAAATCCACTTTCTTCTTTTTGCAATTTAAAATTATGCATACGACGTAGCTTAGTGCGAATGACAATCACCGTTGAATGATGAACCCCGAGATGACATGATCATTTCCTTTTACGTATAGCGTTTCAGAAAGGAACTAAGAGTCAGCAACATCCAATGTTGTCAGAGGTATGTAAAAGCAAACTTGGATATTGTTATAACGTCAAAAATAACTCGACGCATTTTGAATTCTAATGAAAGTCGATCTTTTTTTCCCGATTTTTTTTCTATTGAGGCATTTTCCCCGTTTTTTTCTATCAAGGCAAAACTCGATACAAGATGGATGCAACACCGATTTAGCAAGGATGAAAAAAAGGCGCGATGCGTCATTGCCAACAGGTGCATTATATATACTCGTAATTGAAAAGTTTGACAGTTTTTTAAAGAGAGCATTAACTCGTTATCCGTTTCCATACAAATACGCATGAATGTGGTGTCAAGAAACGCGAGCAAATTCAGTATTACGACGCATTAAATCGATGAAAACTCTGCCTTAGAGAAAATTAATAAGTCTTCCTAATAGGCAACTCACTACACCTAGACGCACTTCATAAATTTTGAAGTACTTTGTAATCCTATTGTGCAATATAATTAGCAGCGCTTACACACGAAAGCACGCATAACGAAACCCTCAGAGTTTCTACAGTGCTTTCGTTGACAAATAATTTGTAAAGATTACTGATTCAAGACAGGGCATTTCAAGGTCAAGTTCTGTCGACCACGTCTATAGTTTCGTGCATAGGTTGTTTGAAGCTTCCCTTTTATGTGCAACGTTGAGTTACTTTAAATAATATTGTGTCATTGAAACTGTGTGCCTCTTATTTTTGCATATAACGAAAGCTTGGACGCTATTGATGATAAATACAAGACCATATTGGAAGACACAAAGAGATGGCATAAAAACACTGTCCTGACACAGGTATTAGCAACACAAGCAGTATCTCAACAAGCACGCGACTTTTTAGTCCAGTTACGTTAGTAAATTTCAGTTAGTGAACGCAGAAAAGTCCTTGCATAACATGAGCAAACAAGTGGACAGGTCTTCCTTCCCATGCTTTCACTTGCTTGATGGTGCTTCGAGGCAAGTTGAACTCAAATATCCTGAAGTTGAAAAATGACGTCATAATCGCATGTGGTCTCTGGTCCAATGAAAAAAGGAGATTGTATTAGGTGTTAGAATTGGATTAGGAATTAATTATGTGTTAAAGAAATAAGTGGTATTCGCCAAAGCAATTGTCTTTTGACATGAAATTGGTGATCTCTTTCTTTACTGATTCGACACTTGATAACTGGAGATTTCAATTTTTTTTTTGGGGGGGGGAAAGACTTATTGTTTAAGGCTATAAATAGTCTGGCCCTACGTTTTGTTAGGAGATCAATGCGAATATGGCCTCCCCGGCGTATTCTGGCATGTCTCACAGGGAAAAATTTTCCATTTAGAATTTTCAACAGATACGTTTTTAAAATTCAAACATGTCGTTACGAGATCGCTCACCAGAACAATAGGAAAAATCCTCTATCTTTCCAATTATTTGCTTGACCCATACAAATTTTGCTATCATACATTTAGGATGAGCTTTGCACCAAAGGTGAAATCACTGAAAACAAGAGCGAAAACACATGCAAACTACCACCCATAAAGGGAGAGGGGAAAACGTCTCGACACGAAGGAGATAATCCTTCAAAGTTGAAGAGCGTCGGAGGACCATCGTTTCTTCGCGTTTCTTCGAAGCGAGAACGGACGTCCCCGTTGATCAAATGTACGTTAAGAAGAAACGTGACGACAAAGAATTTGGGTCATTGCTTACGACGCATAAGAATGGAGCACGAAGAAGAAATAAAAGAAGTTCTTTCCTTGTAAAATTTTTGAATAAACGTTTTGTTGAAAAGACGATCTGTGATTGAGAATCTAGTATATTGTAAAAACAAAGCTAAGATCTTTTAACACTACAGTAGCTTATAATTCAATCATATAAGAAAGTTGGGCGCAAATAAAACATCATCCAATGTTCAACAAAAGATCAGTACGTAAAACCAGCACGTCAAGCGAGATCAATTCATGTTGAATCAAAACACACACAGTTTGCATTGCATGCGTCAAATGATAATGGAATTGAATACTCAGCTAGCACGGCAATGGAACATAGAAGAATATCGATATTGATAATCACACTGCACATGATTACAGTTTGATAACACCGACAAATGTTCTTATCAAATCTAAATCGTTCACCATATTTCTATATATAGAACACATAACTACACGACAACATTGGTTGGTCATGCCTAAAAGCAAGATGTTTACATTCTTGAGTAAATAACTGTTATTTCTTGCTTAATTGAACCTTTGACATCCAATGAACTGTAGAGGAATCAGCAATTATGTTCGTTATTTCGATTTATTGAGGATGTAAGGATGGCTAATGATGTGAACAATACACCGCACTGATTGACCTTAAAATTGACTGAGCGGCTTCCTGGACACGTCGGAAGGAAGGTTACTACGTTAGAGCGCTCGACAGGAGGTCAGAGATTAACGCTTTCGTCAAAGTCATATTAACACAATTAACTCGAGGTTGATCAGTAAGGGTAGTTTATGAAGTGACTGCCGACCTTGCATAAGTTCGTCGTCATTGTCCGAGGGAAGTTAGAAGTTAACTACGGAAGAAAAAAAGAACGTCATACAACATTTTCATCAAACTAGCGTGTTTTCTTAGTTATACATAAGATGAGCGAATCACTATCGCAAGCTGTTATACACGGTTTTCTAATGGCTTTAGTGTTCTTATGGTTAGCTGGGGTCATTGAAACAAGGTGGATTGGTGACCAAACATATGGAATCGTGAACGCGACCGATGGCAAAAATGAAACAATACAAAATGATCATAATACGACAGGTAAAAGAAAAGTACGCTGTGGTATTAAAGTATCTTTATAATTTTTGCGTCGATATTTTTGTAACTTTAAACTGTAAGATTGCAAGAGCAAAGCATACGAAAACGGTTCTTCTTCCGCAAACTGTCGTAAAAACCAAAAACCCTTGTAGAATATCGCGAGTAATGTCATTTAACACACAGATATTTATTGTTACATAGAAATCGACGAATTACAGGGGCAAAGCTTTTTCATAAAATTTCAGCGCAGCTTCTTTGATATAATTCACAGAGTATTTGAAAGTTGTTAATTAACAATGATAAACGCATACTCAACGAAAGGAAATGTGTCAAATTTCATTACACAAATCTCTCACAACAGTGTAATGAACTAACGATTAACATGCACCAAATAAAGGTTTTAAAAAACACAGTAGAATTCTACTTGAGCAATTAACGTGGTAATTTGGAACAATTAGAAGGTAAAATTTGGCGCAAGTTATTCGGGATATGGTGATAAGGCAGATCATCGCAAGCAAAGATGTAAAGAATTAAGCAACGAGAAAAACTCTCCCGAACGCATGTAAGGTGCAATAGACCACCCGATGTACTTTGAGTAATTAATTTCGTTTGTCTTTTTTCAATTCCGTTTGCTGCGGATTACATGCGTATATTAAAAACGACTTGGAAAAAGCGTTCGAAAAAAATTCTAATCCAACACTTGCTATCTTCAAGATCAATTGTAATCAATTGCGTTATTGTTCATAATGCGTGAACAATGAACTTTAATTGCCAAATTTTTTAGGCACCGGAAAATATCCTTTTTTTGACACAATCCACCATGGCACAGCTCGCTTTCAAAAAAGCATCGGATTTATATTTAAGAATAAAAATTCGGCGGGGGAAACCTGTTGACCTTCCCCTTCACACAAACATCATTGGGAAGGCGTCACGGGTTTAGCTCGAAAGGACTTAAACGTTTCAATCAATGAGACAAATACGGAATTCACAGGTCATAACAAAGTGTGTAAAGTAACTTATAGGAGAGATTATACCTAAAGATGATTTCTACACGTTTTGCACGTTATTTAATTAGCAGCCCGGGCTTGCAAAGCTCTTTACCGAAAGGTAGGATTCCCTACGGCAAAGTACGCTTCATTAAAGCTGTCGTCAAACGCGGTGTGCAATCACATGTGCTGGTCGATATTTGTTCACGATAAGTGTAGTGTTTACATATATTTTGTTTGTATACTTGTAGCCGATGGCCACGGACACGCACCGATTAAGCCTGATTAAGCACAAATAGGAGTATGGAGATGTACTTATCTACAGCTCTTACATGCATTCATAGACTGCTTTAAAAGCCCCATCGTTGCAGACACCTGAGAGAAGAACACATATTTAAAAATGTTTGTACTTGATTTAACTTGAAAGGTGAACCGTCTTCAAGCTAAATTCGTCAAGACTTGATCTTGCATTAAAAAAGCTTGCTGTGTTTTGTTCTCGCGTGCAAACAGGAAATCAATTTGCAAAGCTTCGAGTGATTGTTTGAAGAAGAAACACAAAAGGTTTTCCGGATCTTTATTTTTTACATTTGAATTTTGCAAATCTTATTGAGAACCACGGACGCCGAATAAGTTCGTTACATTATTTGCTATTTAATCATAAGAAATTTGGAGGTCGTCTTCCAAATTCTAATTTTTAAATTTATATCTTTATAAACATGAGTTTTGTTTCATAGTCGTTTGTAACACGATAACACTTTACGGATGTAAACCATGAGAATGCGGCATGGCGGTAGTAGTCATTCGTGCTAAGGATGCCGAAACCGAGTCATTTAACTCTAACTAAAACACCAACAGTATCTCTCTCTCGACTGCACAAACCCTGACGAGAATCAACATCCACAATCCAATTTAAGCCATTCACATAACACGTGCCATAGCAAGTGTCTCACATGTTAACATTCTACATATCAGAGCAGTTTCTTGATTTTCTTGGGTAAAAAAAAAAGGAGCTAATAACTCTGAGATAAAGAAAAATGGTTGAGTTGAAGAAATGTATTCGTACTCTTCAAAAAACATAAGGGCCGTCATTTGCATAATCTTTGAAGGATGCAAATGCTGATAGGCATACATAGGGGGACAGCACACATCTAAAGTGTAAGGCAAACAAAGAATACGGGGCAAATTCCAGAACATCTTCCAGAATGCTACCAACGATGCTATCAGTGACAGTTGAACGACCTCTGAATCATCTATCGCTTTTGATCGAACATATTCACTTACACATTTTACTACACTATATCCTTTTGCGAATTGTTGCAAAGTAAAATGGACGAAAGCTTATTTGCACCTTTTAAAAAAAATACAGATGTAATTAGTTACGGTATTTAGTAAGCTCTAATTAATGCAGCTGAAGCATAAGACTTCTTAAAGTCCTTTGAAACGCCTCGAGGTTGGTTTTAACATTCTACCACACTGAATCCCACCATTTAGTCAGACTCGCATAAGCAAACCGTCTCCTACGCTATTTCCGCGTTAATTGTATCTCAACGCTACCGTTTTCTCTTGTAGTAAAATCATAAGTTCCATTATTGTGTTTAGTGTCATAGTTATGCATCAATTTCACGAAAAAAGGCTATTACCGCCCAGTCTCAAAATTCAAACACGAATGATATAAATACCGATGAAAACAAACGTTAAAACGGGAATCCGAGCATGATCCGTACACATTACCTCCTAAAGTCCACTTATCGATAGTAATCTCATTGCAGACACACTCTAAAGTACTATTAATTAAAATATCGTGTGCGCGTTTCAAGCTTATCATAACAAACTATAGACGTTATCTGATTCAAAACTATAGCCCCCCTTGCAGTCACAGACCGTCAAAGAGGAACCCGAGTGTTTATTTAAGGAGTAAACCGATTTTCTGTCCCAAAGTTTTGTAGAGTATCTGCACATATCAAATTGTAGTGATAACCGCACCATTTCTTAAGGATCCCATGCAATTCCTCACTAATTCTTAATATAACCCAAAGAGTCCCTCCGAGTCCCACAAAGAGTTATTATTGTCGCCCAAATCATTCAAATAAGAAGCATAAAGCTTCAAATAGTTTCATATTCCTTAAAATCCAATTTTATCGCTCGATTCCGGTCAATACATCGAAAGAAAAGCAAGGCGACTGAGGTTTGGAGCGAGTCTTAAAAAACGCCAAACCGTTTATCGTGAGGGTGAAATCTTCCTGCATAACAGACAGATGGCCATTAAAATTTCTTGGCATGATTGCCATCATAAGACATATAATCATAAAAAAACCATCAAGTAATCTACGCTATCAATATCCGTCAGGCAGCGTTATCATTTATCATTCGTACGTATCTGAATCATCGATTTGAAAATATTTGTTTTCAAACATTGCGAAAAATTCCATAGCGGTTATGTTATGGAGCTAAAAAAAGATTGCTCTGTTATTAAGATAAAGCAAAATGCGGCAAAAATACAATTCTGCGTATTCCTGGGCCCTAGCAGTGTTATGTTCACAACTTTACAACATATTTAATTGAGCTGGATGACATTTTTTGTACTAAATTGTATGGTGCCGAAAGGCCGATTTCAATCAGCAGATTTTCCGCAAAAGAATAAAAATTGCTCAAAAAGTCGCGCGCCCGCTGACCCGCTTGTATTGACGCTGACTTATAACATATTTTAATCACTGCCTTAAGTCTATCACTCTTTCCGGGTGGGGAGCCGATCGAACACCTAAAACGAACACAGATAAAAGAGAATTCTGCAGTTTCCGTGAAACATCCAAGAATGATTCGGACAGAAAAAACATATGATCGCCTTCGAGGGTGCGTAATTCATTATTGACATGTGTGATAAACTGATAACGCATAGAGATTTCCACGAAAGGGAAATGTCAACTTTTATCGCCATAACATCACGCTAACTATCTAACTGTACCTAGCAACCATTGAGAGGGCGTCGTCATCCTTCAAATCACGACAGCATCGCTTAAAAAAAAGATAAAAGCATTACAAAGATTTTAAGTGTTTTTCAAACAATCGTGAACTGTTCTGACCATTGTAAATAAAAATAAGACGGCTTAAGCATGACTAATGCGAAAGTAGATTATGCAAAAAAACAAAAGTTAATCGTAACAACTTGCTTAAGGACATACGTAAATATCCACTGGCAAATGCTCAATGGTTGAAACCAGAACTATACATAACATGTTGCATATAACTGGAGAAAACTGTTTTGTTGTACAACCGCGCGATTTCAGAGCATAAAAACTAAATAAATGCAGCTAATCAAAGAATAAAATTAAATATAGAAAATATTGGTTGGCGAGAACTCACAGAAATATCATTAGCAAAGAAATTTGAAACGAGCAAGTTAAAAAATACGATCGGCTGTTTCAATTAGTCATCTTTACCAACCAATGTAATACTTTATGTTTGAACAAGCAACACAATAAACTGTACTATGTTGGAGACCATATTGATGAAGATAATAACTATGGACATATGAAGTCCAGAAATACATATCTAAACGTTTAAGCAAATAAAACGTCAGTTACTATGAAGGACAAGACACCAATAAATTCAAGAATAAATTGTTCTTTATTATCCTAAGTTATCCTCAAGTCGATGAGTAGAATTATGAATGTATTGAAGTAATTTGCATAACAACACCACCACCACCACCCTCCCAACCGTACATCTATAGTTAAACCAACAGGTTTTGTTAATACAAAACTATATCAACTTTCATACATTTTGGCGGGAAAAACAGACATGAAAAATAGATTTTCCTAATTCCTCCTTATGGCTATAGCTAGTTTAAGCAGCTAAATATATAGAACATTAGCCGTGATTAACCAGAAATCTTCATATATTTAAAGAGAAAAGCGCTTTAGCAAAGACATTGCGAGTAAGATTTCACAAAACCTTTAAAACGCAAAATTTCACGTCTTTTTAGGCACATCAGAAAGGCGCGCGAAAATGTCCGAAACAAATGTGACGTCAAACGTGCTCTTCAAAGAAAGTCCGCAATTTCACATGTACAAAACAATGACAATCGTCTTGGGAGCCCTATGTGTCGTGATGACTATAACGAGCGTCGTTCTTGCAATAAAATTAAGAAGAAAGAACAAATGCAAGACTTCAAGCTCCACAAAATCTTCGGATGAAACTCCACTTACTGTCGTAAAAACGCCTGATGAATGTGAATATCAAAGCATTCGAGGATTTACAAAACGATACACGACATCCTCGTATGGTTACGAAACGGTGAATATGTATTTTAAATTTTGAGCCAGCAATGCTGTAAACTATTCCCTGTCAAAGCCGCTTTCTACTTACGTACATTGATATGCATATTGTCACTAATAAATTTGAAGCCGGAAAGCCGCCATATTGAACAGTCCCACTTCATGAGATTGACATACAATGTATATTAATTTCTGTTATGAAAAATTGCGACAATCGTCTCTTATGGTGCATTGACAAAACTGCTACTTATTAGCTTTAACAAGATTATGTGTAGGAAGCAAATGTACTGTTAGAAAGGATTTATTCCAAAATTTTCGTGACACCATTTGAGAGATACTATCGCAAGAGAATGCTTTTAGCTTCACATTGAAAGATTTATTTTGGTTTTTTAGTACAATGCGCTCTAAAATTCTTTGCTGTTGTGGTTCTTTATTATAGATTATTATTATGAATGGACTGTTCAATATGGCGGCGCATCTAATTATAGCTGTCTACTTACTGCTTCAAATTTTTGTACTCACCACATTGGAAATGCGCGATCCATGTAATATACATATCAATGCTTACGTAACATATTGTAAAGTATCAAACCGATAAGAGAAACTTCCATTTCTACATGAAAAATTCAAATAAGCGAGAACTAGGATCCTCGCCGATGCTCTCCGATTCGATAAGCGGGAAGTGGAAAGCGGTCCGCGGAAATAGTTCATTTCTTTCTCGATTGACCCTAGTAAATAATGACGTCACTCGAATTTTGTTAAAACATTGAATACCAGCAATAATTATAAAATATAAAATGTTAAAAGTGCTTACAGTGAAAGTATAAGAAAAGCAATAAAAATTTAATGATAAGATTGAATAAGATATAGTTCAATTCACCAATGTTCCTTTCACTGAAATTGCACATAAATCTTTATCCAAAGGTCAAACCAAAGCTAAACTTAAATCTTTATCCAAAGGTCAAACCAAAGCTACCGACAACACGGCCACCGCTGCCCCAGCAGCTTACAATGGACAATGGCGAGTACGAAAATCTCAAGATGAGTGGCCTGAAACCAAAAACACGAGAGAACAGTGTTTACTTGACGATGGATGAAGCAATAGCTGGACTAAAGGAAAACAGGCAATACAAAACCAATAGCGCGTTGCTAGACAGTGCAGTTACAGGAAACTGTTTGCTCGGAAGTGCGCTGACCGGAAGTGCAATTCTCCTAGCAGGAGGAAATGACGAAGATTTATACCAAACGATGAAGAAAATTGTGAAAACCGTGAAAGATCCAGCTACAGAACAACGTGATGTAGAAACTACTTGAAAGACTAAACATACAATAATTTGATGCGTTAATATATGCATTCCGCATAAAACCTCGTTCGTTCTGGCACATACAGTCAGTTAACAGTATCCATTAGTTTTGTATTCAGCACCTCTCATCTGTTTTGAAGGTGCGAGCCTCAACAGAAAGGACCTGAGAACGACGTTGGACATTGAATTAGTATTACATACGTCGTTGTCTTTTAATGTAAAATATTGGATTAGCTAGATTTTTTGTAATGAGTGTATTAATGTTTTAGGAATATGTTGGTCTTTCATTTGTACAAAAAAATTAGATATTTTTTCCTTATTAAATAATGATAATTTGCTGCATATTTTATTGGCTTTTTCGCGCATTAAAACAAATCACTAATTAGCCATCATTAAATTTTTCAAAGTAAGACTTCTGTTGACGAAAAACAAACACTTGAGTATATAAAAACTAAAGTTTCAACATCAGATCACTTCTGATGAAGACACTAGACTGGAGTATATAAGAACTCAAAGTTTCAACATCAGATCACTCCTGATGAAGACACTAGACTGGAGTATATAAGAACTCAAGTTTCAACATCAGATCACTCCTGATGAAGACACTAGACTGGAGTATATAAGAACTCAAGTTTCAACATCAGATCACTCCTGATGAAGACACTTAGACTGGAGTATATAAGAACTCAAGTTTCAACATCAGATCACTCCTGATGAAGACACTAGACTGGAGTATATAAGAACTCAAGTTTCAACATCAGATCACTCCTGATGAAGACACTTAGACTGGAGTATATAAGAACTCAAGTTTCAACATCAGATCACTCCTGATGAAGACACTAGACTGGAGTATATAAGGACTCAAGTTTCAACATCAGATCACTCCTGATGAAGACAATAGACTGGAATACATAAGGACTCAAATTTAAACTGGAGTCTATGAAAACTCAAGATTTAATATCACATCCACCAGATACTAGCTATATTCAAAGTAATTCACTGCAATAACTTTGCCTAGTTAACTTTGAAGTCAATTGGCCATAAACAGCTGGCAGAGTTTTTTGACAATATGTCGGATAATGACAGCTAAGTACAATGATTCGCTTGGAGCAATAAAGTAATGCAGTAACGAGCTTTTAACTTAGCCTACCTCATTTTCGATAGGTATCTTCTTTGCTTTTCTTCATTACGATTTTTTGTCTAATTTTTTCTGGAATATGTGCTGTAAAGTATTGACAAAAGTTGAAATTAAGGTTTGAAGACATGGCAAAACTAAAATAGTCGTGATTGAAACTGTTTTGTTAATCACGTGATCGTCCACGCGCTCCTTCACCCCTAGTTGTTGTTGAGCAGATTATTGCGCATGGGCCTTATGACGCAATGTTTTCTGGAACAGCAAGGTGAGACATATTTACTGCACGTGACATGAAATTCGCAAAATGCAAAGCGAGCGCCTGTTTTCAATCACTCAAATTTATTTCCAAATTTATTTAATTTTCTTTCAATATTTTGTGTGTTCCATATTGCAAGCCATTTCTTTAAAAATCATTTTAGGTCACTTACCGACTTCCAGGCCTTTTATAGCAGCGTTCATTTCGGCTTCGTGAATGCTAAAAGGAATGTCAAAAATGTATTAAGGAATTGGGCAGTTAGATTGGTAGACAGACCATGTTATTACATAACACGGATTTTGTTTTTCAGTGTTTTTGTTTTGACTGGTATTGTCGTCCGATATCTTTTAATTCATTCCAAAGTACACAACGAAACACAAATATTTATCATCAACAATTGCGTTGGATGAATAAGTAGACTGTTTACTTAACAGCTCTTTGCAAATCCTATGAAGTGGTACCGTGAACAATAAAAAAAAAATACAATGTCTTCTTGAATGAGTGAATAAAACGACTAGGTCTTGATATAACCTGGGTGTATAAAATTTTCAATTAAAAGCTACTTTTTGGTTCTTCAAGAAACGTTAACTCACGCATTCCTGACTTATTTTCTGACTTGGCTATCTTGAACAGTGTGCACGAGGCAATTCATCTACTATTAAAAAATTTCCACGACGTAAATTTGGAATCAGTTGACTTTAAACTATTTCACTGAAACTTTTACCACACCAGGACAAAACTTGTATCGGTACTTTAAACATGCTTCGTTAACTCTTCATAGCAATTTGAATAGCACAGATGCATTATTTGACGCAGCGATGTTAAATTAACCCTGGGCACTAGCGACAAAATACCTTAAATACTGCGTTAAAACCGCGCCAAACAATTTAAAAACATTGACAACAAGTCAACTAATTCCTAACGGAACAACATATCAAGCTCTTTGTTAAAAACACTTGCATTATTTTATTCGCTCACCTATTTCCAGAACCTGTTGCCAATCTTTTACCATCAAAATAAACAGCAACTGCAAGCAAAAAATATGATAAAGAAAGTCTGCCAGTCATAATGGTCGGTATATTTTTGCTAACCAGTATAATGCTTCATGTTCGCTGATCCTACAGAATTCACCACTCTAAATAAAAAGCCGTCGAAATATTGTATCGAACACAGAATTTTTTGAAAAACTAAAAAATTTCACTAAAATAGTTAACAGTTGTTTTCGTTTTAAGCTGTCGTAAAAATATGACGCAATTATCAGCGGTAAAATCACGCAAGACAAACAATTACTTCGTTTAAACAAGAGCAAAATGAATGAATTAGAAAGATTACATTAGTATTTGTTGAGTTTTAAAGTTGACAGTGAAAATTGATGCGAGGTTAACAGTAAAATAT